CTAGTCATTCCACCCATAATCATTCCCACCACTCGCATGACCACAGTCACGATCATTCCCATGCTGTAAATACAGAAGAGCATACACATGCTGTAAGTGCTAACACCACCCATGGTAGAAAAGTCGCTCATAGATCTTGTAGTCGTCTCAGGTGGCAGCCCCGCCAAGGTTGCAGAAACGGAAATCCTCCGGTGTGCTGAGCTCGGGGGCTGTGACGCCTATCAGCAGTGGACGTGCTACGCCTGCGAGTCATGAAGAAGGCCATGCACATGGAAGCGGACATCATGAGCACGAGGAATCTAATGGACATCAGTACCACGCTGTGAGTAGTGTATTCCATCCAGTTTGAGCGAAGCTGACTCTTTCAAAGCATAAGCACGACGACCATACCCATACCCACACCCCGCCGACAAAAGCTCACTCTCACTCCCATGAATGCGGCCATGACCACAGTCACTCGCATGCGCACGCACACGATGACCATGACCACTCGCACAATCACGACGACCACCACGACCACGCGCACTCTCACAACATGCGCGGCGTCTTCCTGCACGTTCTTGCCGATACCCTCGGCTCCGTTGGCGTCATCGTCTCCACGATCCTTATTCGGTTCACGGGCTGGACAGGGTTTGATCCCATCGCGTCGTTGTTCATAGCGGCGCTGATTATGGCGAGTGTGATACCGTTGGTGATTGATACGGGGAGAGTGCTGTGTTTGGATAGTGGGGAAGTGAAGGAAGGCGAGGTCAGGAAGGCGTTGGCTGAGGTGAGTCTTCCCGTAAGACGTCAAGAGGCGCAGCTGACCGCGTAAAGTTGTCAAACATAGATGGTCTAGCCAATTATGCTGCCCCCCGGTTCTGGCCCCGGTGTGAGGGCGAAATCGTAGGCTCAATTCACATCCAGCTCGCCCCCGCCCCTTCAACCTTCGACCCCGGGCGGCACGGCACCCCTCCCAACCACTCCCACTCCCACTCGCACGCCCATGGGAAGAATGGCGAAGTGATTTATAGTAATGCGGATAGGGTGGTAGCGAGGGTGGAGAAGGTGTTGAAAAAGAGGATAAGAGGGTTGAGCGAGCTGGTGGTGCAGGTTGAAGGGGGGAGCGAGAAGAGTTACTGTACGTGTATGACGGGGGGAGGAAAGTGAGGTCTATTCATATGTGTGAAAGAGTCTATTGAAGGCTTTGAGGTTTATTGGCATGTCCATGTCTATGCATCATTCCATTATGGCATGAGGGTTTCATGATGACCGAGACCAGAATGAAGGCCGAAGGGTGGAGATGGTTTACGTGCATTCAGGTCATGGGACGTTCTGTTTGATTACAGACATCGACGGCCATAGCCTCCTCGAAGTACCGCGTCCCGTCTGATCCGCGAAGTCAACTAGGAGAGCGCTCGGTTAGTACCAGGGTGGGGGACCACCTGGGAATCCCGGGTGCCGTCGTTTTTGTCCTTTTCCTTTTTGCTCCCTCCTTGGTGTCTCCCGGCAATTGCAACTTGCTGCATGGTTCCACTTATTACTGACCAGAAAGCATTATCACAATGCATTTCATATGTCGTTATTATACAGAGGTACCAGATGCAATCTACTAATCATGATGGATACAACACCTCACCCCCTCAGACTCTCCAGCTTTCGCGAAAACTTGTCCTTACAATGCAAATGCGTCACCTCACCCCTAGGAGCATGCACAGCCACAGCAGCCACACCCAACCGCTTCATACACCCCGGACACACTCTCTGCTCCCCTACCCTCACCCTCTTACCCTCAACAGCCATCAAAGCGAGGTCGATCTGCTCTTTACGGCCCTCAGAGAGATGGGCATGCACTTTCCCGGAATATGAATTCGAGTGGGTGGAGCGCAGTGTTTGGAGGAGATATGTCTGGACGTCGCTCATTGGGGTGAGAGGTGGTAGAAGAGGGAGAGACGAGCTCATGGATAGAGAGGATGGATGGGCGGCGAGCAGTGCTAGGGCAGGCTTGAGCAGCTGCTCGGATGAATATGAAGGTGCAGGGCGGAGGTAGAGTTGGAGGAGGATCGCGAAGATGTTGGTCTTGTTCTTTTCGTTTTTGATACAATAACTAGAACGACATTAGCCCGAGCTCCAGCATTGACAGGAAGAACGTACGCCTCGGCTTGGGTATAGTCTCGTAGTTGATATACGTAGACTTTCAGAGCATCTTCATGCCTGCCCATCCTGCCCAACAAGATCGCGCGCGCTTCAGGCATTTCTATCCATTACATATCAGCAAGCCGCCTCGATCGATGACTCAAAGACGCACCATCCTTCTTCAACCTGCTCAACATCTTCCCCGCCCCATACCCGTCCGACGTCTCCAGGAAGCTCAAAAGTTTTGTAAACATCTCTCCCTTCTCAAGTCGGGCACCATCGAGGTAAAGCTCTGCCAGCTTTTCATGCGCCCACTCTTCCTTCTCTCCCATATCCACAATAAGCCACTCAAGATAGCTTACACAAGCTTCCTTCTTCTTGCCCTTTTTGGACGGTTGTACCCCTTCGAGAAAGTCGACCACTTCTTTCCGTGGAAGTTCGCTGGTGGGCGGTTCGTCGCCTTTGAAGATCTCGAGACCGCGAGCGACGTCTTCTTCGAGGATCCATTTGGAGAATTCGAAGCGGAGTTGGAGGAGCTCGGGTGGGGATGATGGGAGTTTTTGGAGGTAGCTGATTGTTGGGGGGTATCGGTCGAGTGGGTCGTCCTCTTCTTTTGCCAGGCTAAAAATCATCAGCACGCGCTTTCGTTCAAAACACTTGAGTGGCTTACTCGTGTACCATCTCTAACGCTTTGCGATGCATCTTCTTTCCCTGATACAGGTCGATCAAATCCCCAAACTTTTCTTTCTCCTTCAACAGCCCTTCAACCTCTTCCACATCGCACCAATTCTCAATCCTGCACAGACTGCCTACGAGGGTAGGTCTGGCGAGTAGGTATACTTTGACAAGACCGGTGTATACGATCTGCGCCATGCGCAAAAGCTCTTCGGGAGATACTTGGAAGAATGGAAGTGATGGTAGGGCAAACAGCTCTGCCGGCGATAAAGCAGAAAGCGGCGGCAGAGGCGGCGAAGAAGGGAAAGCCGTAGAAGACGAAGACGATGAAAATGAAGCAATAGGCTGTGCCAATTTCTGCCGCCGGTCTGACAGGAAAAACATTAAAGCTTCCAATGCCGCTCTCGGCAGCTCGCCTTCAGGTGCCAAATCGGCAGCGGCAGGCGATTTTAGATGGGTGGAAGATGATTTGATACTGGCTGTTTCTTTGGAGAGTGTTTCGTGGCTTGGAGTACGTTGTAGACCGTGCTTGACCGTCTCGAGCAGGCCTTTGACGCCTCCTTCCCCGGAGTGATCTTCTTTATTTTGTCCATGAGCACCCTCTTCGAGTCTACCTCCTTCCCCACCAAACAGGTCCATCCACCCTTCACGTCCTACCCCCAGCTTTCCCGCGATGCTCCCCTTTGGATAGAGCGCTAGTACTTTGGCCGGATTGACATTGTGTCGCGCAAATGATTCGAGTGCTGTTTGGTACTGGCCCTGCGCAAACAATTGGAGGGATTGTAGGATCTGGAGAGTCTGTAGAGTATACGGCTTTGGGGAAGTTGTAGAAGAGGGCGTTGGTGGGGCGGTAGTGGCAGGCGAGGTCAACCGGGGAAGAGTCGAAGTTGACTCGAGGAAGGCGATAGCATCGTCGACTCTTCCTTTCCGAACCAAGCCGTCGACAAGTATGTCCCCGGGTGGAGAAGATAGTACGTAGACGGAAGATCCTTGGGCAAGGAGAGACTTGTCTGTCGGCGTCGTCGTGACGAGCAACTTCGGGCTTGTACCGGTTGAAAATGTCGATAAAGTAGCGATCGGCCCCAAAGCTAGCGAGCCCACGGAGGGCGCAGGTATGGGTAGAGAAGTGAACTCCCTTAGCGTAGGTGCCAGATGTATTTGGACTGTCCCTCCGACACCTTCTTTCTGCCCTTGCGCATGCGAAGCTGGGGGCGCTGGTACGACAGAGTAGATGAATGGGTTGCTATACGCCAGTCCATCAGGGGAAGCAGGCCATCGGAGAGAGGTTGGGCGGGTATAGGATCCTTCGGAAGAGTAGAAGACGCCGGTATCTGAAGAATGTCAGCTAGGACATGGTGGATGAGTAGACGGCGCACCTTCTCGTGCGAGGAGCACTTCGCCTGTCACTGTCCCAACACCTAGAGGCCCATTATTCTTCCCTCCAATGCCAACATATCCACCAAAGTTGGTGAACCGCCCCATACCCATCCCCAGACCACTACCTGCCCCTTCTTCTTTCTGACCTGCGTCTGGAATGTCGCTCTGTGGATACTTGTCGGTCGTCACATCGGTCATCGTCAAATGCGACGATGGCGATTCCGCGTTCAGATGTAAAAGTGCCGAAGTGGTCGAAGTGAAGCACAGGTGTATAGGTGTGGGTAGTGAGGCAGAAGACGGCGAGGGAGGGAAGACGATATGCCGAGGAGAGTGCGGTATTGACAGCTCCCATCCCTCATTCAGCCCCCTCTCCCCCGCTCCAAACACCGCCACCTTCTTCCTGCATCCTACTACCAACAAGTCCCTCTGCTCCTGTGGCGGCTCGTCTTTCCGACGCTTCGGTGTGTAGGTGGTTATGGAGAAGGCGTGGACGGTGCGCGCTTGGGACAATGTGGGCGCCGATTTGGTCAAGTCCGGCAGAGAGTAGAGGGTGACGACAGTATCAGAGAGAACAGCTAGAAGTTTGGAAGTGGGCAAGACGCCTAGTTGGTCGATCTGCCGCTTGCCAGGCTGGATAGTCTTGAGCAGTTCGGCGCCGTCCCCGTCGTAAGCGTACACCTGCAGCTGGCCGTTGGCAAGGCCGAGGTATAGTCTGTCGGCATGGTGGTGGATGGCGGTGATGCGGTGTTTGAGGGCGGTGAGGACGGGGAGGGGGGCGAGGTCGAAGGACATGGGGATGGGGTGGAGAGGTGCTGCGATGATGTGGACGAGAGATGGACGCGCTCGCGGCGGAGTTCAATCTTGCTCTTGCATCTCCATCGTCTCAGAACGCTTCATCGCTGCCCAACCCCATCTCGTCGGCACCCACGAGCAGCCCACCCGCCCCTTCCACACCTCTGCCAGCATCGTTTGCTGCTTGTTCAAGAGACGTCTGCTGCGCATCGCGTCGAGCGGTAAAATCGTGAGTCTTCGCTGTTCAGAGCTTCATCATTCTACTGTACTCGAGCTTAGCTTACCCCTACTGCTTACAGCCCAATCCCCCGCCCCCCACACCCCAAACAGCAACCACCCCACCATGATCTCTGACGGCGCTCTGACAGACATTGCGAACGGCCTCGGTATCGCAGCCATGGCTTTCATCGTCTTCTACCACTTTATTTCTGTCAACGGGAAGAGGATGGAGCAGTAGAGAGCCAGTACGATGGGTCAGAAGAGCAGGCAGGAAGAGAAAGAAGAGATGAAGAGCGGAAGGCGAAAAGAAGGTCATCGTCAAAGATGACACCAAGAGGATCTTGTTGTACCATATATGCATGGAAAATGCTGCCTCAAGCACCCACTTTGCGCCCCTCTTCTACTCAGCTCCTACACCTCCCGTGAGCCAGGAGGATGATACCCACTGGCAGCCGACCAGCCGTACAGAGTACAGACTACCTGGCGCTCACCGGGCTGCCGACGTGTCACTTGTCACTTTCGTCCTTCGCACTTCCCATCTCTCATCCTTCTCCTTGCATGCTTCGCTCTTTATCCCGCCTCGCCTCCCGCTCAAGAACATCGAGAATGGCACCCATCGTCTCTGTGAAAAAGCTGCCCACGCTGCAGGCTCAATATGATGCTGGGGACCTCCCTGCCATTCCCAAAGAAGGCGCTCCAAAGTTTCCATTTGACAAGAAATTGAATGAGCGTGTCACCATCTGGCGAGGGGATATCACCGTCCTGGAGGTAAGCCTTCGCCCCACTCTCAACTTCCGACTGCTGACTTTGAACTTTCAGAGCGATATGATTGTGAACGCTGCCAACAGCTCCCTCCTCGGCGGCGGCGGCGTAGACGGCGCTATCCACAGTGCTGCCGGCCGTAAGCTGCTGGACGAGTGCCGAACCCTCAACGGCGCAAAGACAGGTGAGACAAAGTTTACCAGTGCTTATAATGTACGCCCCTCTCCTTTCATTCTTTCCATGTGATTGAGCACAGATTGATCCCGTGTGATATAGCTGCCAAGCAAGAAAATTGCCCACACTGTCGGGCCAGTCTATTCGAGTGCCGAGAGATCCGCGCCTCTGTTGGCTTCGTGCTACCGATCGTCGTTGGAGGGGTGTAGGCAGTATGGAGGAGGGTCTATTGGGTTTAGCAGTATCTCGACAGGTGTTTGTAAGTTTGCTATCGATCCCGCCTTGTTCTGTTGGCGCGGGGGGTGTAGATGGAATGTGCTGATATAGGGAGTAGATGGATACCCGATCAAAGACGCCACCCACATAGCACTGGAGACGACCCGCAAGTTCTTGGAACAGGATGATACAGTAAGTGCCGTTCGCCCTCTTCTCAATCATCCCTCGTGCTCTTCCTGTCCTATCCTCCTATGTTTTTACAGTCCTATGCTTATGGCAAGATATGTGACAAGACACTAACCACAAACAGGTCACAAACGTCATCTACGTCGTCTTTTCCAAACGCGACGAATCCATTTACCACGAGCTCGTTCCCATCTATTTCCCCGGCTCTGACTTTACCTCTTCTTCCACCAAACCCGCCAAAGCTGCCTTTATCTCCCCTGAAGAACACGAATCAAGCAAGGTCAGAGAAGCCAGCGCCGAACCATCATCTTCCAACGCCCCAGTGGCGGCCGCAACAGCAGATCTGGCTGCTGGTATCGTTTCTGCCATTGCTGGCGCCACCGCCGGTATTGCCCCTGGAGAGAACTCTTCTGAGGGCGCTGAGGCTGCTCAAGTCGCGAAAGAGCCTCTGGAAGAAGGTTGGCAGGAGGTGGACGTTGCGGAAGCTAGAGATGCGCCGGTCTCTGAAGATGTTGGAGGGGATGTTTTGGGGTTTAAAGCTGGTCCGGCGGCTGATGAAGGTGCTGGAGAGGTCAAGCCGGAGAAGGTCAAGTCTGATTAGACCTCGGGCAAAAGAAGGAGAAGCGATTGGGGAATAATGTCTCATGTTGATAGGAGTTGTATCGTCCCGTAGCAATTCGCGCTCATGTTGGTGATTTCGATAGGTTTCATAAGGCAGAACAGAGTAGTCATGTACAGTATGAAGACATGATAAATGTATTTACAACAACACCAAAACAAGGAACAGACATGTGTATTGTGCGAGTACATCATCTAAAGAGCTCGAGCACAGCACGATATAGCAGTTGCAGTACCAGCCCCTTCGCGCCCAGTCTACGTCCCTCCTCCAGCAGCTCTCAATCCCCTCCCCAGCACCCACCTCAACACCCACCCCCCAGGCAACCTCCTACACAAATCTTCCAACACCGGCTTTAATCCCGCATTCAGCCTCTTTCTCGGATGAACGTCAGTGAGGGCGTGGGAGAGAGCCATGTGCAGTAGGGGAGGGTCGGTGAGGAGGAGGGTGTTTATAAGTGGTTGAGGAGGTTGTGGGGGGGTGATGGGGTTGAAAGTTATCAGACGGTTCGCGGAGCGTTGGGGGTGGGAGGGGTTTTGGGGATGGAGGGCTTTAGGTGGGGAGGATATGGGGGAGGTCAAGAGTGCGGTCTTTGACAACGGCCCTGCAGAACGTCAAATCCTTGCTGGGAAGGAAGCAGAAGCTCATACTTACCAACCATCACTTCACAGACCTTGACACCAGCCCGCCCCAACTCATTCCTCAACGACCCCGCCATTTCTTCCCTAATACTCTCCATGAACAGTTCCGTCTTGGTTCCGCAACGCGAGTTTGGCCATTCCGCGGAGGCTGTCGCAGAGGCAGTGTTGAGGAGGACTATACGACCGCCGCCTTGATGAGAAAGGGTGTCTTGGAGTTCCCGAATGACAGAGAGGGGATCGAGGACGTTTAGTCTGTATGCCCGCAAGAGGTCTTTCTCTGTTGCGTCTAGCAATCCCGTTCCGTCTCCCGGGGCCCACCTCACTCTCTTTTCGGTGACATACCCATTTACCTTCTCTTTTCCTTTTCCTTTTCCTTTTCCATTCACCAAGCAGGGCGCTTTCGGCACGTCTGGAGGCGGGCAATTGGAAAAGTTGGGGCAGATGACGGCGGAAAGAACGAGCTTGTTCTCGTGACAGTACGCGCGCACAGTGTCACAACCATGCGCAAACCTGCCCCCTTCTTTGTCTTTCCCTTTTCCCTTCCCAGTTTTCCCATCCTGCCCTCCAAGCTCCCCGAGATACACATCGCCATTCAAAGCCGCTCCATCAGGGTCCACGATCACAGGCACAACAGCCCCGGAATGATTCGCATGCTGCGCCCTCAATCGTTTCTGCAGGACAGACCATTTTTGGAGCAGGTCTGGTAGCGGGGAGGAAGAGGAGGAGAAGGGGGTGATGGAGATGAAGGGGAAAAGGGTGTAGCCTTGCTTGGCGAGTTGGAGGGTGAGGGCTTGGGGAATGACTTGGCCTCTTTGTCAGCCGCGCGGCGGATGGGACCGAGGGGGCCACGGTTACCTTCATTGCAGCCCAGAATGACTAATGCTTTACCCCTTCCTAGTTCCCATGACTGGCCGCCGCTAAGGGGCTCCTTGGAAAATCCAATACCATCGGAAGCCCCGACCGTAACCAACGCCCCGCCCCAAAGATCCCCAATCGCCGACGCCGCGGCTTCGTAGGACAACGCCAGAAGGGCGCTCACGTCCTTGGTGAGCGCTATGAGCGACTCTGATGTGGTGTCCTGTCGCCTGGACATTTTTGAAGCCATGAGATAGAAGAGAAGGAGAGGAAAGCGGAAGGGCGGTGGTGGATGGGAAAGGTGGAGGTGATCGGAAACAGTGAGTAACCGACGATCAGTCACCGTCTTGTTTGGTTCCGCAACTGTCAGTCCGCCGGGGAATATCCTAGGTCAGGGGAAGCGGATGGGTCTTGGAATTATTGCGGAATAGCATGAGAGGACAGCGGTCGCTGGCCCTGTAGCTCTGTATGGTTTCGCTGTATTTGCACGCACAGAAGTCAGAACGTGATCATCTACTCATAGACCAGTACCACAGGCTGCTTTTTGTTGACAGGATTCACAATCACGTGTTCCGACAACTGCTCCCACTCGACGGTGTCCGTGGCTGTACACGATTAGTCTTTGATGGTCTCTGATGCATACTATCTTCCCGATGTACAACTACAGTCAATCAGTCGCCGTCGGGGATACACTACAGCCTAGCGGTTGTGCGCAGATAATGCACTTTCTAGGATCGGTCATCGAATTACTGCTCCTTGGAGTTCGCCTTCGTTCCTCGCAGATGAGAGGTTTGACCCAGCAGCACGTCTGCAATCAGTAGCCCTGTCGCATCTGGTATGCTCCATCTGCCTCTACTATCGTTTTGCAACTATATGTATCAACAACACAGTATGCCAATGGTATAGTCTGCGTGTTCAGCTATACTCGTCCGCTCCCGCGATGTCTCTGCACAGGTTGCGCTCTTGCTGTAGTTTAGAGTCTGCCTATACAGTCGAGTCTGCGAGCCTTATAACGCGTCGCGTCGCGTCGACGCGTTTACAATTTCTTTTCATCTTTCCAACTCTCTTTTCATCGTTCTCAAACATCCACTTTTACGCTCAAAAGAATCCCAACCATGACACTCCCTACAACACCAACATCGTCTGATCCTATCCTCGCATTCGATACCCACGTAACTGTGGGCATCCTACACGCCCTCCCACTGTCGGATCTCCTATCGGCTTGTCTCATCAACAAGAGCTGGAATGCTCTCATCAAAGCAAACTCGGAGTCTATCTACCGATCTTTGGCCCACAACATTGGTATTGACGCCAGGGATGTTGATATCCTGGAAGGCTATCACCAATACGCGTCTTCCCGCAAGGAAGGAGACGAGGGCGCGTGGAATAGAGAAATATTTGACGTCTGTGGCATCAAAGCCCCCTTCGAAGACGCTAGGAAGGAACTATCCTGGAAAAGGGCTTGTCAGACGTATCTGAGACGAAAGAGGAATTGGGTTTCTGGCCGAGGGACGGTGGGATATATTGGGGTGCCCGACAATGATGTCGCGAGCGTCGCGGTGGACGAGGCGCAACAGGTGCTCTACGTCGGTACTTGGAACGGTAGATTTTCTGCTTGCTACTGTGGGTACTCTACTGATACGTGGTAGATACTGTACTGGGCGTCGATCCCGCCAAGCCCAATGAACTCTTCTCCGAGATGGATTTCGACGACAATGGCGCCGTCCAAGAACTCTTCTGGCAGAACGACCATCTCATCATTTCCGGCTCTGAAGCCGTACACACCTGGGTTCCCGACTCTGATTCCCGAGGATTTTTGGTCCCTTCCGAGACGATAGAGTACAAGAATGGAGATGCAAAGAGGACGCATGTGGGAGAGCAGAATGGAAAGCCAGTTGTGGTCACTGTGAAGGAACCTCATACCATGCTTGTGCAGGATGTGGTTGGCGGCAAGGAGAGCAAGCTTTTGCTGAAGAACCTGCCTGCGAAGAAAGTGACTTGGCCGAAAAGCAAGGTATGTCTCCATACGATCCATTCCATGGGCTAGTACTAACGCGTCGTGTCAGGTTATCGTCAAAGACGACTACATCTTCCTCATCTCTGGCGGTCTTCACATCTACCCAGTCTCCTCCCCCACAACCCTCCTCGCCTCTATCCCCAAGATCGACATGCTCCCCTTCCCCAACGCCGTTGTGCCCAAGCACGTGTATAGTCTGGGCATGAACCACGAGGGAGTGAAGCCGCCGGTAGCTGAGGATGGTGAGGCGTTGGTGCACAAGCTGGAGATGGTGGTGGAGAAGAGTGAAGATGTTGGGATGGATGCAATGTTCAACTTTGTTTCAGAGTGAGTTCCTTTGTCTACCGTATCTCTTACATTCGCTGATGAGCATACAGCGTCCACGTTACTGCGACAGATCTGTTTGTTGTTGGTACGACCGGGACCGTCTACGTTCTGCGTTCCTACAAAGACGTTTTGTCTATCGCAGACCCTAAGAAAAGGAAGGCCGCCCTCAACGAGCAAGTCATCGCACTCAAATTCAAGGGTGGGCTGAACTCTATCGCTGTGCATGGCGAAAACGTCGCCATATTTTGCGTACGTCCATCTCCTTTCGCTCTCCCGATCCAATCTGACTCGTAGCAGTTATCCGGCATCTACCTCCTCCACACCTCCTCCCTCCCCTCACCCTCCAGCACCCAGACCACCATCCCCCTTCACCTGCTGCTTGATGCCCCATCCGCTCTCCTCCCCCAACTTGAAGAATCCATAACCCTCGTCCTCACCCGCTCGCGCCTGTATGTCGTCTGGTCAGCTTCGATCGAGTTTGATGAAGGCGAGATTGTGGATGGGAAGGGCGTGGGGAGGTGTGTGGATGAAGAGCTTTGTGAAGGGGATGGATATTGCTTGAAAGTATGGGATTTTGAAGGGGAGGATGATGGGGTGGTGGTTTGATCTGGGACTTTTGGGGATGTTGTTTTACCTTTGGACATTTGGGATTGATGCATTTTGTATAAGCAACTTGGCACGCTTCCTTTGGACAATTGATAGCCCCTCCCCAACGTTCGCCCTCACCAGGGAATCGCCCGCTCGCAGATCACTCCTCCCATCCAAAATCCCAAGCCTTCACGCACATCCCCAAGTCGTCTGTCGTTAACTGCGCCTCGTAAATATCAATCTCCTCTCCCCCATTTCTTGCACGTTCCTGCGCCCAATAGACGAGATAGATGGTGGTATCGTCCATCTGGAGCGAAGAGGAATGGCGGAGGCCGTGTTCGTGGACGTCGAGCAGGGATAAGAGGCGAATTTTGGGGCAGGGTGCTGAGGGTGTGGACGCAGTGGGCGGGTCGTAGGGCGGGGCGGGTAGAGATGCAGCGTCGAGCACGTAGACTTTTTCATTCTGAGCTCGCATTAGCCGATCAAGAACTACTCTTTCAAGGCGACTGACAGTGTTGAAGACTACCTTCTCCCCGCAAGTCGCCAACTGGTTCAGTGTTTGCTCCTCCCCGCGCTCTCCAGTTTCAAGATCACCCGTAACATCGAGAAGCAGTAGGTGCCTCATGATCGCCTCCTGCCTTTTCTCAGGATCAGAGATAGAAAGCACTTCTCGGTAAGAACGGAGGACGTAGAGAATGCCGGAAATGTTCGCGCAGAAAAGGTCTTGAGAGGTATAGTGGCAACTGTGGAATGTCAGGCAGAAACAGGCAAAAGAAGCGATACACTCACGCGTTAAACCGTTGATCAATATTGAACAGTGAATCATGTCTTTGTATCCGACTGTTTTCAGAGTCCGAATCCCCGATCCACCAGCCGTCGAGCCAGACCAATTCTGCCCTCGCTTGCTTCTCACCCGGTCCACTGGGCGTCCGGATCGGCAAGGCAGTCTTTCCTTCATTTGGGAAGAGACCATAAAATACGTGGAGAGGTTGCTCCAGGGATATCTCGGGGAAAGTCGAAAGAGCTTTGTGGGTGTGGCGAGAGAAGGTGCGCATGTCATTGTCGCTGCAGACGAATAGGAAATCGTCGTCGAATTCAATGTACTAGCCTTGGGTCAGGTTCGTACCATACAGCCTCGGTGGCACTCACATTGACATCCTGGTTCATAAAGTCACCAGCAAGCGAGTAGCTCTCCACATAGCCGTCATTGGCCAGATCATAGATGTACGCATGCGTGGCCCCGGCGAAACCAACGACGGGGCGTTCTTTGTCCGTACCCTCTCGATTTGTTCGAGCCCGGAATGCGAAGCAGTCGGTGGGGGTGCTGATGGACCGGTAGTATGTCAAATGCCCCCTCAGCGTCTCCCCATCTTGTAATTGCCAAGGCCGCTTTTCTGTATGCGACCACCCATCTCCATAAGTCGCAGACTCTTCCACATTCGGGATTCTTTCCTTCTCCTCTGGGGATAGTCTCGCCAATGCTGGCGGAGTGAGGTGAACTTCAAAGTGGTTCTCAATATTGAAGATCAAGTAACCTTTGGTGAATTCGAGGTGGGCGTAAGCAGCGGTGTCGACGTATTCAAAGAGAGGTGTGTAGGGAGCAGCTAGAGTGTGGGCTTGGATTCCGCCTACAAAGAGTGAGCGATGGTCACAATCATGACTAGGCACATACCAATACGGGAAACGGTGTAGAGGACTTGTTCTTCCGGGTCAATCTTTTGCCTCCAAACGGCGTTACTGCCGGGAGTCAGCCATTTCGTCGTTGCTCGACCGTATTTCCAATTCTTCTCTTCCATCACCGCCTTCTTCACTGCTGCTTTCCAGTCTACCTTGAGGCCTCCTACCAACGCATCGCTCGATGAGATTCTGGTCGTTTTAGGAGCATCCGCCGCTGCTTTGAGGCGATTATACCTCTTGGAGTTGAGGATGGATAGGGAGAGGTTGCGGTATATCGATGTAGAGTAGCTGTCTATGACAGTCTTCCAAGGTTTGGAGACTAGGTGGCAGGAGATGAGGTCGTGAAGGGGCAGGAGATACAGGATCTCCAGCGTGATGGACGGGTCGAGGCGGAGTAGGGGGTCGAGGGTCGCACCTGGTAGAGACATAGCTGCGACTTGTATGGGCGCTACTGAAGCCGCAGTGTGTGACTACTTTCACTCTAGATATGGGGTCATTGACGACCCTGGGAGAACCCAACAACGGCGATTATGAACGGGATCTAATCGTTACGTCATCATTTCTTCACGCGTGTGTTGTTGTGACTAACCTGGGTTGGATGGGAGGTCTAGAGGGAGTATGACTCAAAAACACGATGAATTCACATCTCCATTTCTCATCTGCATCTAATCTTGCCATGCTCGCAAAAGCAGCCCTCCCCACCCTCTTCTTCACCCTTGCAGCCTTCATCCTCCTCCTCCTCGTCACCCTCTCCGTCCCCATCATCAAGAGCATATACCTCCTCCGCATCAACGGGAGCATCAGTCTCGGCCTCGCAAGCGGGAAGGCCTCTGTCGATGCCGGTGTACTGGGTCTCTGTTACACTGGCGCTGAAGCTAGGTTTGTCTTTCGATTGTGGCACAGCTCCCGCTCACACAACGCACAGCATCCTGGGTGTGAGCGTACACGATGATGGCAGCTGCAACAGTCCAGAGCTTGGCTATTCTGTCTTTGACAATCCCATTATTGCCATTATCATTGACAACAACTCGGACTTGTCCCACACCACCCTCAAAAACCTCACCAAAGCCCTGGTACTCAACCCGATAGCATGTGGCCTGGCGGGATTGGCGCTCTTCACAGCACTGTTTGCTTGGCTCTGTGCAAGCAGGGTATTTGAGATCGTGAGATTATTATGCTGAAGAAAGAAAAGCAAGCTGACCTGACTGTAGATAACCTTCTTCACCGTCTGTCTCGCCTCTCTCATCGCATGGCTCGCATTTGCCCTCGACCTCGCCATCCCCCTCGTCGCCCGGCACAAAATCAACGACGATGACGACTCCATCCTCTCTGCCTCTCTCGGGAACGCCATGTGGCTCGCGCTCGTCGGCGCTGTAAGTCCCTCCCCCATCTCATTGATCAGGGACATCGTGCTGACAAGGCGGTGCAGATATTGTTGACTCTGTCGATCTGTTTGGCGGGATGTGGTGTGTTTGGGAGGTACAGCTCGAGGAGGAGGAACGCCGATGCGGAGTATGTGGAGAAGCCTGGGTTCCAGCCCAAGCGTCGATTGTGAGTATTCCGTAGGTTTGAAAGTCGCGCGCTGACGATCCTCATAGCTGGCAGCGAGCTCCTTCGGCAGGGCGAGGTACTTATTAGGAGACGGGTGGCAATTGACATTATCATATAGACTTTCGTAAGGTTTCCCAGAGAGGACACTACCTGTAGCATAGATGGACGTTGGTCGCCGGCTTGTATATTACTTCCATTTTTAGTGAACTAAATGAAGAAAATGGATCACGTTAGGCCTGCAAAGGGAAGAGCTATCATCATTACGATTCGAGTACTGTCCGTCACGTCTGTAAGCAGACTTGTACATAATATGTCTCCACGCCATACTAGTAGCTCCGGGACGCTTGATGCTTGACGCTCTCAGACAGCAACACCTCAAATACACTGGTGTAACATCACGAAATTGTGGACACTGTAAACTCGCTGGCCGACGATGTTGACTCCGCCTCATATAAACCTTCGGGTCATTACGATACATCGTTCTACTGTTCTACTGTTCAAGAGTAGCTGAATCGTCGGTCGACATCGCCCTTTGACACTATGCTGCTGAAAGAGACTCCGGGTTATCAGGCACTGCATACATGCATGATGCCCGCCAACATTGATAGCTCGAACCGATCAGTCCGCGTATATCAATAAAGCTGACCACGCCGATAGGTGTAACTAGACCCCGAATGTCCCTCCTCGTGAGCTACTGTCCTATCCGAACAGATCACCCAATGAAACTTACAACGGAATACAAAAACATCCAAAGTCCATTGCCTGGATGATACTCCCACCCAGAAGCATGGTCGTTCTGGTTCAAATGATGCCTAAAATTCAAGCATATGGCAACGTTCAGCCAAAAGGATAGCCACGCAAAGATGATTGTGGCTGTCGTGGTCCATGTGCTTAACTGAATTATCCACATCATCAGCCCAGAGTGCATTTGCAACAGAGTGAACAGAAAAAGGGGACTTGCAATAGGCCATTCACTTCCTTCTAAAATTATATCCACAATGAAACTGAGCGCCGCGATACCAGCCCAGATGGCAGTCAGATGGTTGGTGACAAATGCGCGATTCAGCGTTTGGGAAAGACTGGTAGTAAGTGTCTCATTGGCGGGGAGATTGAGGAATGTGGTGTTGGGCTTGAAAGAGAGAGTTTGGACACACTTCCGAGGACTACGGAGCAAATTATGAGTCAGTGTCTCCTTGAGGCTTGGCCACAGGGCGAGTCATCAGACTTACAGGTCACCGTAGTACATACATCCCCCAGACGGTCCCAGAGATATCTTTGCTATAGCCCATGATGAACCGTCCGCAGAGGTGATGTTGGCGGTCGCGGTGGTAATACTCAGTGAAGGGATATAGTAGCCAGCACACGATACTATAGTCAGAAGGATGAAGGGGGCCCCTGTCCATTGATCAGCCGCGCTTCATTGCAAATTTTGGAGAGATAGTCTCTCGGGGCTGCCTTACATAGTATGGCCAAGACACCGATGATGATCGATATCCCGACTGCTTTCCCGCATGCTGGTAGCCAAAATTCGGACTCAATGGTCTTATCATCTGATGATGAATCTACCTTTTAAGATGCAAGTGTGAGCTCTTTGTATCAGTATTATGATGCGAATGAGCACGCACAGCCAGAGAGAAAGTCATAGACTTGGTGTCGTCTTCCTGCCTTTCCGCTCTCAAGCGTCGGACTTCGACCATGTCACATCCCTCTTTCACTTGCTCCATCAGCATCTCTTTGATCTCGAAAAATTCCCAATCTTCGACATTCTCTCCCGTTTTCGAGTGGTAATGTCCGTTCACGACATCTCGACACAGCTCGACGCGGCGACAGTTCGGAAAGACGTTTTTGCGCTGCTGTTCGGCGGCTTCGTGGTTGAGCATACTGACATGCCACATTCCCGCCATGTCTTGCACTCTGAGCGTCTCTACATGCTCCAAGCATTTGAGCTTCCTCTGAAGTCCTGGGTCCGAAGACTCGAGTCCGCGGAGTAGAGTTTTGCTGGCTATGACATTCCGATAGAGGCTGGGCGTGATGAAATCGTAGACGTATTTCGACAAGACGACGGCTTTGGTGGGGGCTACGAGGGCGAGGTGGTCGATTATGATGTGGTAGACAGGCGCGAGGGGAGCTATGGAGGTGAGTTTTTTTCCCAGGCGGGAGTAGTGGAGTGTGTATAAATAAAGAGTGTAGGAGCGAGGCAACTTGGCGAGGCCGATCTCTTCAGCCTCAGATATGCTGCTGCCCATGTCGATTACTAGCGAAGAAAAGGCGCTGGAGCATGTAGATAATTGTGAAGGCGGCTGTTATATGACCAGAAAATTGTTTTTTTTTTTCTAATTGTGAAATGCTGCTTCCACTGCTGCCACGGTTCCGCACCGTGTTTCTGTCACACGTAGTAATTCCCTGAAGTGGCTTTGGCGCTGAGTTGTGTGGATGGTTGAAGGACGTGCGGTGTACATACTCATTTCATATCTCATTGTCTACTCTTTCTCTATGCGATAATACCGAAAAGGTCTTTTCCCCTCCAAAATCACCTTTTCCAGTCCTCCCCCCTGCTGCGTCCCAGCAGGCCGTGACAGTTTCAGATCCGCATAGTGGTGGTTAGTACGTATGCAGCCAGATGTTGGACGTTGAACAGAATCCCTCTTTTTTGATCGTCTTTCCTTGATATACATGAATAATGATTCAAGCTGAAAATGACCTATTCGTTCTGATCAAGATAATTGACATGATAGACATTTGCAGCTAGCCCCGCAAGTTTCTCATCAGCCTAGCCTTCCGATGTAGAATGGAAAAACGTTGAGTAGGGAACTTACGACTGTACTCGTATACAAGAACTGCCACAGCCTCGACAAATCCACAATCCTTTCCCACAAACTTGAAGAGTAGCTCCTTGAACATACCGATTGATCTTGATGGCATGAAACACCGGCAAGGATGGGAAGGCAGGCACAGCCAGGTACACGACACAAAGAAGGTTATCCGTCACAGCAGCGCCGCAATCGCAGAGCTCGTTGTCGACGTCGTAGTTGTACATGCATCATGTCGATGGCCCGCTTCATATGACATCTATTCAAGGAGTAGTGGTAGTTTTGCTATTCACGGTGTTTGCCAAGAAAGAAGTATGCACCTAATCAACCCCGCATCAGCCGGCCGTATAACCAAATCAGAACAAAAGGCCAATGAAAACACTCACAACTGTATACAAGAACAGCCACAGTCCATTACCCACATGATAATCCCATCCCGAAGCTTCATCGTTCATGTTCAAGAGCCTCCTAAAGTTCAATCAGATGGCGACGTTGAGCCAAAATGAGAGCCAGGCGAAAAGGGATCCCCAGATCATGAGGTTTTGAGAAGTCTAGATGATGATCAGTCCATTTCTGAGAAGAGGCCAAAAGGATGAGGTACCTACAGCAGACCAACTGTTGTCGTTGAATCCCACAAGTAGACTGATAGTCGCAAAGCCAATACATCCAGCACTTATATAGTTGGTGACAAACGCTCGATTGAGGGTTTGGGAGAGGCTGGTGGTGAGAGTCTGGTTGACTGGTAGGTGGAGGAATGCGGGGTCGGGCTTGAAGTCGAGCGTCCGAATGCATTTCCGAGGGCTTCCAATACATCTCAGTATATCTTTCAGACTGGGTAGTACGAACCAGACTTACGAGTCATCGTAGTACATACAACCACCAGATGGACCGATAGATATCTTTGCCATGGCCCATGTTGAGTCGTCGTCGGAGGTGATGTTGGCGGTAGCATTAGTAATGTTGAGCGAAGGGATGTTGTAGCCGGCACACGATAAGAGGATAAATAGGATAACAGGGGCCCCTATTCATTCGATTAGCAGACCGTCTACCCAAACCCGAAGATGTGGGGAGGCTCTGGCTTACAGCTCAAAACCATACCAGCGACACCCCACATCTCGGCAACCAACGGGTTCGGAGCAGGTTGAGAGGTGATGAGATCAAATGGAGAGCCCTTTACAGTATGCGCGTCAGCTGTTAGCTAAGCTTCGGTGTAAATTTGGTATTCACACTTGGGGAAGTCATGGACATGGCATCGTCGCCCTCTGCCTTGCCTTCCCTCAAGCTTGGTATCTCCACGATCTCACTGTCACGCCTGGAGAGTGCCCTTGGCGTGCTGAAGAGAGTTTTTGTAGTAAGGGGCGAAAACCTTTTCGTTATTGTCGCATATGAAGAAGAAGAAACTATGAAAAAGACTCTGATACGTGTAACAACGGAGAGCACGGTCCACAAACACACAACTAATCTATTGAATGAACTAATTACACAGATGACTCCTTTAACCATGACAAATCTACCCTCCTCCCTCATCGCCGACGAGCCCGCCGTTGCGAAGGGTTCACCGCGGAAGCAATGCGGTCGAATCCCGGCTTGGATGGGTGCTCAGAGTTGAAAGCCACCACACGAGGGTCGGAAACCGGTAACTGGGACGCAGGGTACCATGAGCGATAGTCAAATCCGTCTCCAGCGCGTACCTCGACATTGTACCGAAGTCCTTGTCCCCCGTGTCGCTCGCAGTCGACTATGCGTGCAGAGGCCGGCGGAGTCGGTGGCAGGAGGGCGGGAGGTGGCGCTGATACGGCAGGAGGCAAGGTGGAAGGTGTAGGAACAGGCAGGGGAGGCAGGGGTGGGGTGGTTGGGGATTGGGGACAGCTAGGAGCAGAAACAGGAACAGCGACGCCGGTCTCTGACGATAGGGCTCAAGCAGACTCACATGGAACACCGGGTGCAGTTTTGAAAGATAGGCCGGGAGGGCGAGGCATATGCCACCGGGCTAATGATGGCCGAGATAGGGAAGGGGCCCAACAAGGAGCTATCAAGCTTCCGTGATGCACGTGTAGAGGCGATGTTCTTACGATTGAGCATAACCAGTGACCCGACCTTGAATAAGTCAGGGTTGGCAGCCTGCCGGTGACGATTGGCGAAACGAGCGTGCCGGTCCTTGGCCAAGGTCAAACAACGGCCGATCTGTTGTCGTGTACGGTGGAGGGCGGCAAGCCAGGAGGAAGACTGAGGAGAACGAGGGTGGGAGAGGGGAGGGCTCAACTGGTCGCGGGGGTGGAAGCCATGGTTGGCGAAGAAGGGGGTGGAGCCAGTCGAGCTGTGGTACGAGTTATTGTAGGCAAATTCAAGCAGAGGAAGATGATTCACCCAGTCATTTTGTTCTTCATTGATGTAGACCCGCAAATACTCCTCGATTGTCTGGTTTACCCGCTCTGTCTGGCCATCGGTCTGAGGGTGAAATGCTGTACTGAAAAGCGGCTTGGTCCCCATCTGCTCACAGACGTCGCGCCACCAGGCAGCAGTGAAGGTAGAACCCCGGTCCGAGATGATGTGCTCGGGAAGGCCATGGGGCCGAACCACATGCTGGAAGAATTGCTGGGCCAGGGACGCGGCCGTGTCGCCTTTGTGCGCGGGCACAAAATGAGCCATCTTGGAGAAACTGTCGACAATGACCAGAATGGAGTTGAACCCACGACTGCGAGGCGGATCTGTGATGTGGTCCCAGGAGATGGTATGCCAAGGCCCCGGGGGAACAGGGAGAGGCTGGAGGAGGCCTTGGTATGTATGGCGAGGGGGTTTGACGTGTTGACAGGCTTCACAAGAGCGAACATACGCATCCGCCATGGCATGCATACCGGGCCAGAAGAAGTTGCGGCCCAGGCGATTCGGAGTTTGTGCTGGCCCACATGACCCGCCAGGGGAACGTCGTGCGCTTGTTGCAGAAGCATCACCCGAATATCGTCCACGTCCGGGACGTAAAGACGTGACTCATGGAGAACAAACCCATCGGAGGAAAGGGAGAAGGACCGGAGGCGACGCGAGAGTCGGGCAGAGCGAGGTAAAGAAGGGTTGCGAAGGGCAGTGACAATGGGGAGGATGAAAGGGTCGTGGTCTAACGCGAATTTGATCCGAGCTAGCAGAGTACGGTCAATGGGTGCGGCGTCTTCTGAGGTGAGGGCAGAAAGACTTAGCTCTGGGTCCAACAACGCCGCTGAGGCCGAGAGGGGTGCAGCCCATGGCCCCGGCAGCGCCTCCGCGGTGATAGGCCGGAGAACCGACACACGCTCCGTGCCCCCTGTTGCATCCACAGCATAATCTGCCCGCCGTGATAAGGCGTCGCAGGCCCCATTGAGACGACCGGGCCGATAGCGAATGTGATATTTGTGGTGGTTGATAAGGTGGGACCATCGAGGGACGCGACGGTTACGGATTGTCTGGGTCTGGAAATGCTGAAGAGTCTGATGATCGGTCAGGATGGTGAAGGGATGAGCAAGACCCTCGAGGTAATGACCCCAGATCTCCACAGCCTCCACTAACGCCAGCAGTTCCCAGTCATAGGGCCCCCAACGTGTCTCTTCGTCCTTCAACTTCCGTGACCAATAAGCAATGGGATGAGGGAAACCGTCGGACTGCACCTGGGAGAGAATCGCAGCGACGGCATAAGAGGAGGCGTCGGTCTCAATGATGGTGGGGAGCGCAGGGTCAAAATGCTGCAGCACAGGCGCGGTGGTGAAAGCCTCTTTGAGCGTGGCGAACGCTCGTTGGCAGTCGGCGGACCAGGTGAAATTTGTGGCTTTGTGGGTGAGAGCTTGAATGGGCGCAATGAGGGCAGCGAAGGAAGGAATGAATCGCCGATAAGCGTTGGCAAACCCCACAAATCTCTCAACGTCCTTGGCACAAGTGGGCGAGGCCATTCCTGTATACTTGTCACCTTGGAGCTGGCCATTCCAACACCTTTGTCAGAGATGTGGTAACCCAAGAACTCACACTGATTCACCGAAATCGCACACTTCTCGGCCTTGACAAAAAGCTTGTTGTCCAAAAGGCGCTCAAGTACCTCACGCACATCACGCTCGTGGGTTGCAGGGTCGGTCGAATAGATAATGATATCGTCCAGGTAGCAGGTTACCGTAACGTCCAGGATACCCCGGAGGACGTGGTTCATGAGGCGCTGAAAGGCTGATGGGGCATTAGTCAGACCAAAGGGAACCACCAAACACTCGAAAAGACCATAACGTGTGCGAAACGCCGTCTTCCATTCATCCCCTTCCTTGACCCGCAAAAGGTTGTGCGCTCCTCGCAGGTCGAGAGTGGTGAAGAGCTTAGCGGAAGCGAGTCGGTCCAGGGTTTCGCTGATCAGGGGCACCGGGTATCAGTCTTTGATGGTGATGGCGTTGAGACCCCGATAGTCATGGCACATGCGTAGTGTACCGTCTTTCTTGGGAACAAAGAGAATGGGCGCGCCAGCAGAGGAGGATGACGGTCGGATGTGGCCTTTGTCTAACGCCTCGCGGAGACCCTCCTGGAGGACCTTCAACTGGACGGCGGAGAGGTTGTAAAGCGGCAGAGAGGGAGGTGTGGTGCCGTCCTTAAGCTCGATATTGACGTCTAAATTGGGACGATGGGGCGGGAGATCGGCTGTGGCCTCTTTGGAAAAAACCTGCGCCAAATTGTGGTAAGCCGAGGGGATAGACGGAAGGACAGACTGGAGGTAAGGTTCGTGGGACACTGCGACTCCAGGCGCTGCATCGGCCTCCAAAGATGCCAGTTCCAGAGCGTCCACAGACAGCGGATCAAGGCGGAGCGATAACACTGGCAAACTCTCAGCCACTACCAGGTCATGAAATTCCACCGCATTCAAAAATACAGAGGGTGGGGATGGGTGAGGTGGAAGCGAAGGATCGCAGGGGGTAGATAACGAAGGGGCAAGGGCAGACGCAGAGAAAACAGACGACAAAGGCAAGGAAGGGGACTCAGCTTTGGGTACGGCGGCAGGGGGTGGTGAGGCCAGGGTTGAAGAAGATGGAGGAGAAGGAGGGAAGGCAGGCGTTGCAGGGGGGGGCAGCGACGTCCATGGCCCGGCCGGGGTCAGCAGTATCGACACGCACAACAGGGGTTGGGGACTCAGCGCGGAAAGACCGAACCTGACGTGAAACCCAATCGATGTCGGGATTGTGCGTTGCCAGCCACGTGGTCCCGAGGACGACCTCATAGTGACCCAGAGCACAGACAAACAGTTCAAGGCATTCGGTGTGTTGTTGAGAGCTGAGGGTCAGAGAAACCGTATGGGTCACGGCGCCCGACGAGATGGCGCGCCCGTCAATAACTTTCAGTGTTCGGGGCGTACCTAGACGACGTTGGGGCAGCTGTAAACGGTCCACAAGACCAGCCGATATGAAAGAACCGGTGGCGCCCGAGTCGATAAGCGCAGGTGTTGTGACCGAGGCAACTGGGCCGGAGAAACGGACGTCCAGCGTGGTATGGTTTGTGACAGGGACTTGAGACAGCGACGAGATACATAGTGTGGGGGGGCAGCTATTCTCTGTAGGCCGGTGATCAGTGGCCACACAAGGAGAAGGAGAGGACGTCCCGGGTTGCGCACACTTCTTGTTCTTCAGCTTTTCACAAGAGTCCTGCTGGTGGTCGGGATCTCTGCAGTAGAGACACAAGGCCCACGCTTCTCGGACGAAACGCTCCAGGTGGGTCAGGTGGTGAGGACGAGGAGCGTCGCCCCACTCAGGAGCAGGGATTGCTTCGGGACGGCGAGTGGAGGGTGCCGCCTTGGTACCTTGGTTGGACCAGACGGGGAGTCGCAATGCCTGAGCCAAAAGGGCGTCGGCAGAGGGAGGGAGAGACTGTTGGGTGGTGGGGACCATGTAGGCGGCGTTTAGATGAAGGTGGGGCTGGAGTGGCGGAGGGTGGCGGGGAGGGGCAGCGGAGATGTAGGCCATTGACCTCTCAATCTCTTCCGCCAAGGCGCACGTGTCGTCGAAGACCGTGATCTGGTGGTGCCCTTGGGTGCGCATCTCCGCGAGCAGGCGCTCCCGGAGCTCAGGCTTGAGGCCTGCCTCCCAAACGTAGAGACAAGCCGGGTTGTCGACCTCGAGCTCTAAGGGCTCCAAGGCTTGACGGAAACGCTGACTGAAGTCACGTACCGCCCCCGTCTGTCGCAAGCCCACCCATTCCTGTACCAGGACGGGAACACTCTCCTTCGGCACGTACTGGTTCTGTCGCAAGCCCACCCATTCCTGTACCAGGACGGGAACACTCTTCTTCGGCACGTACTGGTGAAGCAAGGCGTCACGGAACTCAGGCCAGCTGAGGTGTTCTTTGGTCGTGGACCAGTCCAAAGCAGGCCCGCTGAGGTGCATCTGCGCCCACCACCGGGCGTAGTCTGGGAATTGCCGGAAGTAAGGGTGGCCGCGAATGTGCTGGTTCAACGTCTTAATGACCTCCTTGGCGTCCTCTTTCCCTTCACCCCTCAACTGGACGTTCAAGGTCGGGGGCAGGTGGAATGCGGGGGACGGGTAGCCGGGGAACTGGGACGGAATTTGTGGCGGAGGGTAGGCCTGTGCGCCGATAAAGGGGTTTGGGGACGCCAACTGGGGCGGAGCTTGTGGCGGAGGGTATACCTGTGCGCCGACAAAGGGGTTCGGGGACGCCTGATAGTGAGGGGAAGAGGAGTTGGGGTCCTGAGGTATAGGACGGTGAAAAGTCGGGCGATGGGGTGCGTCCGGGGCATGAAGTGGAACGTTGTCCGGCCCAAGTGGGGTGTTGGGCAGGCTCAAGTTGCGCGAGAGTGGAGCCTGGAGGGGGGGAAATTGTGGTGCCGGAAGTGGCGGAAAAGCGGTGGAGTTGGGGGGAGGAAATTGAGGTGCCAGAGGTGGCGGGAGAGTGGTAGAGTCGAGTGGAGAGTCGAGTGGGTGTGCCATTGTTCTGATTATACGACAACTTGTCACGCCTGGAGAGTGCCCTTGGCGTGCTGAAGAGAGTTTTGTTGTAAGGGGCAAAAACCTTTTCGTTATTGTCGCATACGAGGAACTATGAAAGAAGACTCTGATCTATATATACGGAATTACGGAGAGCACGGTCCACTAAACACACAACTAAATGAACAAACTACACAGATGACCCTATAACCATGACACTCACACCCCTCTTTCAGCTTTGACAGGGTTTCTTTGAGGGTACTGAAGCTCCAATCTTCCACAGTTTCTTCCTTCTTCATGTGATAGTGTCCGTCCACAACGTCTTGAGATATCTCGACTCGAGTGCAACTCGGAAAGACCTTGGCGTATCGCACCGCGGCGGCATGATGATCGAGCATACTCACATGCCACATCGCCGCCATATCCTCCACTTTCAGTGTCTCTGCATGTCTCAGACAGTCGAGCTTCCGCCGATTCCCCGGTTCAGCCGACTCTAGTCCTCGAAGCAAGCTCTTGCTTGCAGTGACATGGCGGTAGAGCTTGGGAATGGTGATGTCGTAGACGTACTTCGACAAGATGAGGGTCGTGACGGGGGTCACGAGGGCGAGGTGGTCGATGATGATGTGATGAACCGGCGCGAGGGGGGTGATAGAAGTGAGCTCGAGGGCTACAGGGTGGGTAGAGTGGGGAGGGGACGCGCTGGGAGTGTAGTAGACTGGCAGCTCGATCTCCTCGACGGGGTGCTTGCTGGAGTCCATGGCGGGTGGCGGAGCGGGTGCATGCATGAGAGATATGATTCTGATGGTTGCTGATTATGTAGGGGAACATTGTTTTGATTGCACGAGGCTGTGCCGAACAAGCTTCCGTGCTCCGGATGGCAGGACAGGCACACCCAGGCACAGAACAGCAACATCAGTCAACCTCTGCCAAGTGGGTTCCACAACTTCTGTGATTCCTGTCTACCTGGTAAATAAAGTCAAATCTTATTAGAACTCAGAGAACGTTCGCCTAGAACAGAGGTAGATACACGACGGTCATGTGGCTGTCGCCACTCGACCCAGAAATACCCCGGAGCGTCTCGACTGATGTTTGCCTGTAGAAAACACTGGAAGGTCATGAAAAAGGGATGCGTAGGCTTGAGGCTGGATATAAATACCGACATTTTTTGATAGCTTTAAGATACTCTGTCGATCGAATATCGTTGTCTCTCCAGCACGAACACAAGCGTCCATGTCCTCCGGCATTGGCTTGGCTACCTCTCATGGTCCTCAAGTCATTTCGACTCACCTCGTCTACTACAAGGGCAGTCCTAGAGGTCACGGAGTCGTGTGACAAGAGCCGGTAGTGTAAATGGAATGGAATATGGTGAAGACAGAAAGAACACGAGAACACATTGATCACTGAAGCGGAAGGTATACATGCCGGCAGCACTTCAGCGCCGATTCCGCATCGCTTCGCAGCCTTCATTTCTTAATGTTTCCTCCCTCTGGGGTCGTACGCTAGAGCGTTGGGCACTACGAATACAAAGAGCGCGATGCCACGGTCGCCACTAGTGATAGAAGTACAGGAGGCGAGCCAGTGTTAGATGACTTGATCAACAGTTTGCACAGCCGCACTCTGCCTGCTCGAAAAGAAGTTATCGTTGCCTTCTCTTCTCGTAGAAGGTGCTGATGTAAAATGCTGGAGGCGGTATATGATTCGTATCCAGATCATCTCATATTGCCCAATGCGGCACAAGTATCAACGAGTTTTTATCTCTACGGATGTTTACATACCACTGCAAGTGCACGATAGTAGTACCATGTCAGGGAAACCTGCTTTTGCATAAGCAGTCTTTGCCCACCTAAGCATCATCGTCCTATGCAGCAGGGCCCGCATCATCATCATCGTTTCCTTCCTCAGGGACAGAAGCAGCGGCTGAGCTGCCATGGCTTTCTCTCGAGGCTTTCAACTTCTCTCGATGCCTTGTATTAGCGTTTCGCAACCGTGTCCTTTCTGCAATATGGTCAGATGCTGCCTCAACTCATTAATATGCAGCTTGAGATACGCACCCGCCTCCACCCAAGCCGGATCCTGTTTCTTTTTTTCCCTCCACCTATGGCTTTTGTTTGCTATAGTAAAAAATCGTATCTGTCAGCAGCCTGAACTAGTCTGCGCAGAGGGCGGATCGAAAGAGAACATTATAGACACTGACGTACCAGCTCTGCTAGTCCCTGCATAGCGCCCACTAGTAACGATGGGGATCCCGGTCTGACTCTCGTCTTGATAGCTACATCATCGTTTCACATTAGTGCCCTGAATCATGTCTTTGCTTGATGTACAGAGAAACATGACGACTGATACCCACTCAGAGGCGACAGCAAAACGTTCGTTTGTGTCGTCCAGTTGATTAACGCCGCCATCATCAGGGAAGGGTCCCTGGGCGAGTTCTTGTTCTATCTGCTCGAGAAGATCTTCGAAGTTGCTGTTAGTACCACCGTGCTCTTTGTATCTGCTCCACTGTTGCAATGTCTGACTGTAATCCTCCTGGTGCTGATAAGCAGTCTTTCTCAGACAAGTGTGAGGGCCCTCTCCTACGTACGTCAGGCATGTATACTAGCCGGTCAAGAGTGAATTCGTCCCAGTACCTGGAGAGTACCGGATTGGATATCCAAGAATCGCCCGCTTGTCCCGCATTCGTATCTGATGCCATGAGCGAGGCTAGGACAAGGTCAGTGCCTTCTGCTACGTCTTGTTCAGTGTTCATTTGGGGTGTCAATGGCGTGATATGATATGGAAGAAGATAGAAAGACTTCTGAATCTTGACTATGCCACTCGTATATAAATGTTTTTCTGCCTCTTTTGTGAACACCCCATACGCGCCCCTGAGAAAGGGATATAGTAGACAGTAGTCTATACTTAGAGATGCAAATATATATATATATGTGTAGGCATGTAATAATAGACTGGCTCAAAAGAGTTGATCAACCCCGAATGGCCCGCAGATCTCGACAGGCATGATCTTCTTATTCACTCCATTGATTAATGAGTATTCGTATTGTACACCCCTGTTGTGCAGTAGTATCTCCGCCAGCACCACACGCCGAGCGACCATCTTCGTCTTGACAGTTACCGGCTCTGAATGCTACGCTGCCCTGGTCGATAAGCCACTTCCATTACATTGCACATAGCTATTGTTCAACAACGATCGACCACTAGAATCCAGACGGCTCTAAATCAACTGCAAGAATCCGCAATGCCACATCAATACACTGGATTACACACACCCACTCCATCACGAGAATGGCACACATTCAGTAAGTACAGACATGTTGCCTCTTGTTGCTCCGGATCTGCGGCGTTAGTCCTGTCGGTTGTGATCACTACATGCATCCATCACAATCCATGTTCTCGTTTCACATCAGTAGACTCCAAGAATCTCTCCCTCTTTACGCCCTTACCCTCCTCATCCTCATTTTCTTCTGGATGCTCGTGCTTCACGGCGACATGTAGCTCCTCGTCTTCTGTCTTTACTAGCGCCTCTGAAGCTTCCCCCTCTCCTTCTTCATCCTCTTCCTCCTCAACGGCTCCGTCAAGGCCTACCTTCTGGGATGCATCTTCATGCTCCCCGATCCGCGCCGTCTTCGTCTCCTGTAGAAGACTCAGTGTCAACCTCCTGGAACTCCCTCGGGCGGTCCCTCTGCGATTCCTCCTCCTCTTTTGCCTCCTCAATCGAACGCTTTTCATCCAAGATGGCGATCTGCGCATCACCGTAGTGGGTATATCTTGAGAAAGGGTCGAAAGACAGACGATCAAGCCAGCCATAGTGAGATTGGGAAGACGGGTCGGCAACGCCTCGAAACCAGCCAAGGGGAATGTCGTCCCATGGAATTGACTAGCACTATAATCAGCATGCAGCATGATTCATGGCGAATGAACTTACATTGTGCGTGAGCTCCACTGTCTCTACAATGTATTCGATGGGAATACGCCTGTAGACCAGCTCGAAGCCAAACTTTGCAAGGCAATTCTTGGCAAGTCTAAGTTTGTCCGGATCGAGTGAGAAAAGAACAGCTCTTGTGGTATCGAGCCCTGCTCTCTTTGCTTCCTCAAGCGGATTGACCACTATCAACGGGTTCTCCGGATCATGATCGCCGGGCATCCTGATGATCGACATGAACACTTGCCGTTGGTGTCCAAATCCAAGCCTCCAAGCTGCACAAAAGAGAGCCCAAACCGGATCGAAGGAGACAGCTATCCATTCAGATAGATGTGGGTCAGCGTCGAACCCCATCCACCCTCCTGCTGCGTGCCGGAACATGTCGGGCACCAGAGCCGCCATCGCGGCATCATCCCCCCAAATCTCTCTTTAATACTGGTCCCATGGCATAGCTTCCCCAGATATACCTGCGGACTGGATGGAGAGGAAGAAAAAGCCGGAAGTAGGGTCCAAGCCTGAGATAGTGTTCTCGAAAACACGAACATCGAGCTCGCCATCTTGACATCTTTGCAGGAGGGCTGAGAAGGACATGGAAGATCTCTTGGCAGTGCCGAACGAGGGAGGGAAAGCGGGGATATTTTGAAAAGATAGGTAATCGTCCGACATGGCCAGTGAAATGCTGGTGGGTCGTCAGCACAAGTGCAGCCATTTCGGGAAGATCCGGGGAAGAGAGGCCGGGCACTTTACTCACTGTCGCATTGAATGAATGGGGGTACGTCAGTGGTTTGTTATATAGTTGATTGTCGAGTATGGCTTATTTATAGGGAAGGAAGGCCGAAGATAGAGACGCATTTCTGAGAAAGAAGGATGTAGAGGTGTGCATGAGATTAGTCGGCACGGAACAACCAGGAGGCGACCAAGGTGCCCTTTTCGGCAGCCCGAACCACCATTTTATGCTTCTTGAGGGGTCGTTGTGGCATTCGTTACTTGTTGGCACATGACATTTCAATGTTTGGTTCACTTGTAACCTTTTCGATAGCTTATGACCCGACCGGCTTGGCATACATAGCATGAGAAGGTATCTTTTCCCCTCCAAAAACACCTTTTCCAGTCCCTCCCCCTGCTGTGTCCCAGTCAGGCCGTGACAACATTATCGCATAATAGAACCGCCTATGGCGCCCTTCTTTCCTCTGACCCCGGGGAACTCCCTCGACCGGTCTGCCTCCGCCCCCCCTCCTATTCCTCCTCGCCCCTCCAAACTCCATCAATCCTCTACCACCCTTCCCCCCACCGCCAATCTCATCGACTGCACCCCAACACCTCTTCCGCGTTCGTTGGGCCCTGTCCCCACGGTTCTCCCCGTGCCGCCCCCCGCCGACGCCGACCCCACGTTCCCTTCCATCTCCTCCTTCAATTTCGACCCCCCCACGGCCTACGATGTTTCGTACCCCGTCTCTTCCACTCCGTTGCCCGCCTCGCTGAGGCCACCCGCTATCCCCGCGCCTGCCCCCGTGCCGGCCCATTCCTACGCCCAGACCGCCCCCACCTACCCCTACGACGCCCCGCAGCCAGCCCCGACTTTTGCCCCGGCCCCTATGGTCCACTATGTCCAGCAGGCCGCCCCCCCCATCACGCATGGTCCCCCGCCTCTAGCGGGCGTGTCGTTCGCGGGCCTCGACGGTGAAGATGTCAAAAAGTTCCTCGACCAGGTGGAAACCGCCATCGAGGGTAACATCTACTTTCACCAACTTCCCCGCGAGTGGGCGACCCGATGGGTGCGTATGCATACCTCGGGCACAGCAAAGAAGTGGATGGACAGGCATTGCCACCTGTCGTGGGAGGAGTGTCGGGCACAGTTTCGCGCGCGTTTCGTGGTGGAGAAGAGCCCGCGCGAGCTCTGGGAGGAGTGGCGTGCCGTGCGGCACACGGGCCGTGTCGCCGCCTACAACCAGGCGTTTCGACTGGCGGCGGAGGAGGCTGATTTCGGGTTGGACTCAAACGTCATGCACGCCGAATGGGCCTCACGGATGAAGCCCGCCCTCCTCGCCCTCCTCGAGTCGGACATGCGTGCGCGTGCGGTCGCTGGCTATCCCGTCGTCTCCTTCGACGACAAGGTCGCGCTGGTGGAGCAGATTGAGATCTCCAACGCCCATCAGTTTGTCTCCCCTGCCCCCGCCACTGGCAGGAGTTCGTCCCACCCCCTCCATCTCCACGCCTTGTTCACTGCTCTGCCGCCTCTCTCTCCCGCCCCCGCCAACCCCACTCTCCTCGCCCAGGCCCTCGCTCTCCCGTCTTGGGTCAACCAAGGCTCTAGGCCACCGCCTCCCAGTCGTCGAGCCGAGGCCATCCCGGCGCCCCCTTGGGGTGATGGTCATCGACCTCCGCACCTCCCCTCCCTGGAGAGGTTCATCCGCACTGAGTGGGCCCTCTGCGGGTATTGTCGGGACCCTGATCATGAGGTGGACGCCTGCCCCAAGGCCCGGGCTAAGGACGCTGGAGATAGATGTGAGCCCCGGAGGACGTCTCTCTCCTCCCCCGCCGTGCAAGCTGACACAGCGCCCGCTGCAGAATGTAGCCAATTATGTATATCTGCTGCTAGTGTGTCGGTCTCTGCGCCTGTCATCGGCCACACCACCCTTCAAGTTCAAGTTGGTGGTCCTACTCTCACCTCGCCCCCTCTCCCGGCCCTCATCGACTCTGGGGCCACTGGTTGTTTCATCTCCGATGCCTTGGTCGATCACTTCCAGCTTCCTCTCACGCCACTCGCCCAGCCTCGCGCCCTCAAGGTCATCGACGGTCGCCCCATCGCTTCTGGTGCCGTCACTCACACGGCTGCGGTTGTGCTGACCTCTTCTCACCACACCGAACGGCTCGACTTGTTTGTCTGTGCGTTGGGCCATTACGATCTGGTCCTAGGCACGACCTGGTTACATGCGCATAATCCAGACATCAATTGGGTTGACCGTATTGTGGGCCTTTTCAGAGCTAAGTCGTCCTCTCCCATTGTCGTTCCTACTTCCATTTCTTCCTCTCCCTCGTTGCCTCCTACTCCTCCTACTCCTCCTTGCCCCCCACCTGCGTCTTCTATTGCCCCGCCTACCGTCGAAGTTCTCGATGCGTTGGCTTTTCACGACCTAGTGCAGGACGAACAGGCTGAGGTGTTCGCATTGCACTTTGATGCTGCGGACGGCACGCCTCTTCACCTTTCGAGCCTGGAGGCCGCTGTAGATGGTGATCTGCAGCTTGCTGACACTGTGCCCATTCCCACCGAGCCCTATCTTTCCACCGTGCTTCCGTCCATCCCCACGGCTTACCATGATTTAGCCCCAGTTTTTTCCAAAGCTGCCACAGACGAGTTGCCCCCTCACCGTCCGGGCTTGGATGTCAACATCGAGCTGAAGGAAGGTACGTCACCGCCGTCGTTGCCCCTCTATAACCTCTCGGCTGTCCAACTTAAGATCTTGCGCGAGGGGTTGCGCGACGCCTTGGCCAAGGGCCACATTCGTCCTTCTTCTTCTTCTGCTGGTGCGCCCATCCTCTTCGTGCCCAAAAAAGACGGTTCCCTCCGCATGTGCCATGACTATCGGGGACTCAACCTGCTTACGGTGAAGGACCGCTACCCTCTCCCACTCATTAGTGAAACTCTCGATCGCCTGTCTTCTGCCAAGGTTTTCACCACCCTGGACCTTCGGGGTGCCTACAACCTCTTGCGGGTCCGGGAAGGTGATGAGTGGAAAACGGCTTTCCGCACTCGTTACGGTCTCTTCGAGTGTCTTGTCGTTCCCTTTGGTCTGACTAACGCCCCCTCTGCCTTTCAGCGTCTGATGAATCACGTTCTCCGCGGTCTTCTTGATGTCTCTGTTACCTGCTACCTGGACGACATTATCATCTACTCGGTCGACCCCTCTCAGCACGAGGCGCAGGTCCGAGAGGTTCTTCAACGTTTACTGGACAACAAACTCTATGTCAAGGCGGAGAAGTGCTCCTGGTCTGTGGAGAGTTGCGAATTCCTGGGTTATCAGATATCGTCGCAGGGTGTAGGGCTTGCGCCGTCCAAGGTGAGCTGTATACTCGAGTGGCCGACCCCTCGTTGTCGGAAGGACGTTGAACGCTTTGTAGGGTTCGCGAACGCCTACCGCCGGTTCATTGACGGGTTTGCTGACCTCATTCGCCCCATCCAAGACCTTACGCAGTCCTCGACCACCTTTTTGTGGTCCGACGATTGTGCCCGTTCTTTTGCTGCCCTTCGTACCGCATTCACCACTGCTCCTGTCCTCCGCCATTTCGATGAACACCTTCCCACTACCATCGAGACCGACGCTTCCTCCCATGCTTTGGCCGCCATCCTTTCTCAGACTCAACCTGACGGTGCTTCCCATCCTATCGCCTTCTTCTCTCGGAAGATGACTTCTAAGGAAGCGTCCTGGGGCCCTTATGATTGGGAATTACTGGCTGTTCGAGAAGCCATGCGGGTTTGGCGGCATTACCTTGAAGGTCTCGTCCACCCCTTTACTGTCATCACTGATCACCAGACCCTGCAGTATTTCCAGACCCAGCCCTTGGCCGACCGTCGGCGCGTCGCCGAGTGGTCCACCGAGCTCAACCATTATAAATATCACATCCGCTATCGTCCGGGCCGGCTGAATGGGCCCTGTGACGCCCTCTCTCGCCGGGCAGACTACGCCGTCTCCAAGTCGGGGGACGATGCCGCCGCGGAACTACCTCTGTTGCGCCCGTTGTCCGTGGAACCGTTGGCCCCGCCCCCCGAGAAAGAGCTGGTGGTTGCTACCACTGCGTTCACAGATCTAAGTCGCCCCACCCCCCTCCTTGCCTTAGCTGACAGCTCCTTGGTAGAGCGTATTCGTTTTTACCTCGATCACGATCCCCACGCTCAACCACTGGTCGCTGCTCTCCGTGCGCCGGATGCCCATCGGTCGTCCCGCCTTCGCCGCCGCCTCCGCCCCTACTCCCTCTCCTCTGATGGCCTCCTCCTCCACCACGGTCTCGTCTATATCCCCGAGGTTGATGATATCCGACTGGCTCTCCTTCAACAGGCCCACGACATGCCCCTCTCCGGCCATGTTGGTCAGCGCAAGTCTGTTGAGCGCGTCCGGCGTGATTTCTTCTGGCCTGGGCTCCAGCGGGATGTTGAGGCTTATGTTCGTTCGTGTGACGCCTGCCAACGCGTCAAGCCCCCACATCATCAATACCATGGCCTTCTCCAACCCCTCCCCATTCCCCCTACAGCGTGGCACACCATCTCTTGGGACCACATCACAGACCTCCCCAGGTGCCACGGTTTCAACGCCATCCTGGTTATTGTGGACAGTTTCACCAAGATGTGTCACTTTGTTCCTGCGCACAAGGAAGACACTGCCCCCACGCTTGCGCAACAATTCTTGCAGAATGTCGTTCGCCCTCACGGTCTTCCGTCCCATGTCGTCTCCGACCGGGGTTCCACCTTCACCGCGACTTGGTGGCAAGAAATCTGCAAAGCCATGGGTACCGTTCCATTGTACAGTACCGCTTTCCACCCTCAGACGGATGGGCAGACGGAACGCGTCAACCAGACCATCGAGCAGTATCTGCGCGTGTTCGTGAATCAGGAGCAATCAGACTGGGTGAAGTACCTTCCTCTTTTGGAGTTTGCATACAATAACTCGTATCACAGCTCGACGGGTACCACTCCTTTCTTTGCCGACCACGGGCGTCATCCCCGCGATCATCTCGGTCCCCCACCCCCTACTTCTTCCCTTCCCTCGGCCGCTTCTTGGTTACAGGCCCTGCAGGCCATTCGTGAGAAGGTGTCCCGTTGCTTGAAGGCCGCCAAGGATCGTCACGCGCGCTTCGCCGATCGGCACCGTAAAGCCATCGACCCGACATCGTTTCAAGTCGGCTCTCTGGTCATGCTGAACCGAAAGCACCTTACTTCCTCCCGCCCTTCTCGTAAACTCGAGGATGTGATGTTGGGACCTCTTCCCATTGTGTCCATCATCGGCCGTAACGCCTACAAGCTTCGGTTGCCCGAGGAGTTCTCGCGTGTGCACCCAGTGTTTCATGTCAGTCTGTTGGAGCCTTATCGCTCTCGTGCTCCTGAGCTTTCTACACCCCCTCCTCCCCCTTCTCGCCTTTTGTCCAAGGCGCTTCCACCTCCATCTCCTACCCCTCTCTCTTCGTCCCCCGTTTCTTCCCCTCCTCCCCCTCTCCACCCTCTCCCACCGACCGCCGTCATTGTGGACTCTGCCGCGGATCGTGCCACCGGACTTCGATATTACCTCCAGGTGCGCGCCGATGATGGATATGATTACCGCTCATGGGTCCCTGCTTCTCAGTTGCCGCCAACCGACCCCCGTGTCCGGCTGTTCCACCATAACCATCCGGAGAAGCCCGGCTATGATCGGCTGCACTCGTCCCCTTCCCAGACGGGCCGGCGTAGCACGAGAAGGAGAGGGAGGCAGGAAGATTTGTCACACGTAGATATTCCCTGAAGTGGCATGAGCGCTGAGTTGTGTGGATGGTTGAAGGACGCGCGGTGTACATACTCAATTCATATCTTACTCTTCTACTCTTTCTCTATGCGATAATACCGAAAAGGTCTTTTCCCCTCCAAAAACACCTTTTCCAGTCCCTCCCCCTGCTGTGTCCCAGTCAGGCCGTGACAGTATCAGAGGGTTTCCAGTCACTTGCAGAAAATGTGCGTTACTGCCTCCTCAGGAGACAACCACGACCGACCAAGCACTTTGCCTCAACAGTATCCCGGTTCTGGCAGCTGTATATACTGCTCTGGCTGTGAAGGCCGTACTCACCTCAATGTAATGGGCATAGCTGTTATCACCAGGTACGTCTACCGGCGACCAGAGGACAGACGGACTTGATGAATCAACTGCAATCATCCACAATGTTGCTATTTCAATACACTCTTTTGCACCCTACCCCATCAGGTAGATTGTAGACGAATCGGGAATACATATCTAGTCTGCCGCACCAGTCCTCTTTATTTCGGCAACGACACCCATCACACTATATGCTCCTGTTTCACATCAACAGAACCACGCAATCTCTCCCTATTTCTTCTCTCCCTCTTTACGTCTATCCGTCCGTTCCCCCTCATTCTCGTCTTCTGGATGTTCTCGCTTGACGGCGGCACCATGAATATCCTCGACTTCCACCTTCACGAGGAGTGTTTCTGCAGCTTCTTTTTCGTCTGCACCTTCCTCTTCCTCCTCCTCCTCATCCTCATCTCATCCTCATTCCCAGGGCGCACTGCTGTTGAAAATGAAGGTGAAGACTTGAAACAGCCGCGAAATGTTGCGTCACTCGTCCGGTAAACTGTGAACTGTAATGGGGAGCTGTGCGAGAACGAATAGAGTAGAGCGCCTGGGCCGCCTGGTGGTGGTGTATATTCTTATCTCTTCGTATGTAGTCGACTGTCGATAGAGTGATCGACATGCTCTCTTGACCTGGGCATGCCAACCTTCCTGCCATGGTCACTCAGTTGGTCAGTTGTCAACACCCGACTGACGGTCAACGCCGCGATCGCCAAAGTGGAGGCCAGCGGCGCCAACGGCCAAAATCAACGCGCCATCAACGTTTCTTCTGCTTTCTTGCCATCGCTCGCTCCATCCTCCCAGTCTCTTCCAGCGGCCCCCATGGCGGCAAACCACCTCGAGTACGAGGAAGAAGATGAAGACCTGTTTGGCGACACCGACCTTCTAGGCTTCAGCAGCGTCAACCCCTCAGCGCCGATCAGCCTCGCCCCTCCAGCTGTGGCCGGCCCGAGTTCCAGTCCGCTTTCCCCCAACCGGCCAATACGACAGCAGGAGAAACCTAGAGAGCAGCTTTACCCGCATATCGTTTCAGGCGCGAGGCCTACAAGAACCAATGAAGATGAGAGGCTGGCAGAGTTGCGGGACAGGAAGAGGGCTGGAAGGGAGCAGGCTCCGCGGAAAGGTGTCAAGAGTTTGAGATTGATATCTATGAATGGTGAGCATGGTATTTCTAGACGTTTGACGCATCTGCTTACAGGGCGATAGTCATTCAACAATATTCATCGGGGATCTGGGATATCGGAGATATGGAGTACTCTGTCTTGAGACCTTTCCTTGACGAACTTGGCGCGGAGCAGCTCGCAGAGATAGAGCGTAACTCTCCTGTGTGTACGATTCTTCTGTCTATGCCCTATATACTGACGAGTATCTAGCACATCAAGAAAGATACCGATTGGCTCTGGGAGTGTCTGCTGCTCCAAGATTATCGTCTCTTCCATGAGCGATGTAGGATCACCCGCGAGGGCGAAGTGCGGACAAGCGGATGGAGGAAGATGTACAAGGTGAGCTCTTCCTTTCACTGGCCCATGCACCAGATCTAAGACAATCTTTAGAGAGCCAAAGAGGACGCCCTCGAGCGTCAGTCTCAAGCCGCGGACCGTGTTGCAGCCCGATATAAACAACTAGAACAGGAGAAAAAGTCCAAAAGCATTGTCGTTCTGGATAAGGTGATGCCAGGGAAGAAGCCAACGAGAAGCAGGGGGAGAGGCGGTAGCAGCGTTGGATCGACTTGTAAGAAGCCCAACAGCCCCAACTGGAGCGTATACTGATATAGACATCGTAGCATCAAGACCGTCTGCTGCTGCCACTTCTATCGCCAAAGCCCGCGCAGAAGCCCAACGAGCCCGAATCGCCCTCACCCACGCCTCTGGACGCTACGTCCCCCCCACTCAAACCCTGACGCAAGCTCAACGGGTATCCCAGAGCCAGCTGTTTAAGAACCCATATATGTCTGGGAGACCTACGCTTGGTGGGAGCGAGAAACAGGCTCAGCCGGCGACTGTTAGGATACCTGCGCCGAGGAGGGTTGCCAAGAGCGCTGCGGTTGCTTCTCGTCCTCGAGATGTTATCGCATCTCCCCCTTCCTCCCCCATTCCCGGCTCATTCCCCTCGTCTCAGTATCCCCAAGTCCGCGCCTCTCTCCCCTCCCATCTCTCCTCCCAACCATCTCCCGCGTCTCCCCAAAGCCCTGAACGCTTCCGCATAGATTCAAAAACTCTCGGCACGAAAAAGACATTCAAAGAGATCAAGAAACCAGAAGTACGGAGCTTCCAGCCGCCGGTGTTGGAGAAGCAGAAGCCGAAGCAAAAGACGGATTTCTTCGGTGGTGCGGCTTCGTCGGCGGATGGAGGTGGGATATTTAGAGTGAAGAAAAGAAAGCCTGGGGTCGTCGGAGGTGCTTCTGGACCACCGGCGAAAAGGCCAGCACCGGGGAAGTGAATCGAGACAGAGCATGAGGAAGGAGAGTGGGGGTGCATTATGCAGAGATCTTGCACACATCTGTAGCTTCTCATCATTGAACCATTTGTACTTATATAAGCGTCATAAACTTATTCATACGTAGATGTATCCACTCAGCATGACATGCCCTGTCGCAATGTCATGTTCTGCAGAAAGTCAAGAAAATGCAAGAGACTATGGCGGTTGATATAGATACTCTACACTTGATCATGTTGCGTCACGATATATGTACACTCGGGTCCACTCATTATCTTACACTCCCCTCGCCTCTTCCCCCGCATCCTGCCAGCTACTCGAACTCCCACTTCCATCCTCACCATCCGCTTTGGCCTTTTCCTTCCCCTTCCCCTTATCCACCTTCACTTCCCCTTCCTCCGCTTCCGGCTCATCTCGGTATTCTGTCTTGGGCACGCCCGACAACTGTCCCGAACGAGGATCATCATCCTCCAAGAAATCATCATGATACCTCAACGCCGTCCTCTCGTCCAACCCATCATCGTCCCCCTCATCTTCATCGCTACTCGGCCCATCTCCAAAGGCATCATACAACTCTTTCGTGCCCTTACTCTCCGACTGGCCCTTGCCAAATTTGCGCCTTCCTCGCTCCAAGAGACTCATCTGCACATCATCATCCACCGGCTCGTACGCCCCACGAGCGCCGGTACCGTTATTCGACAAGCCAAAGAGATTCTTCTTCTGTCGGCGAGAGCGAATGAAGAAGAATGCGCCGATAGAGCCCGCAAAGAGGAGGAGGATAGCACCCGCACCAGCAAGCCAGGTAGAAGACGAAGCAAGCGAAGAGATCCCGCTAAAGAACCCTTCATCCGCATCCGCATCCGTCGGGCTCGTAGGCTCTGCAATATCCTCATCCGTCGACCCGGTCGCCTCAGGCTGAGCCGTAGCAGACCCCAGCCCAGGCTTGTGCGCTTCGCCAGAGGCGTCCCCGTGGTCGCCTGGGAGGTGGTCGGTCGGTTTGGGCTTTTGGCTGAGGACGCCGGTGGGCTCGGAGCCGGTTTGTTCTTCGTCTGGCTGGCCTTCTTCGGCGGGGGCCCAGTCTTTGGCGAGGGAGGGGTCGATGGATTCGCCCCACAGTTGGAGCGACCAGGCGACGAAACGGCCAGTTTTTTCGGGGTTGATTTGGTCTTTGACTTTGATCGTCCAGGTGCCAAGGGGGTTCTCCTCCCTGAGAACCATCAGCCAAGCCCTACACGATCATGCACGGACTTACCAGTGCTTCAAACTCATAAACTTCCATCCCGGGAACCCCGTATCCGCTTCATCAAACCTTCGCTGCCTACACAGCACACTCGTTATACCTCCAGGACTGGTGACCTCAACCTCCACATCACCCCTCCTCTGATGATCGATCCAAACACGGACCGTAACATGCTCGAGTCGCTCAAAGTTGGAATCGGTGAGCATCTGCTGAGTCACTTCATAAGTCGAAGTAACCCCAGATTCCGTAATGAACGAGCCTGTCGGCTCAACAACCGGCTCGGGGTTGGGCTTTTCGGGTTCGGAAGGTTCGGTGGGATCAGAGTCGGTAGTGTTGTCTTGTCGTGTCGAGATATCGGCGGAGGATGTGGTAGGGAGGTAGACGGCAGGAGAGTCGAACCACGCTTGGGGCTTGACATTCTTCCACTGCTGAGCAGCTTCGACGTAGAGCCCGGCGTCAAGTCGGCCATATCCGTCTGACATACTCTTCAGCTACAGCTCCCATGAAAGGAAAACGAGACTCACACTTGTAGCTAAACTTTCGTCCAGTGGCGGTCTTTTCCCAGTCGGGATCGTCCGGGTTGAAATGCACAGCGCTCCGCACGGCGATATGCTGCATATCTCTCCAGGTGAGATCGGGTCGTACACCGAGGGCCAAGGCAAAGACGCCAGCACCAAGGGGAGCAGCGGCTGAAGTCCCACCGTGATTGTGCGCGCACTTGTCTTTTCCAACATCGGTCGTATGCTGCAGAAATGTTAGAAGAGATACAATGGGTGGGATGACAGATGACATACAATATGATCACCACTGCCAGACGAAGGCGCGACCACCATCATGGCAGAACACATCTCCGAGTAGTAAGGGTGCAGCCCCTTTCGATCCACGGATCCGACAGTGATGGACCAGATCGAGTTTGTATACCCATCAAAGTTGCACTGATCGTCTGCACCTCCTCCGTTACCCGCTGCAAAGACAAACACAGATCCCTTCCCACCCCGTCCCTTCATCACCCCGTTCACCATCGCCTTCAAGATCAGCCCATCGGGCGCTTCCATCGACTTGCCATCGTCTGGAGGACCCCAAGAGCATGAAAAGATATCGTTCAGCTGGTAGGCATAGTTGAGGGCGGCAGCTTCGTCTGCGTCAGAGATGGGGGCAGAGAGGATACGGACGCCGGCGATTTTGGAGTTGTAGGCGACGCCGACGCCGCAGACGTCGTTGGGGACTGCGGCGATCTCGCCGGCACAGCGGGTGCCGTGCTGGTCGTCTGATAGTCGCGGGGCGGGTAGCTCGGTGTGGTCGTTGAAATCGTAAGAGCCCTCGGGGAACTGCAGAGTGATTAGGGAACTCTGTGAGAATAAGCTTTGGCAGTACGTACAAAGTTGGCCTTTAGATCATCACTCTCCATATCCAGTCCATCATCCACAATCACCACGTGCACACCCTCTCCAGTGATTCCCTGACCCCAGAGCGTAGTCACATTGAGCTCGATGTCCTTCAACTGGGTATTGATGAGATGCCACTGCTGGTCGAGCATGGGGTCGGCAAGCTTGAGCTGGTTCTGAGCGTACAGCAGCTCGGTATTGTCGTCTCGAGCAGCATGGCTTCGAAGGAAAGCGGGACTATGCCTTTTGGCGCGTTTCCTGAGTGTCAAGGGCTGTAGCGAGCGCTTGCCAAGGCCAGACGGCAACGACGACCATCGCTTCAGTATTGGATCGTGCGACGCGCTTCTCTTTGCTATTGACCCGTGGTGAGGCGTCGCTCCTTCTGTCCTGACCAGCCAGTGGCCTTCCAGCTCTCCTATACGCTCGACGAGCTCGAGGCCTAATGATTGTGTGATTGACTGTGGGGATGTGGATGGGTCTAGTTCGAGGGCGTAGTAGGTGTGGGTGTCGTAGGACCGTGGCTGGGGTGTGCGAGCTGCCGCTGCCCCGAGGAGGACGACCAGGGTTAAGAGGGAGCGCATGGGGCTGGATGATGGAAAGATGAACGAGAAATGCGAATACAGGAGAACGCTGCGGGTTGCTGCCAACGCGACGGAAGCATTTTGATCCAGCGGGCAGCCGAAGCCGACTTGATGCACTGTTTACATTTCACAAATCACAAACGACTACAATGGCCCCCCATGTCGACGAAGGAGCACTCCAAGCGCTCCTCAAATCCCTCTCAGCTGCCCCCGCCACAGCCCTCGCTGTTCCCCAGGTCGCCCTCATCGCCAATGCCCTCCTCCCCTCTTCACCCCGCTCAGCAAGGGCCACCGCCTACCTCTGTCTCTCCAAGCTCATAACAGACCTCGAAGACAAAGGCGACTCGGCTGCCATTTCAAAGGTCTTTCATCCTTACGTCGAATCGATATTCCGTGGTCCTCAACCCCAGATTCAAGAGATTGAAGATGAAAGCGAAGCTGCCGAGGCAGGGGGCGGATTCTACCTAGAGGCATGTGTCCCGGCCACCTATCTCTTCCTTGCCCTCTACCCGCTATCTCCCCCGACGTCTACCACACTTCTGACGACAAAGCTAGAGGACAACAATGATCCCCTCGCCGTCCTCCTCGAGCTCGCCGAACTCCCGTCGCCTCTTCAATCAGCCTTAGCCCAGCTGTTTGTCGCTGCAACCGACTCCAAAATCGGCCGTGACCTGACATTATCTCGGGGTATCGATTGGTTGAAGGGCGGTCTGCGGTATACGGAAGGGAGCAGCGAAGTTGGGGCCCTGTGCGCGGCTGCTCTGAGTAAACTGCTTGGCCGAGATGCCGAGGAAAAGATACCTGTGGGCGGGGAACAAGAGGAGGATAGGGTGACTGCAGAGAAGGGCGATCAGGAGCAGCTCGCTCGGCGCATGATGTCGCATGTGGAAAGCGGCACCTCATCTACCACGGCGATCCAATCGACTATCGAAGGTCTCGCCGTCCTCTCCCTCCAACCTCGCATCCGAGCCGTCCTCGCCTCGTCCCAAAAGTTCTTGAAAGCGCTTGTGGCGCTGTCTCCTGTGGTGAACCGGAAAGGTGGGTCTCTGCCCGTGACACCGAGAGGGAGTATGGACGCCGATAATTTCTCAAAGATCTTTGAGGCTGTCGAGACTAGTTTTTGTTATGGCTTGGCTAGCATTCTCGTCAACCTTACGTCGCGCAAGCCGATACTGTCGGAACAGGACGCGCAAATAGCAAAACTGAGAAAGATGGCGGTCTCGGCGGACAAGAGAAAGTTGAATGAGGACGATGACGAAGAGGGGTTTGAAACCGACGAGGAGGTGGATAAACGGGTGGCGGCGGTACTTGCAGCTGGGGTTGCCCCTGCTTTGAGCGGACTCGTGAGGGCGGAGAGCAAGCTTGTGAAAGAACAACTGGGACGGCTGTGTAGGAATCTGCTCGACCGGGGAGATTCGACCGAGAAGAATACGGAAATGATCAGAGCGCGACTAGCTTTTGTCAAGGATGGAGGTTTCAAAGTCCTCTCCAATGTCGTCCGTGATCTCCTCGAACTCGCTACCACTGTACCCAAACCACCCCCCTCCTCTGCCCCTACCCCTGCCCCTCCTGCGATCGAAATGGACATCCTGCCCGCGTGCCAGGCTATGGCAAAACTCATCATCACCACCAACCCCGTCGTCTTGTTCCCGGCTCCCATGCAAACGACCTCCCTCAACGCCCTCACACCTCTCTACCATCTCCTCATACACCCCGACTCGCTCCTCATCCAACGCTTCGAAGCGCTCATGGCGCTCACCAACATTGCCTCCATCGACCCCTCCATCGCCGCCAAGCTCGTCAAAGCCGAGGTCAAGCCTCTCAAAGTCGAAGCGTTCTTGCGGTCACAGCCTGCTGGTCCAATGAGGGTGATGGTAAAGATTGAAGAGATGATGCTCGACGAGAATGTGCTCGCCCGGCGCGCTGCCGTTCAGCTGTTGTGCAATATCGCTTCGTGCCAATCTGGTTTCTCCTACCTATCCGGCGAAGACTCCTTTTCCTCACCTACCCGCGCCCGGTCGCTGCTCAATATACTCTTGGTGATGGCTTGTATCGATGATATACCGACGCGATCGGCAGCTGGCGGAGCTTTGGCGGTGTTGACAGAGTCCGAGACGGCTTGCAAATACATTCTGATGGGTGATCTGAAGGATGAAGATGGGGATAGCACGCCGGCGAGATCACCGTGGTCTCGTGCTATCTCCCTGCTGGAACCCCCATCCGACGAGACATACGACGACGACGGCGAACCCATCCCCATCATCTCTTCCTCCCCTCCCGCACCCAACCCGGAGCTGGTCCACCGCGGCGTCATCATCCTCTACAACCTGCTCGAATACGCTTTGACCTTGGGCGATGAAGAAAAGGCGAAGGAGAGGTTGAGAGTGAAGGAAGAGAGGGTGGAGGAAAAGCTGTTTGGGGTGTTGGGGGTGGTCAAGAAAATGGGGGAGGAGGTGGTGCAGCCGACGGTGCAGTGTTTGAGGATGATCAGGGAGAAGTTATGAGTGAGTGTTACTTCTTACGGGTGAGGGCACAGCTGATGGAGAACAGGCGATTATCATACCTCGGCTCTCAAGCTATCATATGCGGCTGTCAGTCTGATCAACATTGACAATGGCAAGAACGGAGCCTAATGTTGAAGGACTTGTAAGGTATGGGAGATAGTAGAGGTCGCAGTGTGGTCACTTGGGATCCGGGAGCCGCGGGGGTTTGGCGCATTGTCATAAGTCGTTGGTGCTAGAACGGAGCCTAATGTTGAAGGACTTGTAAGGTATGGGAGATAGTAGAGGTCGCAGTGTGGTCACTTGGGATCCGGGAGCCGCGGGGGTTTGGCGCATTGTCATAAGTCGTTGGTGCTGTAACTATACATAATTTGATACCATGCATAGATACTCCAAGCTCTGGCGAGGGCGACAGTAAAAAGTACATACCCATAGAGTACACGCGCCTCACCCAGAAACGTCGGCGACCGCCGCCATCCGCCAAAATGGAAACACCCCCTCCCCGTTGCAGCATCGTACTTCGCCCCCTTCGGGGTGGCATAAGAAAAATTGGAACAATACAGAGAAGATTAGCATTGCCCCTGCATAAGGATGACAAACTCGAGCAGAGAGGAGGTTCTTCGGAACCAAATATTTTTTTGGCATTTTGTATAGACCATGCATGCTGTATGTAACCCCACTCCCTGTATGCGGCATTCAGTAGTCCATGCATGCTTGTAACTCACTCTCTGTACGTAGCATGTAGGTGACTGGGTTCTCGATGCTAATTGATATACGCTGAAGGCTAGTACAGACATAGATTGGCATCACCCAACAATCAACGCCATCGGCTGCATGGCACCGCCTCCCATATCATCCTGTGGCAATAGCAAATGGTGTTGAAACACACATATGTGAAACAAGCGGATGCTGATACTTTTGCAAATGAAGCGCAACAAAGGTGTTTGGCAGTACAGCCGAGCGTGCCACCTGCGTTCAGTTCAAAGGAGGCCACCAGTGTTCCTTACATCGCCCATGCTGCTCTCAGATATCCGTTTTGTCATATGGGAATAGTCTGCTAGATTAGATATAGGGGAATGTTTGCCTGGTAGATGCGATTCTGGCCTCTGAACCAGATTGTTACTTTCTTCGTTGACCGAGGAAATTTTTGTCAATAACGTCAGCGCGAGAGCCTCCGAACCCCTGGTGCTACCGCATCTCTTGTCTGACGCAAGGCTCGCTTCAATCAGATAATGTCTGCTCAAGAGTTCTTCGACAAACCCTTCGACAAACACAATGAGGTGCGGCAAACCGACGAAAAGACCGGCGGTCTCCCTCCCAAACCTGAAGTCCGAGGCAGTTTCTGGAGTCGTTGTCACGATCGCTGGGCACTGGTTGCTTTCCTCACCAGCTTTACCGTATATCTCTTCTTGAGCATATATTGTCTGTACAAAGTGGGGACAGATTATGACGATGTGACGGACATTGATGTGCCAGGTGACTGGCAAGAGTCGAGCAGCGGGACAACTTCTAGCTCGGGTGGAGTTGATTATGGCGAGGCATTTACAAAGTGAGTTCTTTCAGGGTTACAAGACGGAGTGTTTACTTACCTCGTGACGCAGAGAGACAGGAATGTATTCGCGCTCGCTTCCGCCGTGGCCGTTGGGCTCAGCTTTGGACTTTTGTTTGTAAGTGGTCTTCAAGTGGAGGATGTAACACTATGTCGGGACTAGCTGACTGATACTCATCCCTGTCATGTTGTACAGTTTGTGAGGTACTTTCCAACAGTCACGATCATCATTGGCCCAGTGATATCCCTCCTCTACATGATAGGTGCTACGGTCGGTGAGTCGCTTCAATCGTCCCGACAATTCCCATATCTGTTTTGATGCTCATCTCGTATGTTCAAAAGGCTGTATCTACCTGAAGAGTGAGTACTGTGATGTTCACTAGAGCAATGCGGATGAGGCTCATACTGTGTCAGTCTGGGGCGAAGCCGCTATCTGCGCTGCAACTGCCGCCTTGATCGTATTATGTCTGTTCATGTTCATGTCGAGGTATAGGCTTGCGAGAGACTTGCTCGATACCGCCAATCAGGCCGCTAAAGCGCATTGGTCGGTCTTCTGGACAGTTCTCATTGGTGACTCAAGTGTCTCCTTGCTTCCTTGAGAGATCTACTCACGGCGAACGTCTAGGCATCTTGGTTCAAGGATTGAGTTCCCTCTGGAATATCGCTACGTTCATAGCAGTGTTTCTCGTTTTTGAACCATGGCATCAAGGTTAGTACAGTACTCGTACCACGCAGTCAAGCAGAGTTGGCCAGCTCTTCTTCTGTGCTAACCGTCATGATGCAGGATGCGACGATGGAGACTATTGTTCTGCTGGCATGACCTGGGTACTCCTGGTCTGTGTCATCATCGAGTACATGTGGATATCCGCAGTTATCAGTAACATCACGTTGACTGTCATGGCCGGCGGACCTTATGCTCGTGAGTATCGATCACATGAGCGACTCTCCTTATCTGACGGGTAATTTTGAGACTGGTGGTATGGAACCGATCTTGATACACGAAGTGAAAGTATCTGGGCACTGAAACGTGCTGCCGGTACATCTCTTGGTTCTATCGCTTTTGGTAGCCTGCTTGTTACAGCAGTGGAAGTCCTTCACTTTCTTGTCAAGCTTATCACAGGTGACGGAGAAAAAGGGATCTGTGCCTGTTGTGTGAGTAATCATCCTGTGCTGATGGCTTTGTATAGTGAGACTAACCTCGTACACGTTCATAGTGTAGCTGCTTTTTGCGCCTCCTGGAGTACTTGCTGGAGACATTCAACAAATACGTATAGTACGTAGGATCTTTCCTCACCGAATAACCTCATGCTCATTGATATCATCAAGTATCAGAATTGGCGTAGACAGGTTCGAAATCGACTTTGTGAGTGGTGGATGATGATGCCGTTATCACAGGCCACAGTCTGGTACTGACACATGCCGCAGAAACAAGGAGGCAAAGAGATTTGGAGATTAGTGAAAAAGGGAAAGAAGGTGAACAGGAAAGGTGTGATTACACTTCTGAGTGCAGAATCTTATCGACGTGCTTATTTTGTTTCGTCAGGTATATCGGCTCTCATCAATGACAACATAGTCGGAAAGGCACTTCACATGACGTGCATGGGAAACGCGGTCCTGTGCGCCGGACTCACCTACTTGTACATGGCTGGTAGGAAGATCTCATACCGACTCTAGAAAGAGGCTGATCCATCGCAAGAGTTGTTGACGGGTCGCTGAAGGTTGATGAATGGTGGAACTGGCTGATTCTCCTCTACTCTTTCATCCTCGCGCTCAATATCGGTCTCGCTCTGACATCCGCACTCGTACGCAGATATTTTCTCCCTGTCAGGTTTGTGCACATCTGACATTGCTGTTTGTAGGAAGCTGGTGTGACGACAGTCTTTGTATGCCTCGACAAAGATCCAGACTATCTGAAGCAGCGCAATCCCCGTTTCTATGATGTGAGTGGGATATATACAAGCAGTAGATCCTATCTGATTTGTCTCAGGACCTGTGCGCACACCCCGATTGCTATTCGATAGTGATGCCAGAGGCAAATCAGCCCTTACAACGGCGAGAAAAGGCTTAAGAGACATTTTATAGTCGGAAGTTGAGTGATAGTTAGAAGTATATCCTTCAGCGCGCATGGGTACAGAGGGCCTCTCCCGCATTGATATAGAATGCATGCTGCCTGTCGGTGCCAGCTATAATTTGGGGTACCACGTATTGCGGTTGCGGTCATGGAGAAATACCAAACGCGGTGGCCCGAATTGCAAGAAGAAGCAATGTTCGAGAAAAATGGCATTACGTAATAAATCTGAGCCGGAAGTATATAAGGGGAGGACTGGCATCCGCCCCTCGCCCCGCTCCCATCGCTCTCACAACACTCTTTCCTCTCTTCTCCCCCCACCATCCGTCGCTCACCGCTCATACGGTACTGCCCCCGCCATCCAAAAACATAGACTCGCCCTGCGTACGCTAGACGGCCCCGAAATCACTGTCAAATTTGCCCCGCCCGACTGGCCGCCAAACAACATCCTTTGATACTCGCCACAACCCCTCCGCCATGTCTGGTCTCGCTCTCCCTAAAGGTTCCCAGGCGGGCCCATCCAGCTCCAACAATGCTCCGAACGGACGACAGACTCTTGAAGGAGCGGGAGATGTAGCGACGAGGCAACCTCAGAAGGCTGTGGCGAGTGTTCCGGAGATTACGGCGGTGGATGGTTTGGTTCCAACCTTACAGTGGGTATAATGTTCTTCCACAGACATCCGGGTCTATGAAAAGAGGAGATGACTGGTAGAGGGCCGTTGTACGTCAACAGAGACAGGGGGGCTATAGGAAAGAGTGGGTCATATGGAGCCGGGGTGATTCCCGAGTATGCTCTATGGCCCGCTCTTTGATCTGTCTAGTCGTGCTCTAAGTTTGCTCAGTGAACGACAGAGTCGGCTGACCGTGTTGGATCCACAGAAATATCGTTGCTACCGTCAATTTGGATTGTCGTCTCGACTTGAAGACTATTGCGCTTCATGCTCGAAATGCCGAGTACAACCCTAGAGTGAGTGTACTTTCCCCCTTCGATACCGCCATGTATTGATGCATCTCTCAGCGTTTCGCCGCCGTCGTCATGCGTATTCGAGATCCCCGAACGACTGCCCTTATCTTCGCTTCCGGAAAGATGGTCGTCACTGGTGCCAAGTCAGAAGACGATTCGCGTCTAGCTTCTCGAAAGTACGCGCGTATTATCCAGAAACTTGGTTTCGATGCCAAGTTTGCCGAGTTCAAGATTCAGAATATGGTGGGCAGTTGTGATGTCAAGTTCCCGATTCGGTTGGAGGGTTTGGCTTTCAGCCACGGTGCTTTCAGCAGTTACGAACCTGAGGTGAGTGTCTTCGTAATCCCCTTTGATACCTCTCTGACGGTGCGGTAGCTTTTCCCTGGTCTCATCTATCGTATGTTAAAGCCGAAGGTCGTCATCCTGATCTTTGTCTCCGGCAAGATCGTCCTTACGGGTGCAAAGGTGAGAGAGGAGATTTACATGGCGTTCAACCAGATCTATTCTGTGCTGCTTGGTGAGTAACCTGATTGCTTCCTGTTCCCATCTAACGTCCACTAGAATTCCGAAAGACAACATAATCATACCACATCTCATTCGGTGCCACGCCGGCTGCTGACCAACCTCCCTACTTTTTCTTCGGGTCCCCGTGTTCTCCACCACTTGGCTTCATACCCTACCACCATACGATCGGAGTCCATCCCTGCATAGTCTTCCATCGTGGTTCTCACGTCTATTAACGAAAACAATAAAAAGCAAAACGCGGCCCGTCGAGGGGAGATGGGGAGAGCGTTTCCGTGGCTGCTTTATCAGAACCGCGAGCTAGATCTTTCCCTTTTCTAGTACTCATAGCGATACCGCATGTAATTCTGTTGACATTAGAAAGACACTGCCACTGTTAATTAGCATGTGCGCCGTATCTCGGTGTTCGCCGATTGGCCATTGGCCAGGTGGCCACTGACCGACAATCTGGCTGATTGCGTCTTTTCCTTCTTTTGCTCTTTATCTCTCTTTCTACTATATCCGCCACAACAAGAATGCGCCCAGTACATCTCATCATTCTCATCCACGGCCTCTACGGCGATATCCACAACCTCCACGCTGTCAAAGGCGAGCTCTTGGCCTTGGCGGAGCCTCAATCGTCAAACGCGACTTCGCAAGACTCTGAAGAAGGGCTTGATGAAGCTGGATCAGGCAAGGCCCAGGATGGTCTGGAGACGGTCGTGTATCTGCCCAAGACGATTCCGGGGGCCAAGACTTGGGATGGGATTGACGTCTGCGCGGCAAGGGTGGCTGATGAAGTGAGTTACTTATCACAGCATGGTACCGGCTGCGCATAACGTAAAGACAAGTCTGGATGAAGCTGACCTGAAGAAAGATAGATCAAGAGATAGAGAGGCTGCAGGATGAGGACAAGGATGTGGTTGGGTTCAGTGTGGTACGTGGTGGTTACACTGCCGACCTTGAAGGTTACGTCACTGATCAGTTTGTGGTGCGCAGATGGGATACTCTCTTGGGGGATGTGAGTCTTCGATTCAAGGTGTTATCCGGATCGACTAACGAGCTGTCCAGTGATCTCGAGATATCTTATAGGTTTACTGCATGCTCGCCAACCTTCGTTCTTTGCCAGACATAAACCTGTGTCATTCTCCACAGCAGCCACTCCCGTACGTTTCGCGGTGCCATCTAAACCAGGTGTTCACTGACATGATTTCGATCTAGCATTTGGGTGTGCTCAAGTATGGCACTACTACCAACACGGTGGTACACACTATAGGACGGAGGCTGTTCAGCCAGACGGGCAAGCAACTGTACAATTTGGATCGGGAACCCGAATGGGCTGGGAGGAGTTTGTTGGAGGTCATGTCAGATCCAGGTAAGGATGTCATCATCAAGACACTATCTAGTTGGATGTTGACCGGTAAAGACAACATCTTCATTCAAGCTTTGAAATTGTTCCCGAAATCGATGATAGTCGCCAATGGGTCAGTTTTTCGTCCCCGAGTCGGGCTTTGTACTGACATCTCAACAGAACGCAAGACCTGACAGTCCCATACCCTACAGCCACCTTTTCACTCACCGACCCATTCGCCGACCCCACATCAATAGACGTCGAAGTGAACGACCAACACATCGTACAGTCTTACCGCCCTCTATCGCCCGCGTCGCTCGATCGTCCAAGCTCTCGGTCGAGTTTGTTGACGTCAAGAAGCAACAGAAGGATGAAAGATGGGAGCGAGTCGGCAGATGAAGAGGATGTTGAGATTAGTATTACGTCTTTGAGGAGTAAAGGCGATGAGAGAAAGAGGCCGGTTTTACCGCCCTTTCTCATACTACCTCTGCGGTGGCCATTCAACTATGTAAGCTGGGCGCAAGCGAGAGAATAACATAGCTGACCATATATACAGTCTCTTGTGCTGTTTGTGCCATTCCTGCTTCCCATCTTGTTACTATACATGTGCGTCTCGCTCTTAGATCTGATGGACGAAAGCTGACTTCCTTGCAGTTCCATCACCGTCATCATCCACACCTTCCATTCGTAAGCTCAAGTGACTGTGCTCCGGCTAGCAAGGCTAATACCCTTACAGTCGCCGCCGCATACAATCACACCGAAACGAATACGAGCGCCAACCCCTTCTCTCAGCATCAACATCCACCATCGACCTCTCCTCCCTATCCGCTTCGGAACAAGCAGAAACAGCCACCACCGCCGTCCAAATCAACCCATCCGACGGTATATGTACTCCACCCATGGCAGACCCTCTACCCGCCAGCGCTGCTGAACCTCTTTTGCTCACGCCCCAGCAAAAGCTGATGATACGGAATTTGAACGCGGCGATACCGAATGCGGAGAGGGTGGTGGCGTGGTTCCCGTGGGCTTTCAATGCACATGCTATGCTTATTTGCAGGTGAGCTCGATAGTATGACTTGGGCATGGTGGATTGCTTACTCTAGAGGCAGGACGGTGGCGCGCTTCTCGTGGCAAGAAGATGGGAGGGGAGCTGTCAGGGCATGGACAAAGTTTGTTTTCCAGGCGGGGGAGACAGAGTGTCATGCGAGGGGGACGGGGGCTGTCGCTCATGGGAGCACATGATAGGTTGGACTCGGACTTTGATGGGCATATACATACATGGATTATCTTATCTGTCACGATGCCGATAATCAAAGCTTCAAGAGCCTAGCGAGAAGGTCTTTGTGGATTTCCGTCCTCGTCCATGGTCATAACGGCTCAAGGAATTTTTGATCATCGCGATGACCATCTCCGAGGTGTCCAACCTCGTTCAACGCGTCTAGGAACACCTCTTTCCCTTGGCATGCCGAAGAATGCGGGAATGCAGGGCGTCGTAGCCTTTAAAATGACGGCGAGTCGGTGATGTCCGATGGTTCGGCAGGCCGGCGAAAGATGTTAAGCGGGAAATGGCCAGGTACAGAGAGAGCACCGCCTTGTCGCATCCTCGCCCATGCATGGATAAAGATAGGGTATATAAGAAGGCAGTATATCTCCTGGTTTGGCTGAAAGGACCCCCACCCGAACCACACATCACACTCATACATTACATCCGCAACACCGATTACTCGCCGATATCGTTCCTGTGCCGCCCATCACTGCCGCTCGTCATCTTTTACTTGCCGCAATACTTCCATTGTATTTTTGCCACATCACCAATCGCTCTACTACTATAACATCACTATGTCCACTGCCTCTTCATCCAAGCGCTCTAGCAAGCTCTTCAGCCGGCTCCTAGGGCGTTCCGGTCGGGCGGCCTCTCCGCCACCGCCTCCTCCTTCCTACGACACCAGCGCCTCCCCGGGAACAGCTGTACCACCCATGGCCAAGGGCTTTAGATCCTCGTATGTTGCTCCCAGGGGTGATGAAGATCCCCTAGAGCTGTTAAAAGAATATGATACAGTCTTTCTCGGTAAGTCTAATTCTTGCCGCACTCTGACATTGTCGGAGATTCCGAGCTGACCGTTTATAATAGTGGACGACAGCGGGTCTATGGGTGGGAGCAGATGGAAGGAAGCGTGCAAGGCGATCATGGAAGTTGCCGACATTGCTGCTCGGTACGATGAGGATGGTATCGATGTCTACTTTTTGAACAGCAAGCGGTACGGGGTTGGTCTTTCCACTACCAGCCAGGTTGCGGAACTTTTCAGGAGCTTGGAGCCTAAGGGAATGACGCCGTGAGTACTCTGTTGTTCACTTTGAGGGTCAAAGCTGACATGCTTGGTTAGCACAGCGGCAAGGCTTGATGTACTTCTAAGGGAATACATGGGGCGCCTGGAAGCTCAGAATGCTGGCAGCACGCCCGGGGAAGCAGAGGAAGTCAAGCCGATCAACCTAATCGTGATCACCGACGGAGGTGAATATCTTGTCGCGCCTCCTTACGCTACTACTAGCTGACTAACACTACGTGTAGCACCCAGTGATGATCCCGCCAGCGTGATTGTAGCTGCAGCCAAGCGTGTGAGTATCCCTCAATCATGTCTTCTTGCCCACGATTGACTTGTTCAATAGCTTGACAAGGGCGAATACCCTCTCTCTCAAGTCGGCATCCAGTTCCTGCAGATCGGCAACGACCCCAATGCTGCCGCTGCCCTCGAAGAGCTCGATGACGAGCTGGGCCCCAAGCATGGTATCAGAGATATTGTGGATACCGTGCCGTTCAAGGGAAAGGCTATGAATGCCGAGTTGATCATCAAGACTTTATTGGGAGGTATCAATAGGAGGTTGGATAAGAGGGGTAACTGAGTGAAGAACGGTCTCAGAATTTGAGGGCAGAAGTCTTGTATTGCTAGTATGATGCTCAAGATTTATCTGTATCTGAGTCCCAATGTATAATATCGCAGGGAGCTACTATCTGACTGCCACTCTCCGAGAAGGGTTGACGGAGTGAGAGACACGGTGACCACGGTGATGTCCGCTGTACGGTCGCGAGTCAAGCCGACGGAGATGCGACCACCTCCGATCTGCCTCTCTATATAACTTGTACATGGTGCTCCCTCGCCTCCGTCCCCTCTTCAACACTGTCCGCACCATGTCCTCCCAACACATCTATGCCACCCCAGCCGCCACAGCCGCCCCCGAGACTGTCAAGCTCACCACCCACAACCAATACGTCACTCCCCGCCTCCTGGCTGGCGACCTCGACCCCAACCCCCTCTTGCAGTTCAACACCTGGTTCGCCTCGGCTCTGAACCCTACAGAGTCAGAGGCGGCGGGCGGGCGAAAGGTGCATGAGCCGGAAGCTATGACGCTGTCTACGGCGACTGCGCGGGGTATCCCTTCGTCCAGAGTCGTCTTGCTCAAGACGGTGGACAAGACTGGGTTTGTGTTCTTTACAAACTACAACTCTCGCAAATCGCAAGAACTCATTGCGAACCCTTACGCGTCGCTTGCGTTCTATTGGCGCGAAGTATCCCGACAAGTGCGGGTAGTAGGCAAGGTGGAGAAGGTTAGCAGGGAAGAGAGTATGGAGTATTACAATACGAGACCGAGAGGGAGCAGGCTGGGAGCCTGGGCGAGCGAGCAGAGTAAACCGGTACAAGAGGGAGAGCTGGAGGAGCGGGTGAAGGCGCAGGAGCAAAAGTGGGAAGGCAAGGAAGTGGAGTGTCCAGAGTTCTGGGGTGGATGGAGGATTGTGCCCTTGTAGGTCGGCCTTTGTCTTGTCACTCTCGACTACTGACGAAGGTCATAGCGAGGTCGAGTTCTGGTCTGGCCAGCCGTCAAGGCTGCATGACCGATTCAAGTACACTCGCGCAGAGGGTAGCAGCGGAGAGTGGAAGATTGAGAAATTGTCCCCATAAATTATAGTGTACGTCTCTTGGTTTGCGCCATGTATGCTGCTCACGACATTCCCAGATATTTATGAATCTCAACTCAATGCATTGCTTCGGCGAATCTATGCAACCCAGCAAACACCCCACTATTCATTAGGCTGGTGCCACGGCCTATTCGGATCAATATCTCTCGTCCCCGTATAGACATATCCCTCGGCGGTAGACTCCCAATTCTGGGGGTCCTCTGTAAGCTCGGGATGAAACTTGATCGAGTCTGCAGTCGCTTTTGAAATAGTGACAGTCTTGGTGTCAGAGCCGCTGACTATAGAAGGTCTGCGCGGCATGGCTTGTCGAGGTGGGATGCTCAACAAGGTTGGGCGGGTTGATGCGTTCTCGGGAGACTTGGTAGTCTATCGCTGTTCAGAGTGTGGTGCTTTCAGTACGGAAAGTATGACTGACCTGGCTATTCGTGAATATGTCTTCTCTGAAGGATATGGCTGGTCTACTCTGCTGGGACTGATTCTCGGTGGGCTGTTGTTGCGACATTCTGCAATGTTCTGCGTGTTGCTCACTTTGTCACAATGAGCTGACAACAATGCGTTTATTTATGCAGTTCCAACTTGCACAGGCCCTTTGATGTGTCGGGCTTGTCTTTCACTTGTGAATTGATCAAATCCTTTGAGAGAAATGGATATCACCATTCATTGTGGGGCTGCCTTGGTACGCGTCAAAGGATATACTCCGATCCAAGGAGATTATCATGGCAAGTGGACACGTTGCTACTCTACCATATTGACCTCCATACCGTGACCATACTCAAACGAACGCGACTCGAAAAGAGCAGAGCGAATTGCATGCGACCCAGCACATCTATAAATAAGTATACCAATACAACACGAACCCGACCTCACCCCATCTAGACAACCCTCTCGCTCTAGAACTACGAGCGGATCACAGATTCAGCCCCTTCATCATCCCCTTGATACTCCCCATCATCTTTCCACTACCGGCAGCAGTCGGTGGGGGCGTCTGCAGACCCGTCTCTGTCTGCCTCTCGCCATTGACCTTGATATCCGGCCTGGCCGCGTCGTCCACTTCGGCCTTGACGACCTTTGGCTCGGTGGTCTCTGGCAGAGCGAATGGCAGACTGCCAGAGCGCGCATGGCCCGCCTTGAGAGTCGATTGTCTGTGCTGGCCCGGCCTCGCTACAGCAGGCTTGCCCTTGAGCGTGCCATTGCTATCCTGCCCGCCCGCCTGCCCCTGCCACTGCCCCTGCCCGAGCTCACCCTCATTCGACATCAAGCTCACCCTCCTCGAACCGTCGTCCGCCGAAAAGTAATCGCTCATCGGATCTTCATCCGACATGCTCAACGGCGTCAAGATCATCTGCGCTCCCTCCCTTGCGGGCGTACCGGGGGACGCCGGGGTGGACGAGTCGGGGGAGAGGGTGTTGGAGCGGGAAGAGGCGGAGGAGCGGATACGGTTGGAGGCTTGGATCATGCGGAGGGCGGAGCGCCATTTGCGTTTGGGGTCAAAGTTGGCGCGGATGGCGTCGGAGAGGTCGTTCTCGGTCGCTTCGCCGGATGTGATCCACTAAGACGGAGGTTAGATGTGAGTTTGGGAGAGGAGAGGGGAGGGGAGACTTGCCTCGTGGTGGAGAGCTTGGGCGGCGGTGGGACGTTTCTTTGGGTCGACTTCGAGCATCGCCTTGACAAACTCCTTGGCTGTTTCACAATCAGAGATAGATTCGAGGAGTGGTATGTAGACGCACCAGGACTGGACACTTTGGACCAGTAACGGTCATGGAACATGATCTTTGCTTTAGTCATCTCCACCAACAGCCCCATCCTGTCGTCGCTTCTGAATGGAGGATACCCAGATAGCAGCGTATACGCGATAACTCTGCAGCTCATTAGCCAAAAGTTCCCCCAACCTTATATTGGGACTCACCCAATACTCCAACAGTCCACCCTCAGCCCATGCGGCTTCGCCATAAGCACCTCTGGCGCGGCATACCCAAAACTTCCCGCTGCCTCCTCCACCTCTTCATCCTCCGTCTCCAGATGCCTCGCGATACCGAAATCGGCAATCACCAAGGGAGAGTTGACGTCCCGGGTTTTGTAGAGGATGTTTTCGGGTTTGAGATCGCGGTGGGCAATGTTGTGGGAGTGTAGGTAGGCTGTTGCTTGGAGGACTTGGCTGGTGCGGGTGTCAGGTCGGGAAATGCGAGCCCTCGAGGCAAATGCTTACCGTATACAATCAACAGCGTCTTTTTCGGTAAACTTGCCCCTCTCTGAAATTCTATCAAACAGTTCTCCACCGACAGCCAGCTCGAAAGCGAGATAGTACTTGTCCCGCGACTCGAAATTGTCCCACACGTGCACGATATGCGGGTGGTCGAGATCCTTGAGGACTGATATCTCATCCATGACCGCCTGCTCGTTGCCCTTGACGAGCTTCTTGTTGATGATCCTGTACCAGAGTCAGCTGCGCAACACTGCATCCTCGACGATCGCGACGTACTTGAGAGCGACCTCCTTCTTCTCCCCGCCTAGCGGAGTCCATGTGGCGCGCACAACCTTGCCAAACGCTCCTCTCCCCAACAGCTCTTCGATCTTGTACTCCTTCTTCTTCTTGAAGGACGGCGGTTGGGAGAGGATGGCATCTCGGAAATCCGAGATTCCCATTTTATGGCGTGGAGTCATATCGACGGGCATCTTGTGATGGCCTAATTTGAGGAATGTGGTAAACAAAGAGATGAGGGGAAGGGAGGCGATAACTCGGTACAAGGTCGAGGCAAGAAGGGTGTCGAAAAAAGGGACAAAGGAACGAGATGGGAAAAGATGCCAGAGATGTGGCGGAGCGTGAAGGAGGAACGATCCGCGTCTGTGGGTGCTGCGGTCGATAGCCAGGGCGTGATCTGTTTGACGACGCTGGCTATGAATACTCGTTGGGATTGTATACTCTTGGGGATTGTGGAGATGCAAACGCACAAAGATGCACGTCGGAAAAGGCGAGACGGAGAATGACGCGCTAAGTAAGTAAGTAAAACGCGCATCGTAAAAACGCGTTCACCGCCCCGGCCTGGGCTTTCACCGCCGCCACTCCGCCACTCGGCCGCAGCAGCGAGCATGCAAACGTTGGCCGAGGAAGCACGCTCAGTGCGAAGGGCGGGCGAGGGGCGAGGGGCGAGAGGCTGGGCGCTACCGAGTAGAACAGCGTACAGCCAGCAAGAGACAGCCAAGCGGGCCCAGGATGTCATGAGGGGCGTCGAACTTTGTTCAAGATGCTCGGAACTAGTCGGTGGCGGTGTGGCGGTAGTCTTGCAGTCGACATGGGGATATAGATGTGGATGGATGAATGTTTTCTGGGCGTACAGTTGCCTTTCGTGGCTCCGGCGTCGGTCCCAGGTAGTTTCGCCAAGCACTTGCTGACAAACTGCTATGGGCCTGCGTGTCTGAGCAGCCCTGGGCGTGCTCTGTGCCACATGCGACTGAAATGGTTTGGCAGACTGTTCAGACGACTGATAGTACACTTGAATATCGCTGTTATATGAGTCCTGAAGAAGCTTGTAATGAGGCGAGGATGATGCGTGATGCATCAAGAGGCAAGCCAAGCGAAGTAAGCGCCACGAGCACTGTCCTGTGCGGCTGGGCCAGATCGACTTTCCCAACTGTCTCTTTCTACATACGCCCCATAGCATGGCTCCTGCTATCATCTCTCTACCCGTTCACATATCAAGTGCATGTATATGCACAGAGCTACACCCCCAGCAGTCTTGTCTGACAACGCGCTGGCGACAGTTGATACCGCAAGCGGCTCCCCCCGCCTCCACTCTTGTCCTCCATCTTTGAAAGATTCTTGCTCGCCATTGTTATTGTTTTTCGCCAGAACCATTCTCCTCCCCACCACCTTCCCCACGCTCACTTTGAATATGCCCCATAAACGTGAGCAGATGATCAATACGGGTCAACAAGAGCTGACAGAAAGTAGGTTCCAAGAAGTCTGTTAGAGACGCCGAGACTGCCAAAAAGTACATCCCCCTGCCTCTAACCCAACCTTCAAACCTCAAACGACCCCAACTGACGGACGATCTCACAGGGGCCAAAACCTCGCACCGTCCGATAACAAGTACGACGACACCCCGCGAGGCGCAACCCGTATCTTTTCCTCCCTCGACCTCCAGACCAAATTCCGAGCGAGCGGCCGGACGAACAGTGAAGATACCGGCGAACGGCGCGGAGTCGCCGGGACGAATGTCAAGGGGAAGGGGAAGGGGAAGGAGGCGCTGCCAAAGATTATGCCGCAAGAGACGCTGGGCGAGTACAATCGCCGTATAGAAAGTCTGCTCCGGCCTGCAGTCTCATCTGCGATCAAGACGGCGGAGAACCAACGGCAAGCGGAAGTAGCGGATGAGAGGCGCGGGAAGAAGGAGAGGAAGAGGCGGGCGAGGTTGGAGAAGCTTGTCAAGGAGGGCAAGGTGGATAAGAAGGTGTTGGAAGAGTTTGAAAAGTCGGTCAAGGAGAAGAAGCGGAAGAGGGAGCAAGGGAAGGGTGGGGATAGTGAGAGTGAAGAGGAGGAAGAGGAGAGGGGAGGGAAGAAGCAGAAGCAGCAGCAAAAGGAGCAGAAAGAGTTCAAGGCTGCGACATCGACGTCGGCGCCGAGGCGGTTGAACGATATCGCCCAAGCACCGCCGTCTCTGCCGCAGCTCAAGAGAGCAGGGGAAAAGTCGGGCGTGTACGGTGCGGTCAGCAGCGGCAAGATGCCGCTGAATGCCGGGCAGAAGCGAATCATGGAGGAAGAGCGAGAACGTGTGATCAACTTGTATAGAGAGATGAAGGCAAAGAAGCAGGAGAGCAAAAGTAGTTAAGAGCCATGGCATCCATCCTTTTGTTACGTGTTACAAGTATGCCTCATGATCTCTCCCCCTATTCCAGAAAGCGCTCTACTCGAGCTCCTCAAGGTCGCTCTTCTTGACGTCCGCCTCGTCAAAGTTGTCCACCAAGTCGGGGATCTCGTCGTCACCACCCTCACCAGCACCCTCACCACCGGCACCGGCAGCTTGTCGGGCAGTCATGGACTGGTAAGACTCGGCCAGCTTTCGGAGGTTGGCGAGAGAGTCGGGGCCGAGCTGGTTGAGGATTCCGGGGACGAGCTCGGTGAGCTCCTTGGTCTGGCCGGGGCCGTAGACGGCGAGGGTGTTGGAGGGGAGAGCGGCGTGGACTTGGGCTGTGGCATGTTAGCGGGCGTGCTTGTGCAGAATTCGGGTGATTGGCATCTGCGACTTCCACTAATCTCGTGACAGCATACACTCTCCGTTCTCTGTCTGCTTCCCCCAGCTCCGCTGGCAGATACCAATCACCCTCCTTTAACCCTCAGCACTTACTCCTGGGGGCAGCAAAGTGCAAAACGTTTCCGTCCTCCTTGAACATGTTGACCTCCTCAACACCAGCAATCGGTTGCACACCCAACTTCTTCAAGGCGGCCTGGAGCTTCCTGTCATCACCCTGGGTAGCGGTGACAGACTTCTTGACGACCTTTCGTCGGGGAGTACCCTTTCCACCTGTTTTATTGTATGATTGTTGGATGACGAGAGGGATAGTGGGAGGGGGAGTGAGGCGGGACATTGTGGATTTGGAAAAAGTCGGCGTTTTGGGGAAGGGGGTGGTGGAAGACCGCTAGTCAGTTGACTTCTCTCCCCTGGACTGCTCTGGACGCACCGAGACGTTGAGCCTGGAGCTTGGCGAGCTTTTCCTTGTCCATGGTGAGTTTTGTGGAGTATTGCTGGAGGATGCCACGAAAGAGCGTTTACGAGGGGCAGCGGCGTTTGGCGGGGTTATCCCTGTGGCGATGGTGCAAATGTCGTTCTGGCGTGCACAGGGGTATGCATGGGGGAGGGTGGCAGGGGAGGGTATGCATAGCTGGCGTGGTGCATGCATGCATGAGATGCATAGGGGGCTTTTGGGGAGATGAGCATGGGAGGATAGGCGCGGGGGAGTTTTAGGCGGGCGTGGACGCGACTTGCTTTCATCAACATCAGATCCTCTCCTTCATCTCTCTCATCCCCTATAACTCTTCTCTCGCCATGCTCGCACCCCGAACCATCCACACCCACCGCACATACACCCACCAGACCACCTCCAAGAAGAATATCGAAAATGCCCACGCCCTGCCCTCGAAAACGCCCTCAAGAACCGGTGGAAAGCAGCTGCTGGCGCCCTCGACGGGGGTGAGGATGGGGCTCGGCGTCAAGACGGAGGGGAGGGATAGGAATGTACTGGGAGGACAGTCGAGGGGGGAGGGCGGGAAGGGGAAGGGGGCAGCGGAGGATATAGGTAGGTAGACGTGTTGAGGGGTGTGCAGACTGACACTCGCAGAACCCAAACGGCTCTTCACCAACGCCCCCAAGTCCTCCATCCCTCCCTCCAAATCCTTATCCTCTATGCCCCCCATCCCCGCCCTCCCCACCCGCACCCCCGCCCCTCGCCGTCAAGCAGCCCCCTCCCAAACCCTCCGCACGCCGGCACCGGCATTCCACCTCGCCTCCCAGCCTCTGCCCGCGCCTACGCCTCTACCTAGTGCGACACGGACGCGGAGGAGGTCGAGGCAGTCGTTGAGCAATGTCCAGCTTACACCGAATAAGAGCGACGTCGATGAGGGCAAGCCTAGGCAAGAGTTTGTCACGCCTGCGCCGGTTAGGTGGGAAGAAGAGCTTTCTTTGGGGAGTATCGAGGTCGAGCAGGAAGGGCTGGAGTTGGTACAAGAGGAAGAAGAGGATGGAGAGCCCGAGTATATGCCTCCGCCTGTACAAGGTGTGTCCTTCTAGCGTCTGTATAGACACGGCTAACTTAGGACAGAACTGCCATACGACCCAGGATGGCAAGTCCCAGACTTTGAACAACTCTTCTCCAAGCTCGCTGCCATGCCGTCCATCGGAATCTCTGCCTACGAACCTCTCCCGCCACCCCCTCTTGTGCTGCAGAGCGACATTGTTGACAGACTATGCTCTTCTGGTGAGTCGGCCCTTGACTGTCAAGCATCATGTCTGATCACAACTAGGCGATGACGACTTGGAAGAAGATTACCTCAAGACAAAACCCGTCCCAGCTCAGCGCCCTGCGCCGTCGGGGGTACCGTCCCGTGCACCTTCAGTACCATCCCGAGCCCCCTCACGCGCCCCTACAGCCCTCTCCCGAGCACCCACACGCTCCACCATCCCCTCCCGCCTTGGCGCTCCCACCACAGCGCCCGCCCCTAGACGCCCTGCTGAAACTACCACAAAACCTCCAATCCCCACCTCCCGTCCGCCTCCTACAGTACCGCGTCCCCCGCCCATCAGGCCTACTTCCCGCACGACCACTGTTGCCGGGCCAAAGACACCATCTGCTCTGTCTTCGCGCGCTGGAAGCAGGCTGGGGGTGCCGCGGGCGAGAGAGAAGCCTGGAAAGAGTGAGGATGAGAAGAAGCTGGAAGAGATGGATAGTGCTATCTATGAGGGGTGGACGGGTGCTAGTGTAGAAGCGTTTGAGCTCAGCATGGACTTTTGAGTCAAAAGGTGATTGTACAATTTGTATTATTGTATGTTTTATATGTTTTATATGTCTTTACGCTTGACGTATCTTGATGCACGCTACGTTTCCTGGATAGACATACAACGATGGATAGGGGGTTATGCATATGAGAAGATAGAAAGCTCATTATAGAGAGGACTTGGGAAATAAGCAGACTTCTTATGTGTGTATGGAAAAGTCGATTATACTATGGTGTTACTAAACGAAAGCAGACCTGGGTATATTCAAAAACTAGTCGTTGACATAGTGCGTTTGAGATCTTGAGAGCTGAGGACTTAGAAGACCCCACCAGACCGTCGGTGTCGAGCAGTAGCCATCGGACCCCTCTTCCCCTTCTTCACCTTGCCCGCCCCAGCTGCACTACTCCGCTTATAGTACGAGCTCCCATCTTTCGAGTCGGACGAGTTGTCGTAAGACGAACTGTCAGAGCTGGAATCGTACGATGAACCATAGCTCGAATCGTCGGAGGAGGATGATTTGGAGCTAGCAGTGGCCATGAACCATTTGTAGGAACAGCTGGCTTGGCAGCTGGAGAGGGCTGTAGAGTCGGCGGTGGACGTTTCGGTCTCGGTCTCGATTTCGGTCTTTGTGGCGGTGGCGGTGGCGGTAGATACCAGCGTCTGAAAACCGAGTGTCAGCCAGCTCGGGCAGGATTATGCAGGATATGCAAGGGATAGACGAGGGAACGCACTTTTTCGACGGTACTGGTCTGAAGCTGGGTGACGTTTTGGCTGACCGTCTCTTTGAGGGTGGCAGTGGCCGTAGCTGTGGCGGTGACATTGTTGACAGAGATAGAGTTGACCGTCTTTGTCTGCGCGGGACATTAGCATGAGATGATTGATAAATGAGGACTTGCTTGTGTCTGGACAGCGGTCTGGGTGACGTTGACTTCCTCCGTTGCGGTCTCTTTCTGGGTTGCCGTCAAAGTCCTACGGGTGGCGGTCAGCGTCGACAGACAATGAAGGGGGTTCATGAAGGTGCGTGGTCGCAGATTCAAAGACGGAGGGCAATTAGGGATCAGGAGAGCTTACTGGTTCTTTACTTCTGTAGCAGTAGCCGTGAGCGTTGCAGTTTCTTTGATAGTCTTGTCGATGGTTCTTTGAAGGGTCAGCTCCGTAGGTTTTGCGAAATGGGAGGAAGGGTTTGCTGACTGATTTTGGGTGACCTGTTGCGTCTCTTTTTGGGTAGAAGTTTGTACGTCTATTTTGGTCTTGGTGACATCGACTTCTTTGGTCTGCAGAACGTGTCAGCGATCAGAAAGTGGACGGAAAGATGTTGTAGATGAGATGGCCGTACCTGGGTCACATTGAGCGTTGCGGTCTCTTTGATCGTCTCATCGTCGGTCCTTTGACAGTCGTCAGCTCACAGTCAAGAGACGGCAATGTACACGGGACTTGCTTTGTGATGGTGGAATTGTTGACGACGGTGGCCGTGGCAGTGTCGGTCTTCTTGACAGTCTCCTTGTCCGTCCTTGATATCAAGTCAGCTTGTGTGAAGGGGATCGAGAGACATGAACCAACTCGGTAGCCGTAACAGTCGAGTTCTTGGTGACCAAAGAAGTAGCCGTTTCGGTCTGCTTGACAACGTCGGTCCTGCGCGAGATCAGCTTTGTCACAGAGGATCAAGTCTGTGACGAGACTTGTGCGAGTGCACTCACTTGGTCGCTGTGACGGTGGAGTTCTTCTGGACCAACGACGTCTGGACCTCGGTCTCCTTGACAGTCTTCTCCTGCGTCCTGAATTCCATCAGCTTCAAGTCCCACAGGTTCGTATCCAGCGGCAGAATCGCGCGCTTGTCATCCCGGCAAGGATGAGGATCGGGACTGAAGACTCACTGGGTGACATTGCGGACTTCAGTCTCCCGAGCGGTGGTAGCTTCCACTTGGGTAGAAGTAGCGGTTGCCGTGACCGTCATAGTCTCCTTCATTGTCTCTGTGCTACATGGCCAGATGGGTCAGCTAAACGATATGATTGCGACCGGGAATCCAGGGGGGCGAGGTGAGATGGATGGCCTACACAGTGTTGTTGACCGTCATAGTAGACACAGACTCCTTGGTCTCGGTGACTATAATCACATCAGCCATCAATCCCAGCCACGTGAAAAAGTACTGACCAGTCTTGGTCTCGGTAGACGCATAGCAATCCTCAATGATAGAAGTCGTCTCTGCTCATCTCGTCAGCATTCCATACCTGTGGCTATACGGCCCAAGAGGGAACGGACGCTGGATGATGGTAGTCTCGTAACACCCGTCCATGCTATACCAACTGCCCTTCTCACACTTGGACGAGTCGGCATTCTTGTAGTACCCATATCCGCACGCCATAGAAGAGTAGGCCCAGGAAGAAACGGCGGGGTAGTACTTTGATGCGCTGCAGATCATTGTCAGGTTGCTCAACGCGGAAGGATTAAAGGGAAACATACTCGTCAGACTTCATCTCTTCCCCACATCCCCAACTCCCACAAGTATCCCCTTCCTTGCTCGTATAAACTTCATGCGCCGCCATGGGGGTGGGCATCACAAACTCTGTCGTCGCGCTGCCGCTATCAGACGCGCTATCGGTAGCTGACGCAGTGGGAGGAGCAGTTGGCGAGGGAGAAGCCGAGTCGTCGGGCAGGGATGAAGCTGGGGAGGGTGTACTGAGCCCGAGGACATCTTGGGCGCTGGTGGTAGGGAGGGAGGGGAGAGTGAAGAGAGCGAGAAGGGGTAGGAGAAGGGTGATGGCCGGCATCGTCGCGAGGTGTAGCTTTGAATGAGTAAGGGACGAGGGGAAGTCGGGCCTGCCGGTTTGGGTCGAATGTGAGTATACCCCGTAGAGTGCCGTCTAGGCGTGTGATGAATATGAAAGAATGTCACAAGAGAAAAGGAAAAGGTCGACTGCCAGAGTACCTGAATTAGTGATGTACGAAGAATCAAGAAAGAAAGAGAGACAAAAGGGGAGGGGCCAAAAGAGGCAATATGCCGGCGAGATGAGCCTTTAAGAACAAGTGCAAAGCGCTCCAAGGTGACATGCCGGAACCAGATATCCACAGGGCACAAGGCAAGCGACGTGTGCAGGTGAGAGATAAGGCATCGGTGACCAAGGTTGCTCTTGGCGTATCCTGGTCACACTTGTTCCCGTCGGTGGGTGAGGGCTGCATGGTGGTCTGTCGTCTGTCGTTGATCTGTTTTGTGGCTGGTGGCAAAAACTAGTGTCGGCATAAGGGTGGGGTTGGCACAGCTTGGAAACACGAGTAGCCTCGGTAGGCCAGAAGGCAGGGGGCGTGGGTGACATATGTTCAGCGGTGGTAGCAAGGGCACGGTCTCGTCGAGCCGGCGAATGATCGCAAACATATCCAGCAAGGCAACCGGTTCGGCGTCACCCTGAACTGTAGGTGAACCGTAAACGTGGGTGTTAAGAGCAAAGGTGATGATGGTCGTAGACGCGCCATGACTTGTAGTTAAGGCTGTGCCGAGGTGGTCGAGGCAACGGGTTTTGGATCGGTTGGTGACCGGATCGAAGCTGTCGCCCATGCCCAGAGTCCCATGGCCGCACATAAAAAAGATCTGAGTCAAGAATAGCCGTCGCCCCATAGGTCATCAGTGGTGTAACGGGCGGAGATGTACTCAGCGCTGGAACGATGATATGCCTCCGGCTGTTCCTCTCTCCAATGTACGCCCTCTCGTCTCTTCCAAAATCCAAAAGAGACAAGCTTGCATGGTCCTATGCTCTCCATCCAATACCCCCTCCCTGACTATTCAATACAAAGCTCAGAGCTTGCCCGTTTGTTGGTTCACCAAAGTCGAAAGCACCTTGCCGACCTCGGCATCCGACAAGTTGGCGAGCTGGGCTTCTGATTCGACTCCTCTCTCTGCACATCTTTGTCAGTCTTGCGCTCACACATCCTGCCTTCCGCTCTGCGAGGAGATGGTGGCGGCTAGGGCAAGAGGGAACGCACCGAATCGGACAAAGGCGCGGGGCGAGACGTTGCTAGCTTCACGAATAAGGAACTTGAGGTCAGGGTTGGAAGCCTTCACAGCGGGGTATGATGATTGGACGAATTGACTACAGCCTCAAGTTAGCTACACTCTCCTCCCATTTCATCCCACCATCCCTCAATCCATGGGACCAGGATGCAAGAATCGCGCATTCAGGGGTGAAAGACTAACCGGACACCAGCAGACGCAGCAGAAGACTGACAGAACTGCAACCTGATTTCTCTGACGGCTTTGGGGATCTGCTTGGCAAAGTTGGACATGTTGGCGGTGGGAGAGAGTGGTGCTGGGTATCGCTCGAGACAAATACGGGGCAGCCAATTCGACAAAGATCAAGCCCACGGCGGCGAGCGCCGGCCACGGGAGATCGGGACAACACGCACCAGACACTCATTCAACGGTCTTCAATTCCATAGACGTCAAATTTCCTAGTCGATTCCGAAGGAGGAGCGACTGGAGAGGGGGAAAGAGATGCAAATCGGTGGTCGAGACGAGAAAAAAAAGTCCACAGCGGAAGCTGGGCGAGATTGACGCATCCTATGTCGACCCGCCGAGGTTGACCCATTCTTATCACCGTCAGACTATGCCGTCCTTTCTTCTACTCAGGCTTGGAATACTGAGAATCAACCAACATGTCGAGTAAGGGAGCAGGCGTGATACTGAGTGCGTTGATGATACCAAGGGATGAGAATGTACCAAGTGGTCCAAACACTGCCTGTCAAAGACGAGACGATGTGGCTCTCTTGGGCGGAAGCCACTTATTTGGTACTAGTACACTATGCCAGGTTACAATCATGACGCAGTAGCTGTGAATGATCCATACTCTGATCACTACCATAAATTATTGACCTCTGCTGTCCATCATGTCCTTGCGACCTCAGAGAGAGAATGCCATTACATTGTGCCGTTGGGCAATCGGCATGCTAACGGCCTTGATAGATGACGATGCTCGTTTAATGGTCTGCATCGAATGGAGTGTGGCATTTGATATGGTGGTGGAAATTGACTTGGAGAGCTGGCCGGTTGAAGGTTCTGATTGAAGATTGTTGACAGAAAAGCCCGCGTACCCAGCGTTCATGAATGCAGTATACCCTGTTGCCCGCTCGGCATTATTGTAGAAGAAACTATCACCAGCTTCATGTGAGAAGGGAAGAGAAACGATATTTTGGAACCATTTACTCCGCAAGAATGTCCTCCCGCGAGTCCCGAAGTTCTTCCGTCTTCTTTTTTTGTGGGAGCTAATCTTCCGGGGCCTCCAGCCTCTTGTCCTTGTATGACATGCATGCAGCTGTCTCGCCCAGCAGCCAGCAGTATGGGCAGAAGGACGCCCCGTGAGATGGGAGATCGAATGTATTGATGGTACCTGTCGATCAGTTATCGATCAAAGGGAGATGTGATCAGTCAAGACGGGCAGCGCATGCAGGGGACGGTGGACGGTGGAAAGTTGTCTTTTTGCTCGTGGCGGAGGGGGCGAGCGTGACACGAAGGGCCAGACGGATCTGAGGGGGGTAAGACAGTAGCCCGAGGTACAAGGCCCAAGGCCCAGAGTCAGCACCGCAGCGTACAAAAGCCCGAGCAGACGGGGCGACGGCGGGGTGATCTGTGTCGCGCCTTGCAAAGCGGAGAAGAGGGTCAGAGAAGTGTTGACTGATGAGAACACTGTACCGAGCTGGGTCGGCGCCAATCTGCCCAGCGCCACAACCAAGAGCACAAGGGCGCGGGATGACCATTACTTGCGTGACCAAGTCGCAGCGAGAGAGCAGCCCAAGCTCGCAAGCACTGTGCAGGATACACAGGATGCACGTCCTGCCTTCATAACCATGCTCGGGCCTAGGACGAAAGCGAGACCTGAGCCTTTGCGAGCGTTACAAACCCCAGCCCCCAGGGGTCCCAAGGTATACCAGGCCGAATGTCGACGAGCCTCCCACTCGATCCCAGCTGCATAAGCCTGGTAGAAGTACAACTCGGCCCATAGACATACAATGGCTGAACCAACAGTCCGACATGTGGCCATACACGGATTTTAAAAGATTGGCAGAGATGAATGCTGCAGGAACAGGCGCAAGGGAAAAAATGGGGCTTTCGGAATTCGCGGGAGACCGAAGTGCCATTGCATTTTAAGGGCAGTCGTCAAGGGACATGCACAGAAGGGGGAGCTGCATGCATGGCAGGGGAAAGAGGGGGGGAGGGAGGGTACGGATACATACCTGGACGGGCGAAGAGGCAGGGCGGTCCCGAGTCCCGCCTGCTAGAGGGAGTCGGGAATGGAGGGGAGCTGCCCAGGGAAAGGGAAAATACGGTTCTTTTTAGCCTTCACAAGCCGGCTTGGACTCAGGATGCACTTGTCCAGCTCCTGGGATGTCTGGGATGCGCCGGGCAGCGATGCATGCAGCCTTTTCTCATCTCACCGTCCATCTCCTCTGCACCGACAGCGACAGCCAGGTCCAAGGAGTGTATCCCCCCGTCGTTTGCCTCGAGGAGGTATAAAGACGCAGCCGCGAACAGCAGCCCCCCTTCACATCCCCCACCACCCAGCCACAGCATGCCCAGACCCCGCCCACAACCAGCAGGCCTCGGTATCGAAGACGAGCTCTCCTTCGGCTCAGACGAGGACCTCATCGCAGACGTCGGCGAGATCAACCTCCCGCCTGCCCAGGACCCATCAGACGATCACACCATGAAGGAGCAGAGGGCGAGCGCGAACGGCGGCAGTCGCTTCAAGCTCTCGAGGGGGGACAAGAAGGAGGAGAGGAGTGGGTCCAAGGACAGGTATGCGAAGGAGAAGAAGGACAAGCGGAACTTGAGCAAGGCGGCGCTGGTGATGGACCCGCAATTGGAGTCGGTACTGGATCTTTCAAACTACAACGACGGCAGCACGAGCTCGGGGTCCAACCCCTCGCTGCCCAGCCTCACCAGCGCTAGCATGACCTCGGTGAATGCAAAGAAGAAGGGCGGATTCAGGAGTGCTCTGAGAAACTTGGGGATGAAGAAGGAGGCGGACCCCATCGCTGTCTTTGCGTCCAAGCAGAGGCTGGAAAAGATCAGGCAGGTGCATAGCAATGACAGTTTCTCCACCGGCGAGTACAGTAAGTCTCTGCGTAGCTGTGGGAGAAGCCTGCTCACTCGCAACAGCGCAAAGTATCGACCTCTCCCTCTCGACCTACTCTTCACGCCGCACCGATACCACCTTCTCCTCCCACTACCACTCGCCTACCAACCCGAATCCTTCCTCCACAAAGTCTATCGACGACGGGCACTCTAAACGGGGCTCTATTGCTTCCTTCCCAGCTCGTCCACCAGCACAGCCAAACACAGACACCCGCTCGAAAGAGTCGTATCCGCCCGTGACAAAGGCCATACTGAACAAGTTTCCAGAAGCACCGGATGCTGGGGTGCAGAATGGTCACGCAAAGTCGAGACCGACGTTGGACATCCCCTCTCCAGTCGACTCGGGGCTCTACTCTGTCCTCTTGCCGCCATACCCCACTTCTCTCCCTTCGCTCGAGAATGTTTCAATCCTCTCTGCGACAGTCATCCGACGCGAGGTCTCTTCCGTGCCCGAAAAGCAGAGAAGCACGAGCCTGAGTTCGCTGGCAGGTGGAATGGGCGGGGGTAACAACGGGGCGAAAAAGCTGGTATGGACGAGCAGGCAGATGGTCTTGACGAGTTTCAAAGTCGGCGGCAATACGCCTTCTGCCTCGCCAAAGGACGAGTACCCCTCCGAGGGCGACGCCCAAGTCAAGACCATCGCCAATCTCCACATCTTTTCCCTCCCCCTCAACACACCTTCATCAGCTGCATCGCCTCTCAGATCGCGCAACCGCTCTGACTCTTCATCTTCCCCACCCGGGTCTTCTCATCAGACAGAGCTGGAGAGGATGACGTTGAAGGGGGAGAGTACGGCTGGGTTCTGGGAAGATGCGGGGGGGGAGAGGAAGCATGTGTTGAGGATTGGGTTTGGGTATGAGGCGAGGAATAGGGATGGGGTGGAGTGGATTGTCGAGATGCGTAGCGCGTGAGTCCTCTTTCTTTCTTATATCGTGCGGCGGCTGATGAGAGACAGCGAGCAACTCCGCGAATGGATCAACCAGATCAAGTCCCTCTCGACAATCCTCCGCGCAGAACAAGAAGGCTATGGACATGCTATCAACCAGGCGTATGCTTCCGGCACTGTGCGTGGGGACGACCTCGCCCTCGCGCTGAGTCTGCAGCGCCGCACGCCGAGCGGGTCAGTGAAGAAGCAAGGGAGCCAAGGTGGGAGCGAGGGCAGCGGCGATGTATCTCCTGCGCCGGTGCTTGCCCCGGCCGTGGCGCCCGCGGTCGACGCGAGGATGAGCGGAGAAGCCGCCCGTGCAGAACCGCCCTTGCTGCCCATGGACTCTTTGCCCAGAGTATCCGCCCAGCTCAACAGGCTCGACTTGCGTTCTTCTACGCGTAGGTCATCCTTGACGTCTGGCTCGCCCTCGCCATCTGCTATGAAGTCACCAGGCGTCAACGGGAATGGGCTGCATGTACCCAACAAACACTTGCCACCCGCCGTCACTCCCCCAACGGCACCTCTCCCTTCTCTCCCGTCGGATATCCCTCCATCGACTTATCCTTCACTCTCCTCTCACTCCCGCTCGGATTCTATGAGCAGGAGATACCAGCCCCAAGAGCGGCCTAACCCGCTGCCGGCGACGGTGACGGAAGAAGAGAGAGAGAGGCCGTTGACGGAAGCGGAAAAGATCAGGCTGGAAGCGCAGAGTCATCCTTATCGCGCTACTTCGCCGCCCATTCCTCAGACGACAGAACCGGTGGCAGTTCGTCCGCCTACGCCGCCTGTGGTGAAAACGAAAGAAATTCCGGCAGATGCGCAGAGTGTGCTTAGTGTGCCGAGTGTCGCGAGTGGGGCTAGTACGGGTGCGAGTAGGAGAAGGGCGGGAAAGAGGGTTGCTGTGGATGTTAGTGAGTGTTACCTGTTTCTATCTCCTCTTTGATGTGGTGCTGACAGAGGATCAGTGGCCGAGTTCCAAGATGATTACGAGCCGGAGGAAGAGCAAGAACCTATCATTGAGGATCGTCCCAGAGCGATCAGGTTCGCTTAGAGGTGCTTCTCGGCGAGAGCATGAGTGTAATCGGTGCCATCTCTATCTCTATCTAACGACATTATGTCCTTATCTCTCTTTCCTCTACTGTTCTGACGGATTATCCGCTTTGTAGCTGTACATAGACTTTCTACATTTTATCTGCTTTGCTTCCATACGACTCTTACTGGGTTGTTTGATCGTTTTTGGGATACTCTTTTTCTTTACTTTTTTGTAGTTGCATACATGGGATGCCGGGGAAGACATACGTAGATGACTTTTGACGAATGCATCTGTACAAGAAGCTCAACATTTCCAAAACCTGGCCAACATTGCTACTTTATTCCACTTTATACATACCCTTACATTCCTGCCCCATTGCTGGCGGTATCATTGTGGTTGCTCCCCTTTCTCGATTCATAGATAGCAACAGTCCCGGCCCCGAGACCGGCTGTCACCACCAGGGTGATACCCCCAGCGACTACTGTCGACAACTTTGGACCTCGGCCCCTCTTGCGGCCATCGGCGGTCCTAGTGCCGCGCCGGCTGCCTTCCTCGATGTCGAGTGTTTCCATATTCGTTCTGGTACCATCATGCTCGGCGTTAGTGGAGGGAGTGGTATAGGAAGGGGGCTTGTCCTCTGGAAGATCTTCTGGTGACGAGAATGGGTTGACGTCGGTTGGCTGAGAAGGGTGGGTACTTCCCGGCCAGCCTGAACCACTCCTGAATCCACTCTCCTTCCCATCACCTCCATACCTAGACTGTGGTACCCTCGTGCCATATTCAAAGTCTCGAGAGGTATGGTGGTCTCCACCCAAGGGAGAGTAGTAGGCCACGACCGACTGCACGAGGAGGCTGTTGTCGAGCTCGTAGTTGGGATTGGTACCAGCCTGCCAAGGCTGAGAGGCAAGAGTGTCAGGCTGGGCAGGTTTGGAAGACATGATGAGGGGGGTTGGAGTTGGAGGTGAACGTCTGGCAGATGTCTTTTATACGTACAGCAGATGAAGCAGGTAGCATCTTCCATTGCCGAAGGAGCCTTACACGTCGGACGCGCTTCGCTGAAAGGTATTTCAATGAAAGGTATGAGGCCCAACATGGATTGGCACGGCAGCCTCCTTGATACAATGGCTTTCGGGCCTTCCGTTTCATTCGCTCCACAGTCGACGAGGGACAACCACGCCCGAGGACCAGAATGCCAAGCCTGACTATCCTCGGAAAGCCTTGAGCGGACATGAATACATACCCCTCTCGACAAAGTATCTGTGAAATCTTTACTAATTCTGTGACCCCGAATCACCATTGTCGTCTCCACCAGTGCTTTTATTCTTTATGCTCACCACCACAGCAGCTACCCCGAGGCTCGTGAGACCCAAAGCCCAGGCGGCGCTTTTGGCATACTTCCAGGAGTCTATTTGTCTGCTAGGCCTCGTATCATCCCGATATTGTTCGAATGCCTCTTCATCGTATTCGGGCTCGTAGGATCTGGTCTGGGACTCATAAGGGGGCGGGGCACCCAGCGGGAACCGGTCATATTGGGAAGGAGCTGTCTCGCTTGGGGCACGAGTGTCGACATCCTCGTACTTCCGAGGACGACTTGGGTCGTATGCTGCTTCCGGCTGAGATGGATGACCGTCTACGCCTTCCAAAGATCTGTCATACAGGCCAGACTCGAGGTCCGCGAGCTCATGCTTGGTATCCTCTTGCCAGTTGGACAGAGGGGAGTGAGAGGCTGCAGGAAGACTGGGGAAGGATGAACGTCGATGAGATGCGTTGATGTTAGAATCTGTGGAAGGTTGCTGAGAGGCCATGGTGCGAGAGAAACTGATGGTTTATTATCGTACGTCGTCACACTTGACGCGATGAGGGATTTTATACAAGCTTTCAGGCCTTTGGGCGGAGTCAGTCTAGGCACATTTGAATGAAAGGACATAATCGCCGAAAGGTTGTTGCATTTAAGTCTGAGAAGGCGGATTAGATTCGTATTCGTATATTATCCTCTGTCTTGGACTCGGAGCAGCTTACACATGACAACAGGTCTACGCTTAGCAAGTCTGTCATCAAGACGATCCGGCGTCTCTCGAAGCAGTTTCAACTCCATGATAGCGTTATGACGTGGGCATCGCGAGCCTGAGTGTCGCTAGACTTCTATAATCCACCAAAGAGAGTCTTATTCTGAGCTCTTTGAACAATGGTAGGTCGGCGTCGCTATACAAATCATGAGCACGTATACACGGAGGGATCGCAGCACCCACCGACATCGACTTGACACTTCTTGCGTCTATTTCGAGCTTCCAGCCTTTGCCTATCTGTTTGCCAGACTACCAGCCTTGAGCACGTCTAGCACTGCCTTTCCCCCGGCCCGCATAGCGTCCTTCCTCGAGAATTCGAGAGCCGCCCGTTCCTCGGCCCATTGCGTCAACTCCTGTACTGTCGGCGCTTGAGCCTCATTCTCCTTCTCCAGTGACTTGGGCAGAATAGGGAGGGACCCGAAGAGATGAGACTGAGATGATCCGAGCAGAGCTACTAAAAGCTGGGTATCTAGATTCTGATCAGCATTTGTACTATAGAGCACAATTTACGCACACTCGATATGTAGACTTTCCAAATTGCCGACGCCTTCTCCTTCAGCAAACACGCCTCTTTCGACCTTCTCAATCTCCTTCAAGAGCTCTTCCATCCTATCCAAGAGCCCCTCCGCGCTCGCCAGACCATGCAACATCTGCGCTCTGTCTCCCAGCACCTCTCCTGCCTGTCCTCCTGCGATTCCCGGCGCTTGCCCTCCATAATTTGAGAAAGTGAGAGCCGGTACGGACCCAGGTACAGATCCTAGATTGGGAGGGGTCAATCCCAGGCCAAAGTTTGGAGAGATGCCGATTGGTGCGAGGGACGCGTTGGGGGTGGCCCCGGGGGCAAGAGAGGATGCCGCTAGAGCGTTGGCGACATACTGGGACAGGGGAGAGGGGGCAAAAGCGGGGGAGGGGTGGGCGAGATGTGGGACGGGGAAGGGGGAGGACATGGGGGGGCTGGCTGGAAGTTGAGTGATGAAAGAGGAAATGGTCGCATGGCCGAGAGGTGCAGGTGGAGGCGGGAGAAAATGCAAGAATCGGCGAGGAATAATTCTATGACATGGTTGTTTGGTTCGCTCGTATGCCGCCAAGCCATTGTTTGGGCTTAGCAGTATACCAAACATCATGCGTTGGACTCTTTTTCCTCTCATTGCTATCGAGCAAGATCCGTCGCAGTCTCCCATGCTCCTGACAATAACTGGATGTGTCTGCAGTGTCCGAAAAGCCCAACATCTTCAGCGCACCTCATGGTGGTTCGTTCCAATGCTTGATAGAGACAGAGAACGGTAAACACGCTGAATATCTCAACTCTTCATGGATCACTGGATATGACTAAGCAGCCTCGCCAGACAATTGCATCTCTCTCGTCATCGCTCATCAGCAGGAATGCAAAACTTTCAACCTTTATTGATTGACTGAAGCAACAGTCCACTGGGCCGTAAAGCCCATGTCGTTCGCCTCAGCTCGAGCATGCTCAGCTACAGTATTCACGAAAGCCCTGTTACTCTCGGCTGCGCTCGATTTCTCATAGACATGGGCAGCCCATGGAGTCTCGATGAGCGCGTTCGCTTTGTTCTTGACATTCTCTCCAAAAATGGTGCTGCTCGCTCTACCATGACCAGTGGAGGTGTAGACCACGCTGGGCCTGAAGGAACTTCCATCAGCATTGGCGGTCGATGATACCGTGAAGGCGACACGGGAGTCACTTTCAGCGACTTGTGAGTTGGCGTCAACTTGAGGCATGTTCTCTGATTGTTCTGCTGGTTTGGTATGAGGAAGCAGCTGGAGGATGATGCAGTCCTTCTAAAGAGCTGCCAGCTTTTATAAGCTGACCAATTGACCATATGACTAGCGCGCGCAGTGTGCTCGCTTAGCGTCTTCCCATTCTTCGCCAGTATCGCAGGCTACCGAAGACCGTCCCTCTATTCAGTCGGAACTATGTGTAAGTGATACATCGAGTACTCGAGTACTGATCGCCAGAAAGTACCAAAGGAGGAGAGAACATCGGCCGAAAGACACACCCTGATCCTTCTTCTCGTCAATCAATATGAGCCCCGTTCTGCGTCGTTGGTTGAAACAGTTCAAGGCCAGGGGAAGAATTTGATGCCCCGTGAAGGGTGACAAGAGGCTCGAAGCATATGACTCAAGACTACCTCAAAGAGGACGGCCGAAGTGCATACGAGCAGAAAGGATAGAATTCTTTAGACGGCGCTTGTGATACCATTTCGGCCTAACGTACCCTACAGAATCGCATGGTCGCCATGTCGGACTGGGGGGAGGCTGCAGCGCCAAAGGATCCAGAATGCACGCATTGAGTCTATGTGGTATGCATCTTCTATCTATTCGTACACTGACACCGCCCCTCTCAGAAGGTATATGTAACACATGATATAAAGAACCGAGTATGTGAAAAGGTCTGAGTGGTGATGGGTCGTAAACTATTATACTATCCTAAACAAATCGAGGAGCTTCCCCATCCAAAGCTGCCTTGCCCCTCATAAACACCGCCACCGGGTATCCTCTCTCCTCCATCCGCCTGAGCACATCCTCTGCTCGCGCCTTGTCGCCACACGAGACCTCCGCACGGATCATTGCCTCGTACGTTGACGGTTCGCGGTACACGACACCGCTGCTGATGATAGCTTTTGTAGAAGGCTTGGCGTGGCCGGAGGATGTGAGGAGGGTGGGGTGGTTGTTGGGTGCGGCAACGCCAGAGACGCTGTCGCCCATGCTCTCAAATACTTCTCGTGCGCGCTCAATGGTGCCGGCCCTAGAGTAACCGTTGATGAGAACGTTGTAGACGTATGCCGTGGGTTGAACACCACATTCCACCATCTTGTTGTGCGCCTCTTCCAGCTCGACGATAGTCGCCTTCTGGCTGAGAACGTTTAACCACGCTTCCCACACAACAGACTCTTGGACATTGCCCTTTTGTTTTGATGGTATGCTCTCAAAGATCTCCTTTGCCTTTGACAGATCGTTGGCGTGCAAGCCGTAACCAGAGATGAGACTAGCCCAGTGGGTACCCTGCACGCGAACATTTCTGTCGCCAGACAGTCGGGAGAAGACGAGCTCCATGGAAGGAATGTCGGTGGGAGAAAGAGTAGCGTAGGCGTCGAGCAAGAGCTTGTAGGTGTGGGCAGAGGGAGGGACACGAGCTTGTTGTAGAGCAGAGTAGTAGTGGAGGACACGTTCGCGGTTGGGTTGTGTCTGGAGGTAGAATTGCATCATGGTGCTAGTGTGATTGTCAGCATGGCCTCCGGTATCGTTAAATCAGCGCTTACTTGTAAGGGGGCACACGAGGCCGGAAGTTGGGCTTGGAGACCATCTCCTCGAAGAGAGTCTCCGCACTTTGAGCATCGCCTACTCGGCAACAAGCATTCTGTCACAAGTCAGCCAAGCCCCAAGTCCGAACGCGATCGCACTCACAATGACAGCACCGTAGGTCACGCTGCTAGGCTTGATCCCCGAGTCCTTCATCCTTCCAAACAACTCCAAAGCACTTTCAGCCTTCCTCGCCCTACTCAGCTTGCTGATGATAGTGTTGTACAAGAACAGGTGAGGCTTGACGCCCATACTGAGCGCCTCCTCCCAAAGCTCCCTAGCGACGAGCGCGTCGTCGGTAGTGTCCTTGGAAGAAGCAATCATGGTGGCATAAGCATCGGAAGAGGGGGCGAAACCAGCCTGAACGATCTGAGCTCGGTGAAGACCAGCTTCCTCGAGGTGACCAAGGTGGCAGCACGCGATAAGCATGGCGTTTTCGATAGCGTACCAGCTCTGAGCCTGCGCCTCGGGACGGACAAGAGTGTGAAGGACAATCTGAGCAAGGTCATACAACTCGCGCACCTTGGGCTCGTCACTCGCTCGCGCGAGGTGATCCACCAAGTTCAACAAGGTCTCGAGACGAGGGACTTCCTGTTTCTGGAGACCGGTTCGGAGGATGGCATAGGCGTCGAGGGGAGTGATGGAAGGGTTACGTTGGGCAAAGCGGTCGATGTTGCGGGTCAAAGCTTCAGAGACGGTAAGAGACAGCATGGCAGAAGTCGCAGAAGTCGCGGTTTCAGAAACCTCGCCTGAAGAGAGCTCGCTCTCAGAGGCAGTTTCTTCCACAGCAGGCCGAACCATCTCCTTTGCAGCATCGCCAAAGACGGGACTGAGCATGCTCTCGGCCCTCTCCACACCGAACCTGAACGCCAGAATCTCGGCCAATCGGCCAACGGCAAAGTGCTGCTGGGCCTTTCGGAGGGAGCTGTTCTCTCCAGCGTCAATCTCCTGGATGTCGGTCATCAATTGCTCAAGGACAGTGTCGAGATCGCCCTGCTGGACCTTTTCGGTTGGGTAGACAGCGAGACTCTCAACGAGAGTGAATGCAGCCTGCGGGGTTAGACCGAACTCTTGGGCAGAGCCAGTCTTTCGCTGAACAGCGTAGGACTGTACGACACTCTCGGCGACAACGGGGGTCAACTTTTGCTGGAAACAGCTGAAAGCTTCGATAATTTTGATTCTGTCCCCGAACGGCATCTCGAGAGACGCCACCCGGTCGAGGGCAGAAGCATAAGAACGGAGGTATCGAGGAGAGAGATTGCCGGCCTTGTCGACGAGGCTAAAGATCTCAGGGATAGCAGTAAAGTGTCCGGCCTGCGCAAGAATCTCAATGTGCTTGATCAAAGAGTCGGGCTGGACCCTTGAAGAGAACACTGCCAATAAATCTCGGCTTCCCTTGAGGAAAGCGTCTCTCTCTTCAGGAGACGCAGCTTTAGCGGCTGCCGAAGTCAAGGCGGTGTGGCCTCGCCAGATACGGTACTGAACAGCAGACCTCGTAAAGTGCTCGACATCGGGGGACAAGTTCTTGATGCGAGTCATTACAGAAACAGCGTCCAGCACCCTGTCGTCAAAGATGAGCTCGTCGGCGAAGGCGGCGAGGTGGGAGACGTTCAGTCGGTGGAATTGCTCCTGCTGGACGAGGGGAGTGCTGCTGACCTTGTCGAGCCACTCGAGCGCGAGGTCGATCTGCCCGATTTTGGCAAGACCAACAACGAGCTCACCGCAGGTGTTGACGTTGGCAGCGGGAATAGCGCTCGTAGACTCGGATGCCTCGGCAGACTCGGCCATTCGGCTAAAGATCTCGAATGCCTTGCTCAAGTCGCCTACTTGCAAAAAGGCGACAAAGCCCTTTTCGTACGACTCGCGCTTGAGGCCCTCGATCCTGGCCGCAGACAATGAGCTTCCCCACTCCTCCGCGCTCGCCTGACCTGCGAGTGTTTCAAACTCTTCCCAGACCTGGCTCAACTCGGCCTCCTTTCCGGCTTTGGCGGCAGCCACGATAAGCTGCTTGTAGACCGAGACAAGCCCCTGCACCTTGTTCTCCCTCCCGAACTGCACAATCTGCTTCATACCCTCCAAATCCGGCGAGTCCTTCAGCGACATGGCAGCCAAGAGAGAGCCGTAGGTGGACACCGCAAAGTTGGCCTGACCGGTGAGGGCAGCAGCGCGGAAAAGCTTGAGAGCAGAGTTCAAGTTGCCTTCAGACATGTACGTTTTGACGTCAGCATCACGGCTGGCAGCCTCAGCGGTGTCCCATGGGTATCCGGAGGTTTCCTGGAGCCAAAGACCCCAACGTTTGGTCAATTCCCAAGCGGCCTTGTTTTCCAAAATCTCCTGTTCTCGCATAGACAAAGCTCTAATGACAGTCCCGTAAGTGGTGTTGTCGGGGATCAAGTCACGTTCCAAGAGCTCATTGTAGAGCTCAAGAATGGGGGCGATGCTTTTTCCGGGGCTGCGCAGTTGAAGGAGGGCAAAGAGACAAGTGTTGTAGCCTCGAAGGGTGAAGGATGATGGCAGAGGGTAGGCGCTGGCAAGCTCGGGTACACCAGGAGCAGCATCGGGAGAAAGAGGGGCGAGTTTTCGGGGGGATCGGTAGTGCTGTACCAGACGCTCAGTGGCCTTCGCGTCGTAGTTTGAGCGGGCCTGGTTGAGCGCATCGAGTATGCCCTGTTCGAGCAACTTGTCGCTCTCTGATTCAGGAGAGGTTGGGCTGGAGAGGTCGAATGGAGGCTGGTCGAGAGATGGGCGCTCAAGGGCAGCAGTAGAGTTTCGCCTGAGCCCACCGAGCTTTTGGCCGAAAATGTCTTCCTTCCCGGCAAGATCCATCAAAACTCGCTTGGATTGTCCCATAGTGCGGCTTTTTGGTGTTTGCACACGCGGTGTCATCCTCTCACGCTCCTCAATCGCCTCGACATCCTCAGCTTCCATAGCACGCGTACTCGTCGAAAGTGCGCGAAGGCTGATAGATCGATGCTGGGGAACGCCGACTTGTAAAAGCTCGAGAGGTGTCGAGGACCGCGAAAGCAGTTGGGGGGTAGAAGATCGCGAAAGAGGTTCTCTGCCAGAAGCATAGTTGGCAATTGACCGTCTCCTCTGCTTTTGGTCAATGTCGACGACGGTAAACTCCTTTCCACCCTTGCGGGCCTCGATTTCACGCCTAGCTCGGACTGATTCGTTCATGTAAACGACTCGGGGAGCTTTTGACAGGCGCTGGCGAAAGAGGAGGGGGGTGTTGGGGGAAGCATTCTCCTTCTTTTCATCGAAATTCGTGCTTGAGGAATCAGCAGAGGCAGTTTGAGGCAGCGACATGAATGCTCTAGCATGGCCCTGCTGCATGTCAGATGCAATTCACAAGCTAGAAAAAGATATACTGACAGTATATCCACCACCGGCATTCGCGCCACCACCATAGCCAGCTCGGCCGGCATGTCCAGAGGCACCACCAGTCTGCGCCGAGTGCTGTCCATGAATCACCAACGCATTGCTAGAGCCGTGCTGGGGGAGGTGATGTAATAGGGAAGGGTTGGAGGTGAAGTGGTCGGGGGAGGCGGGAGAGTGGGAAGAGGGGAGACGGATGAAGGGACGGAGATGGGCACTGGAGGGATGTCAGTTGGGCATCTCACTGGTGATTGCTACTCACGTGGCCTTTGTGAACATATTGCTACAGGATATGGGGGATTAGGGAGATGAGGTAGCCTCCAAGGCGGAGGGGATGGCCGTGGGGAATGGAGGGAGATGGACGATGAAAGAGGAGATGGTCGCAGTGTTCACTTGAACTTTTCTGCCGAGACGCATGCGAATATTGGTGGCCACCGCATGCCTCCACCTCCGTTTAAACCCGCCGGGACCAATTATTTTCACACTCACGGCTCGTCGGCGTTTGCCACGCTCATCCGTCCCGTCTATGCTGTCGACTCGACTCTTGGAGTGGTCACAGCTGGGCCTCGTCATCAGCCTCTCGTCCAGTGCTGGGTGGTCTTCTTTGCACCATTCACATCAACAGCAAGCATCATGCATCCATGAAGATGGTCCCTCGCAAAGTGTCCGTTATCACGTCAAAGGTATACTCTCCCCTCTAATACAATCTGATCTCGCCTCTATTCTAAGTTATTCTATCTTCTCGACATTACTCCCCAAGGGCATCGCGCATTCTAGTCTAGCTTTCAAAGAAGACTAGTTTTACAGCATACTGCCGACAAAGGCAGAGGCACCCATGATACCGGTGAGGAGCCAGCCGAGGGTAGAAGTGGCAGACACGCCAGAGCTCGAGCTCGAGCTGGAAGAAGAGGAGGAGGAAGAGGAGTTGGATGAGGAAGAGGAATTGGAGTAGACCTTCAAGTAGTTGATCTCAAACTATAACAATGTCAGCTTGGTTCTCGAGCCGCAAGAGAGAGAACTCACGTAGGCGGTGTCGTAGTTGGTAGAGTCGAGCACGTAGGTAGTGTAACAAGTGTCGGAGCCGCTCAAAGCAGAACAACCAGTGGTGGAGAGGATGCTGGACTGGCCAGCCCAGGAACCACACTGCATCTTCGTTAGCTTGCCATCCACCAAAAAATTCAAAGGGACATACAAGGGTGATGTCAAAGACAAGGGACTGGTCACCAAAGAACTCGGTAATGTCACAAGTGCTCGAGCCCCAATAAGCACTAGGGGTACCCAAGCTGCTGGTGTCGATGCTGTCGTTGGCATTGGAGACGGCATCGGGGATGGCAGATCGCTCAAAGAACCAGATGCTGATACCATCCTCAGACAACTCGGTAACGAACGCACCACCGCCGTTCGACGCGAAGCCAGAACCGTAAGAGTTGTAGTCAGTGTCGGTGACACCACAGCCAGAGTTGTCGTTGTCAGAGTAGTAGCACGAGGTGTCGTTGACGGTACCAGAGTACTGGGTGCTGGAAGCCTCGATGGAGCAACTGCGAGATTGTTAGCAGGGGAACTGCGAAGGCGCGTGCGGAATGACTGCGACTCACCCGTCCTCAGTGTGCAAGGCCATGCGGTTCGAGTAACCCATGTTCACGCCCTCAATGGTATCGATCTCTCCCTGCTCAGGCCAGGTGGCACCGGTACCGTAACTCCAGAACGCAGGCCAGACGGAACAACCATAAGGCAAGTGGACGGCGTCCAAAACCCATACCGAGCCAACAGGGTAGGTGTCCTCAGAGGTGAGCTTGATGGTGTTTCGCTTTTCGTTGTAGGCCACGGTAGAGGTGTTGTCGACCTTGATGATGGCAGTTCCCGCATCGGTAAGGTAGGTGAGCTCGGGTGAGCCAGTCGCGACACTCTTGTTGGCATACTATAGATGGTCAGAGCCGGTCATTTCCGGATTTCGATGGGCTCACGTAGGCATCACCGTTGGTTGTGTTGTCGTAATAGCCGTAATATTGCTATGAAGATGGTCAGCCCGGACAAGGTTGCAAGTAAGATACTCACCCATCGGTCAAAGAAGGTATCACCCTCATAACTTCGAACCAGAGGCGTGCTCGCCTGCACACCAGCACTGGCCAGAACCAGGCCAAAGACTGCAAAAGCGGTAGATCCAAGCATTATCGTCAATTCGAGGTCGAGTGAAGTCTCTGTTGCTTGAGATGTAAGGACTGTAAAAGAGAGATTGGATGTTGAATCGTGCGACAAATGCAACAACAACGAGAAAAGAGACTCTCGCGTACTTTTATATAGGCGTCGACGGCGACGTTAGCGCAGTCGTCAAATAAAGCCTGCGCGATGCCGCAACCTATTGATCCTTCATCTCGTTGCGCTTTGCGACGGCGATACCAGCGCTACTGGGGCAAGCGGTGCCCTTCTTCATATCATGAGGCCCGTGCGATGCAAGCGCAATGGGATCATGACATGTGTGGATGGTAAGAGAGGTGCGTAGGCACTGCTTTGTTGTGCATAATTTTCGCGCAGAAGGGATGAAGCGCGACGCGCAGCGAGAAATCGGATAATCCTAGCTGCGATTTGCAGGGTCATTTGTTTACGCGTGATGTCATGGGGTGGCGAGGTCGGGGCTCGCCGCCATGGCAACGCGAAGATGGAAGGTGGGTTTGTTGTTGACTGTTGCTCGACTGGATGTCACTTGACGACTACTCGGGGTAGAGCGAACAGGGGGAACTGTACAGTGCATGATCGTCTGATACTTGGGCGTGGCGTAGACAAGAGAGAAGGTGAGGTATAGTCCATCTCGATGGTCGTGGAGAGTTGTGACGGCTTGCTGTTCCGTCAGCCCACCGGTTGGTTCTACGCCTCGAAGCTTGGTGTGCTATACGAGTGGTCTTTGCAAGCAGACGAGCAAGCGTGTGGATGATTGTCGCGAGAACCTGCTGAGAATACCATGAAATGTTCAAAAGATCACTTGGAAAGAGATCGAATACGAACGCACATCGGATGGAACGCCGAGTCAGGAGGACCAAACACACACCATACGTAACCCAAATAACGCCGCGCTCAGACCCTTCTTGTGGCGAGCATTGTGCATTCAATTCGATGATTCGTTCCATGATTTGCTTACATTAGGGTTACGATGCTAATATGTATATACTCTAGACGATCATCCATCTAGATGTTTCCTGAAAAGGCGAGTGAAAAAAGGTGTGTACTATAATCTATGACATTTCAAAAGAATTCTATATGGCCATGCGGGAAGGTGTGAGACGGCTGAGGGTTGCGGGTGATATAGGAGAAAGGGGCGCTTGGGGGGCACCGTTGGCGAAAGCAAGAGGAGATCCGGGAGAGTTGGGCGCAGTGGAAGCACTCTGCTTTTCAACGCTAGCCTTCTCGTCTGGTCTATCGTCAGTACTGCACCAACCACCAAAGACGCAAAGACTCACTGGAAAAGTGGTGGAAAGCATTCCTGCTCAACTCATCTTCGTGCTCATGCTCATTCTCATGCTCATGCTCCTCCTGCATAGCCCTCTGCTTCTCCTCATACATGATCCTCAACTCTCTGACCCTCTGCATTCTGTCCTTCTCGGCGTCGTAGGCGTGATGCCTTTTCAGAACGACCCTTTCAAACCACGAAAGATGTCGGGGATGCACGGCGATACCGTGGTACTCGTGAGGTCGGCCATCGCGGACATACGCCCAATAGCGGTCTTGTTCGCGTAGATCTAGACCGGTAGTGTCGGGAATGAATAGAAGGGTGACAAGAGCCCCGGCGAAACCGAAGGGGAAAACGATCCAGAATCGCTCATGGGTGCCGACATAGTTGTAAATGACGGCGGGGAGGAGGGCACCAATCTTGCCGCTAGCAGCTGACAGACCATGCGCGGTGGCTCGAACGGATACAGGGAACACCTCGGCCGCTAGATGATCGTCAGCTATGCCCATTCGCTAGCCAATGAAGGACATACCGAGGATGAACGTCGTCGAGTTGGGCCCAAACTGCAACCGTCGTCAGCGAATGAAACCCCTGATGGGACAAGCCAACTGTACTCACCTGCTGGAAGAAACTGGAGAGGTAGTAGATGATTTGGAAACCCTTGATGTGCTCGGGAGAAGAGAGTTGGGTGTACCAGACTGACGCCGCGTTAGCTAAAGACTTTGACAATCTCGGGAAAGACTCACTGGCAGCAATCATAAAGAGCACAGCATCACCCAGGAACCCGATAATCTGCATCCTTTTCCTTCCGTAGAACTTGTGGTCCATCAAAAAGGCGGCCATGTAGTACCCAACCAAGCTGACACCAATGTTGACCATGTTCCAGTTCCAAGTGACAATCACATTGCCCGAGGCACTGGGACTGATGATCTCGATGAATGTAGAAGCAAAAAGCTTGTTGCCGTAAAACAAGAAATCGTTAAAGAGCCAACCGAGGGTGGTACCCACAAGTCGGCCGGCAAAGTGGGTGCTGACGAGCTTGAGGGAGGTAAGGTCGTAACCAGACTGGTTCACTCGCATGTTCTTCTTTGATCGGGCAAGGGCAGAAGAGCTGTAAGTCTTCTTGTAGTATCGGAAGTAGGCGAGCCAGAGGGTCATGACAGCCATGATACCGAAGGAGACTCGGAAGACGTATTGGGCAGAGACCTCGGAGTAAGGAGGGTTGCCGGAACCGTGATGGAACATGAGGAGGAGGAGGATGAGGACGGCTTGGTTGAAGAGCTGACCCCAACCTTGCATGAGGAAAGCAAGAGCGACGTTACGTCCTCGGTGGAGCTTGTCGTCTCGCTGACCGCCGGCGACCTGTTTTGACTCCATGGCGGTGGTAGAGGTCATAGGGTATTCTCCACCAACACCGATACCGTAGAAGAATTGCGCAAAACCGTAACAAATGACCCAGCCCTCGAGGGTGACACCCCAGGAGGAGGTAAGCATGACCAGACCGACTGCAAAACTGTCAGGCATAATTCTTTTGGAATGAGGCAAGACTCACGAGTCATGACCAAGGCATCTTGGACAAGACCAAATCGACGACCAATCCAGTCTCCTTCAAAACCGACCAAGACCTGACCCAAGATGATACCGATGATTTGCAGATAGTCGACCTATTTTCAAATCAGCTCCGCAGAGTGATGCAAAGTGCAAGGCACTTACCGCAGCGATCCAGTTGGAACTGCAGACCTCGTGAGTCTTCCAACAGGTAGGCCAGACGGCCTTGTAAAGGGCAGACAAATTGCCGATAGAGAACAAAGCGTAACCTTCAGTGAAAAGACCGAAACCGCCCATGACATAGCGGCTGAAGTAGGCGCTCATGGGACTGAGAGGATCCTTCTTGAACATGCCCCAGATATGCTTGAGTTCTCTAGCAACCTCGTCGTTGTTCTGCTTGTTGACCCACTTTATGCGCTGGCTGAACGGCAGATCCGCCCAATAGGTACCATTCGTATACGAGTCATCCGGACAGAGATCGTGATACAGCGGATGCGACTCGTTAAACTCTCGGTTGTTGACCTTACCGTCGTGGTGCTGCTTCTCCTGTTCGCTCAGGGAGAGCTTGGGCGGGGGAAGAGTACCGTCGTCGGAAGATCCTGGGGAGGGATTTGTGGGGGGCATAGCGGGGGTGTTGGTGAGGGAGATGATGGTCGGGGACGGTGCGTCCCCGGGAGCGATCATAGGGGTCTGGTCATTGTCACCCCGGAGGATGAATGAGAGAGCCATGGTGCTTGGGTTCTAGCGAGGAGAGTGCTGAGGTATGCGGAGATGGAGGATGGGGGACACTTTTTGTGGACTAGCTTTTGTAGAGCTGGCTGCGTCACCCGAGGGACCCGTGGCGGGGCAGCTGTTGGGGTGGTGCAAGGGGCGAACGTGCTCTTTGTAAGGGTGTTGCGTCAGTGCCGGGTGGTGGGTGGGCCTCTTTCTGGTGATGGTGATGGTGATGGGTGGTCGTGTGAGCACTGACAATGTAAATATATACTGTTGCATCACCGATCCTCCTTTTCGAACGTTTGGAGCGACTGCCACGAACGTGGGTCGCTTGTCGAATCAGGAATCCTCAAAATTTAGCCGCGTCAGGGCCAGGCACCAGCGCGTGGAGATAGAAGGAGCGGAGGCACCCGCCGCCTTGGCACGGGATCAAATCCACTCACGCGAGTGTATATGCCACTTGGACTCATCTTGGACTGGACATAGTACATGTCGTTTTGACATCACACTCTCGAGGCTCATACGAGAATGACAAAGACCCCAATACATGCCAATATGAGCGACCCCCTCAAGCGCCGGCAGCATCAGAGTCCTGATTACGATAATCGATAGCTTTGATGAGCGTATAGAGCCTATCGCCAATGTCAGCAAACCCCTTGTATACTCTTCACAATATTTACGTGGTAATAGTCGGCACTGTTACCCCAAGCCTGATACCCTCTCGTACAGGCACACCCAAAATCACTTCCACCTCGGAAGGCCGCCCCGCCTTGACATCCGCCATCATACTCGACGGCAGCCCGGGATACTCTACATCCGTGCATGTCTTGATGAGTTCCTCCACTTTACCTTCGGGTACCGTGAGTCCCTTGGCTTTGGCGACGGCGGCCACTTCGCTCATGATGGAGTAGCACAAGGGCAGGGCAAGGTCGGAGGAAGCGAAGAAGGGGCCGGTTTTGAGGAGCGTGGCGGCGGTGAGGGAGTTCCTGCACAAGTGTGAGCTCATGTGGGATAGGAGAGGGGGTACTTGCCAGCAGCAGTTCCAGATGACTTTGACCCATCTCTCGCTTTGGATGTCTTCAGTGACCGTACAGTCTCCCTTACCCGCTGCGAGCCAGTCGACGAGCGTCTTCAGCTTTTCATCTTCCTCCGCCTTGTCGCCTCCTTTCCTATAGTCTACACCAATTGTCAGGCCTTCGCGATTGAATTGCTCGACACCGCTATTATCTGGCAGTGTCTTGCCGCCAGTCCAGACGACGGCAGAAATGATGGTGTTGTCTGGGAAAGATTCGTGGAGAGGGGCTTCGGCGCCGACACCGTTTTGGAGCAGCACGACGGAGGTGGAAGGATTCAAGATGGGGCGGAGGTGGTCCGAGAGAGAGGGGCTGGCATCGAGAAGGGCCTTGTTGGCACACAGAACTATGAGAGTCAGTCGTACCTCTGGCGTAATTACGGATGCTCACTGTAGGAGAACTCGGCACCGCTGGCAGCAGCTTCGTCGGTGCTTTTCCACACTGCGCCACGTTAGTCATGATCAAATGGAGTGGACAAGACTCACCACCTGCAAATTTCATCCCCGTATGATTCCCAAACTTGGGACTGACAATAGTAAAGCCATTCTCCTTGACCTTTTGATAATTGCTCCTCGCGACGACGTGAACGTTGCAGCGCTGTGAGAGCTGGAGGATGGAAGCGTAGATACCGCCAATACCACCGAGGCCAAACAAAAGGACATTAGGCTTGGAAGACATGATGAGATGAGATCACAGCCACAAGAACAATGTAGGGAAGGGTATAAATGTGGTTCGGGAGGCAGCCGGTAAATCACGGCACAAACCCACGTGAACTTGTCCTTCGGCCTCCCGGAGGTCCCGGACCGTGAGATGCATATTGTGCTCTGAAATCGCGGCGTTTTGATGCGTCGAGAGGGATTGTATTAATATGTGCATGCTTGGGGACTGGTTTTGGAGTACATCCCGCCTTGAACATGATCCGAGCGAGCATCTCTTTGCTGGGTAAAGGCGCTGGACGGCGATTTGGCGGGGGTCAGCCGCTCGCGCGCATCTCCAGGCAGACATTGTCGACCATTGCAGAGCCCGCGCCAAAGAACAATGCCAGATGGCTCATGGGTAGTGCTGTACGCCGACTAGCAACCTTGTGACCATACACTGATACACCTATCGTAGGCAGTGACATTTGCAGTCGCCTGCACTTACACCATCCTCCGTCCCGTCCATCTCAAAGACGAAACCAGCCATCTACCTGACCCTTCAGCCCCCACAGATCAAGCCTCTGGAAGGGGCCTGATACCGTACAGCGAAGTCAACAAGCACAACCAGCCGGATGATTGCTGGGTCGTCATCGCTGGAAAGGTGTATGATCTGACAGAAGTGCGTCTTGCTCTTGCCGCATTGAGACAGAGCTGACTGGTTTGCAGTTTGCAGAAAACCATCCAGGGGGTATGGCGCCCATCCACAGAGTGGCCGGTCGAGATGCGACTGCCATCTTTGCGCCCATACATCCGCCTGGTACTATCGAGAATGGTCTGCCTCCCGAGAACCTCGTGGGGACTGTAGATCCAGCTACGCTGCCGAAAGTGGTGGATAAGAAGAAGGAAGATGGCGAGGAGAGGCGAGTAGACTTGGCCGAGATTATAGGTCTACCAGACTTTGACGTGAGCGTTGGTCTTCCATGGATTAAGTACTGGGGACTGATGTGTAGTAGGCTGCGGCGAAAGCCAACCTTACGAGCAAAGCCTGGGCATACATGTCTTCTGGAGCCACAGACCAATATAGTATGCCCCCTGCCTATCGTGAGACTACAGCATACTAACCATGACGCAGCACTGGATCTGAACCGCAAAGCCTTCAACTCCATCCTCTTCCGCCCCCGCATCATGGTCGACGTCGAATATGCCGACACCCGTACCGAAATGCTCGGCCAAGAGACCTCTCTCCCCATCTTCATCTCTCCCGCCGGCATGGCCAAGCTCGCCCATCCTTCTGGCGAATGCCTCCTCGCTTCCGCAGCTGGCAAGAGTAACATCATCCAGATGATCTCCACCAATGCATCTGCGCCTTTGTCCGATATCATCTCGTCTGCCACGTCGCCGGATCAGCCGTTCTTCATGCAGCTTTACGTCGATCGGAATAGGGCCAAAGCGGAGGCACTGTTGGAAAAGATCGATGGCTTGGGGCTGAAGGCGATCTTTGTGACTGTTGATGCTGCTGCTCCAGGCAAGCGGGAAGCGGACGAGCGTAGTCGTGCCGAGGTCGAAGTCGCCTCTGGTATTTCTGGTGGAAAGATCGGACAAGACACCAAAGGTGGTGGGATCGGTAGGAGCGTGGGTGGGTTTATCGATCCGAAGCTGAGCTGGAAGGATCTCGAGTGGTTGAGGAGTCATACAAAAGTGCCGATTGGGCTGAAGGGGGTGCAGACGGTGGAGGATGCGATCAAGGCGGCGGAGATGGGGGTGGATGCGATCTATCTGTCCAATCACGGGTGAGTCACGGTTCTTTGGGATAGCCACTGACAGTGTGCAGCGGCCGGGCTCTCGACGGATCACCTCCAGCCATGTACACCCTCCTCGAAATCAACAAGTCATGTCCCGACCTCCTCAAAAAGTGTGAGATCTATGTCGACGGCGGCTGTCGGAGGGGCACAGATGTCGTGAAAGCTTTGTGTTTGGGAGCCAAGGGTGTCGGGATGGGCAGGCCGTTCTTGTACTCTTTAACGTATGGCGAAGAGGGGGTGATGCACGCCATTGAGAGTGAGTTCTGGATTTGAAGGAGACAAAGCTGATGGGTACAGTCATGAGGGACGAAATTGAGACGACCATGAGGTTGTTGGGAGTTACCCGCCTGGATCAGCTCGGTCCGCATCTGGTAAGTTGAGTATCTATAGTTCAGCACACACACTGACCCTCTCAGCTCAACACCCGAGCACTGGATCCCCTGGTCTTGGAGCAGCCCGTGTGGGGACCCAACGAGAAACCTCCGGCATAACCATCTTATGCATCTTTCTTCTAAAGTCTCTATCTCTCTCCCTCCCACTTAGTACTTGAAGACGTTGTCGGAAGTGTAACCCAACTCCTTGAGCGCACCAGACAATTCACCCTGCTTCATACCGTCCTTGGGTCCAGAGATGGCCTTCATCTGGCCGGGAGGACCACAGACGAAAGCACGGACCTTGTCACCCTCGGTCCTGGGGAAGACCTTCTTGATGAGGTCGGGGGTGATGAAGCCGGTCTCGCCCTTCCAGCCCCAAGGAGCCTTGTCGACGACGTACTTGATTTCGAGTCGGTCGGGGTGGGCCTTGGCGAGGGCGTCCCATTCCTTCCTCAACACTGCGATGAATCAGCCTTGACCCTTTTAGATGAAATCAAACGCACAGATGTCAGCCTCAGAGACGTTGGAGTAGATCAAAGTCCACTTGGTCTTGTCCTCGGGGAGAGACAAGGAGTGGGTGATCAACTGCCACATGGGAGTGATACCGGAACCACCGGCGATACAGAGACCCTTGTCGAAACCATTGGGCTGGTACTTGAACTTTTGGAGGGGACCCTTGAAGAGGACCTGGGCACCGGGCTGTTGACCGGCGAGCCAGTGGGAGAACTTGCCGTCCTGGTACTCCTTGATCATAACCTCGATGGAGCCCTTCTGGTCGGGAGGAGAGACGGGGGTGTAAGGCCTGCAGACGATGAGCGTCTGTCTTCGGAAAAGTCAAAATACCTACCTGATGATGGGCTTGCCCTTGTCGTCCTTGAGCTCAAAGTCGCCCTCGGGAGACCTCATGAGCACAACGCTGGCAACCTCACCACCGGAAGTCTTGTCCTTGCCCTCCTCACCAAAGCTAAAGTGGTAGATGTTGGTGTTGTGGTTGTACTTTTCAACCTTGGTGAGGGTGAAAGGAACGAAAGAGTCCCTGATCATCGCATGAGTCGGGGCTTTTAATTGGGAAGGCAGATACGTACTTGACGAGGGCAGCGATGGAAGGAGCAGCTCGCTCGGCGGCGTCCTTCTGGGCCTCGGCGGACTTGACACCCTCGCTGACCTTGCTCTCAAGCTTGTTCTTAGCGTCTGCACCAATGTCAGCTGGGGCTATAATGTGATCTTCAGACATACCAGGGTTGGACTGGAGGTAGGCATAGGCGCCGATACCAGCCTGTCGGTCGAATCGTCAGCAATGTCACAATCTGTGAACGCTTAGTAAGCTCACAGCACCGGCAGCACCAGCAATAAGACCCCAGTCTGCGAGATCCGGTCAGTATGAGCTTGTATATAGTAGGAAGATACTCACTAGCACCGCCAGCGGGGGCACCGGAGGCATAGCCTCGGGCGTGGGTGACAGTCCTGGACTGGAAGAGGTGAGCTGGGTGTCTGTGGGCGAGGGCAGAGGACGTACGACGGCAGAGGGGCGGGCGAGCCTGGCGGAGGAGAAGAGACGAGCAGCAGCCATTTTGTATGATTGGGATGAACAAGAACAAGAATCCAGAGACGACTTGGAGACGACTGCCGACGCACGCATGACGTCCAACCACTTTTCACATTTCACATCATCCCAGATCAGGACACCCGCCTACAAATCATCCCTATATATACATCGTACAACGGTCGTGGCGTGATTCTAATGCTACTATATACTGGTACATATGCTATGCTGCAGTCCGTGATGGTCATCATGCTTTCCCTATCGACAGTCGTGCTTGCAATGCTGTGATTCCTCCGATACCGGTGTCTGGCGGCCCATACCCTCCAGGCAAGGCATTTCGGCAAACCTATAGCTCAGAGTCAGACCATCGAAGTACTGGAGGTTGTCAATACTTACAGGACAATCCCCTTCAACAACCCAACCTTTGCTCCCCAGATTCCAGAGCCCCGCAAGGACCTCCCTCGGCTCCAGATGCATGTCGTCGCCCCCGCCGTCTTCCATCACACAGGCCAACGCCGCTTCCCTATCCCCGGCACTCAATCCTTGCTCTCTGAGCGTGTCATCATAGGACATTTTCTTGTACGCCATGAAAGTTTCTTTGAGCCCGTCGGGAGTCCAGTGAGCGGGTTGCGGCTCTTTTGGAGTGGTGTGGGCACGTCCGCCACGAGCTGCACCTCCTCGACCTCGGCCACGGCCACGACCTCGGCGGGGAGCGGATATTCCTCGAGCAGCCCATGGGTCAGGCTGGGGGTTGGGGTTTCGCCGTATAGCTGCGGTAAGGGCAGAGTGAAGACAGCCTGCACAAAGGATATGGCCACTGCAAAGATGGTTAGACGAGTACAAGGAACGATGAATGAAATATGTACCATGGTGTCAGGATGGCAGGACTAGGAGCGTTGAAGCAGATCGGACAAGCTACAACAGGTCAGCAGGGTTATCAGTGAACCCAGCGACGACTTACCATAGCCAGTCGCGAGTGCATTGTCCTCATCGATTCCTGGTTCTTCCACCTCGACTAACTCCCGCGTCTTTATATCCATCAACACACTGTCCTCAGTCTTTTCGACCGCCACCACGCCGTCCTCCTCGTCGGAAGAGATCTCGATAGCAACTGCCGGAGGAGCCCGGCCTTTTCCCTTCTCTTTGGTAGTGAAACGGCGAGTGTAGGTAGAGTCTGGAGATGGCGAGCTCCGCTGCGCATTCGGAGTGGTGGATGAGGAAGAGTCAAGGCTCCCTCTGCCATTGACAACACCCGCATGGGCATTCCTAGATGCCCGTCTCGCGGCATTCACCGACCGTCCTCTGCCCCGACCGGTTTCAGGCGAGATAGCGATGATACTCCCCTGGCTACTATCTTCCTCCTCATCGCTATCTGAGATTTGTATCGGCGTGTTGGAAGCGCCTCTGGGTTGCGTCGCCGCCGCTACCGAGCGTGTGACAGCAGTCCGTCGGGTGGACCGTTGTGAAGGCATCTGGCTGACTTCTCGACTCCCCGTTCTCGTTCTCTTTCGGCTTCCGCTCGATTTTGGCGCTGTGGCACTGCTTCCGCCGCTAGAAGAGCTACCGACACTGCCACGGGAGCCGTCCCTCAACCTGCGTCGGGGGAGGATAGGGATATCGGCGATGGTGGGCCTGGGGCGGAGGGAGGCGTGTGGTGATGGCGGGCTCGGGGGCGGTTCCGGGGGCATTTGCTCGGGAGGGCGATATGGGAGATAGAGAGACTGGGAATGATACAGATATTAATGCAGAAACTGAACAACCGATAGTCATCCATTTCATGAACGCATTGGCCCCCTGCGCGCCTTTCTCTGATCTAAATACAGATAGGCGCGCGTGAAAACCCTCGGGACTTCTCCTCGTCATATCCAGCCCTTTTTTCGGTCTTGTTCTTTCTCTCTTCATCACACTCATACTATCTCAACATGCCTAAGGTAAGCCTCAATTGTTGGTATTCGGTAATGGCATAATGCTGACGGAAACTCGCAGAACAAGGGAAAGGTTTGTTGCTCTTCGCCGTAACGACGCGTTGGAATAAAGTGTTCTGGACAAAACGCTGACTGATTTTTGATTATCATTCAACTCTTATCCACTTTCACTCGATTACCCTCCATCATCCGACCGTCTCAATTATGGAATCATCTCAATATCAACCACTTCATGCTTTGTCGACACCAACCCGATTTTTTCGATATCTTACGCCACCCACCTCGTGTCTTTGCAAATATGATCACTTTTCCTATCCAACTGCAACTCGACTCAACAGGGCGGCAAAAACAACCGACGAGGAAAGAAGGACGACGGTGAAAACAAGCGAGAGTTGATCTTCAAGGAGGATGGCCAGGGTGCGTTCAATCTCCGTTCATCCTTGCTTTGTCCGAGAGGCGTATTGGCCCTCAGACCAGTTTGGACGATCTTCTAGAGGCTAGGGGCTCACGTCGACACAGAGTACGCACAGGTCGTAAAGATGCTCGGTAACGGAAGATTAGACGCCAAGTGCCAGGACGGTGAGAACCGACTTGCCCAGATCCGAGGACAAATGAGGAAGAAGGTGGGTTACTCCTTTCTGTGGCTGAGTCTTGAGCTGACCCATGTGTCCAGGTCTGGATCGTTGTCGGTGACATCGTTCTCATCTCTCTCCGAGAGTTCCAGGACGGGCGTGCCGATGTCATCCACCGATATACTCCCGACGAGGCCCGTAACCTCAAGACCTACGGTGAATTGAAGGACTTCCAGTTGGTGGAGAACCAGGAAGCTGGTGGCGAGAGCGACGAGGAGGGTGGTATTGAATTCGAGGAGGCTGATATTGATGACATCTGTGAGTTTTGTTGGTTTGTGCAAGTGGTGGAGACTAATGAGTGCGATGTAGAGTCTGTCGGGTGTATATATATCTCAAAATGCATTTTGCAGCGATGCCCCAACATTCCACGAGAAAAAGCCTGCATTTGTTGGACTGAATTACTAATGAAAATCATGGGCCCAGCACAAATCAATCATCAGAGACTGTAGATAAAGTCTGGATTCTGTCTATCGGTCAAGTCCTGGGCAAGTCAGCGCGTATCCACAATAGATGACTGGACACTCACCTCGAAAGCCCGGGCATTTTCCAGGTAACATTCTCCCTCTGCGGCCTTGCGAGCCTCGATACCCTGAATATTTTTCTTGTTGCGGCGAGCCAAGAGCATACGGGTAAGAAGAGCAGTAATGATGAAACCGCCATCTATCCCACGTTAGACGATCCCAGCGCGGGTAAGTGATCAAAACTCACAAAGTGCGAGGTGAATGTAGAGTGCGTTGAAGTAACGAGGACTCCATTTCGATTGGAAAATTTGCGTCGAGATTGCATTCCCTCCAGCCCAACCAATGACTTGGACCTCTGTCAGCAATCGTCATGGGTTTCCAGCGGCTTACTCACATGTAACGGCGTAGGTAATACTCTTCTTTGTTTGACCCGCAGAGTTTCTGGCCAAGAGCATCAAAGTTGCGGGATAGCACTGTGTAGCATGTCAGATGCTTTTGAACTCAAGGGCTATTGACTTACAGCTCCGAAGAATTGCATCACGTAGAAGGCGACCACCAAGCCACCCTTCGTCTTGCTCGTCGGCGCGACAGTGAGTAGGACTACGGTGCCGACAATGTTGGGGATGGTGAAAGCGATCATGGTGTAGCATGTCTGGTCGGTCTTTCGGATGCAGAAGCTGGACCTCGTGAGCTGAGATACCAGGCTTGTGTGGGTTGCGCTTACCCCATGGTCAAGAAAGTGATCACGCCCATAGCGCCGATAGGAATACTCAGCAATTGAGCATCCAAGTTTGAGAAACCAAAGGCCTTAGTGATGAGCAGACCTGAAAAGGTGCTGATGCCCCCGACTACCAGAGTGTTGAACACGCAAAGAGCGAAGAGACACAAAGTGAAGGGGTCGGTAAACGCTTCGCGCGCTTGAGCCGTGTTCCAATGTTTTTGCTTGAGACCTTGGTTGTTGGCACGGACGCGCTCGACGAAGAGGATCTTTTCTTCTTCAGTCGCCCAACGTGCTTTGGTAGGAGAGCTGGGCAAGAAAAGGAAGACGATGACTGGGGAAGTGGAGTCAGCTAGAGCTCGGCGAGTCGGCGGAAGAGGGCTTACTGGAGCAGACAAAGCTGATGAGAGCGACTGTGATGTGAAGCCACTGCCAGCTATGGATCTTTCCATTCTGAATATGGTAGAATCCGTACTGATGACACACTGAGTCAGACGGGATTCGTGCGACAGCGCGAGTATAAACTTACAGCGAAAAGAGCACTGATTCCGGTCGCAGTGCCGAGCATAGCTTGCCAAATACTCGTGACGAAGGGCTGTTCTTCGATTCGATACCATTGTACCATGACTGACGTTAATTAGCAACAGAACCTCTTAGTACATCCAACACTCACGAGCCAACATGCAAGGGCCGACGACGGATTCGGTAAAGCCCAAAAGGAACCGAACTCCGAATACGGCATGAATGTTGAAAGAGAATCCCAAACCGATGATCAACTTTGCACAATTGGCGCCTCAGCTTTGACTCGAGGCTCGAGAGACACTCTGTGCTTACGGCACTCCAGATGAAGATACCTCCAGAGAGAATGTACCTGAGAGACAGTCGGCGGACCAGTTGGTTTGCCTGAGAGTTGTCAGCGAGGAAGATGGATCGCGACAGGAACGTTACTCACAACGGGCTCTCCGATAATAATACCACACCAGAGCAGCGTCGTAGTCAAACTGAAATCCTGTCCCTTGGCTCCAACGTCTTCGAGCCACCCCATGATGCTGCCAAAGTGATGTCAGCCGGGCGAATCCTGCTGACTGCCGTCGTTGTCACTTACGAGGACGAGGTCAGTGTGCCTTTGTCCAAAGCCTGGCAGAGGTACCCGAGACATAAGATGGGGAGGATTCTGCTCAAACAGACAGTGCAATTGTCAGTGGACTGGATCAACATCGATCGCAGAGCGACGGAATGGTTGAGACAACATACCTTCGGTGGATCTTTCTCCTCAATCTGATATTATTGGCGTCGGAGATGAGAACTGTCGGGTCTACATAACCAGCAGCCTCTTGATCCTTGACATTCTTCAAGCCAGCAAGGTCGTTTTGACGAATGTCCAGGTGTTCGATATGGGCCTGTTCTGTCTTGACGTCTACGTCGTCTTTGACAAGGCTGTCTGAAGGTGCGAGAGCGGCCATGTCACTTTATAGGCTTGCGGTAGGAGTAGAAAGACCTAGATACCGAAGCTGGTATGTGACAACGGAAATGATGTTCAGTTGCGGTCAGGAAGGGATGGGAGACGAAAGACAAGCCATCGGATAATGAGAGATATATATCATCTGCGAAGCGGCAAAAGAAGGTGGACAGCTATCAGCAGATAGCGAGTGGAAGAGCATGATAATTCCGGATATCCTTGACAAACATCGAGTTGTAGCGAGCCGTATATCCCGCGATATCCGGGCCGCCAGTCAGCTGATGCCGTCAGTCACCATCATTAGCGGGTAGTTCCCAGCAGCATGACTTTATGTTTAGTTTCTTTTACATCCATTTCCAGCCATGTCCTCTAGTCTGTCATTCTACTCTACGCCCCCCGCTGCTGCTGCACCAACGACAAGTAAGGTTATTCGCAAAAGGTCAAGCAAAGCCTGTGAGCAATGTCGAACGCTCCGCATCAAGTGTGGGGGAAATGTACCTTGTGCTCCTTGTGTTGCTTCGGGATTACCAGATCAATGTATAATCCGTCTGAAAGCTAGACCCAGGAGGTGAGCGAGGACAACGACCGCCGCTCGCGGTGGTTTCTTGACTGATATTGATTTAGGCAAAGCAATGTCAAATCAGCCCGGTCGATCTTAGAGCAGGAGCCCCTGATGGCCAGCCCTATCGCAGAGTTCAGCAGTAGTGGGACTGGAGGCGATGAAAGGTCGTCAAGACCATCAGCGGTACCGGGTCCATCAAATACTGCCGCCTCGACATCTGTCGAAATATATCCCAGCCCATCCACTTCCCTCAATGAAGGGTCAGTATGCTCAGACAGTGCTCGACATGTCAAGCACAACCCGTTAGACATTATCGAGACCACCTTAAATGGATGGTGCCAAGACACCGGTGATTACAAAAGCCTCTTGAATCTCAACGACAAGCTGATCACCGACGGCGATGTTCACAGGCATTCCCATCTCCAGTCTCACCTTCAAGCTGGAGTCCCGTATCGCACCCCTCAAAGGCCCCCCTCTTCCCGGCCCATCTCATATCATAGCCTTTGAGGACAGCCTCATACAGCAGCTGCTTGCTATCCCCAAATACGACGGTTTCCGAGCGGTCGATCAGTCTCGACTCTTATCCCTGTACTCTCGATACCGAGCCATTCCCCACTCCTTAACAGAGGATCAGAAGGCCTTCATGTACGCCATTCTCTGTACGGGGAGATTGATGCAGATACGGCAACGCTGGAGTGACGCGACGCAGGGGAGAGACAAGGATCAGGCTGTATCTCGAGAGGACGTGACATATTTCTGGCTGGCTTGCAATGCGTTGAAGGAATGGGGTCGAGCTTCCATCTACGCCATCTGTAAGTCGCGAAAAGGCTACAATGTTCCCGACTGACTGGTAAACGTGGCCCCCAGGGACATTGTTTTGCCTTGTGCCATACACCATTGGAGCAGGTAGCATAAGGGAGACTCAAACACTGCTCGAACAGATGGGTTGGCAGATCGTCCATCTGGGTCTTCATCAAAAAGCTACAGCAAGTTTGTATGCGCCTTCGGAGCACGTCGGGCCCTTGATGGCTTCCTTCTTCTATACCGACGTGTGAGTGATCCGGGGCGATTCGGTCTAGCGAATATCTGACTCCTGCTTAGATTTGTCTCCTCTCTCAGCGATTTGAAACCCTACATACCTCTGCGCAAGGTCGATGTAGATCCCTCGCATGTGTACAATCTTGTCCCGGATTGTCTAAGCAGAGCCTCGTCTTTCACGGCAGAGCTCCTAGCCGACTTCAACGACCCGGCCGTCGACACGTCATCTTTCGCGTACATTGCAACGAGCGAAACGAGCTGGAATGAGGCTTTGCGTGAACTCAGAAATGAGAAGACTGAGGCTGTTTCCAAATGTCACGACGCGTGGGCAGAGTTCCGATACTGCTGGTAGGTTTCACTCGGATTGGGAAGGGGAATCTGTCCGTTGACTTGATGAGATAGGCTACGAATCCTGCTTCATACTCCACATATTCATCACCCCCTCTACTCTGCTCAGGCGTACGCTGCGATAAGCAGAGCGATAACTCAGATCCTTCAAGTCTACGGCGAGCTCATTGAAGCAGGCCAACTGAATCCGTCATGGCCACAGATACAAAGGCTAGTCGTCTGTGGGCAGCTTGTGATCTTATGCTCTAGATCAGGGGAACTGAGGCATCTGGAGATTCAAGACTTATTCGACAGACTGGTTGAAGCACTCGAAAAGCATGGAGCTACCTGGGATACGTGTCTCGCGCTGGCCGAGGGGTTTCGCAAAGCTGCTCTGTCTCTTGGTCAGTATCATCAGCTCTTTATCTGCGCAAAGCCGATGCTGAATGTCCGGACTCACCAGGATTCGAAGTCAAAGCGAATGAGAAGCAGAATGCGCCAATTGCGAGCAGCCTGGATAGCGGTATACTGGGCTTATTTGATTCAGGAGCGCCGTTCAGCGGTTGGTCTTTGGACGACTTTGACCCTTCCATGCTTTTTGCTTTCGACTATGAGCCTATGGAATCGGATGCGCAGCAGGGTGGGCCACCTTCATAGCCGATGATGCAAATATGCGTGGCAGAGAGCGACCTTATTGCATGCAGCAGTACATATTTCCAGTCATTCGTTGAACTGTTGCCCCGGTCAAACAACGCCTGTGAGATGAATTTGCACATGGCTGCTTCGTCTTCTCTTTAGGCCCAGCATGTGGCCATACAATTGGAGAGTTATGGCTCTTCTGACCAGCGCATCCCTGGCCCGCACACTGATAAGAAGATAACGTCAACTTGCAGCAGCTCCTCGCTCGCGCTCGCTCCGTGAGCCTCCCGGGCCGTCAGAGGCAGTAGATCGGAACACGTCTCCCGAAGATGAGCTACTTATCGGACTTCCGGTTAGTTTAGTAGAAAGAACAGTCGGCACAATCAGAGATCAATGAACAGCAGCTGATACGTAGGAGCGCGCCGCCCGGTCCGCCGCAGCGGCGGCCGTCACTCGTACATCCGAATATCCATGGATATAGAACATGCCTAGTCTGCATGTTTGCCCCGGCCGTGTCGATTTATGTACAAGTAGCGGAGAATGAGGGAGTACCCCCCCTCAGCATCTGGTCTTGTCACTCACGATCAATAACCCGCAATGGACAAGCTTCAGCGACTTCCTCATTCCATTCCTGCTCTTTACGACATCAGCGATAGCATCAAGTTAGTCGAGGTGGCTAAGAAGTATGAGGGTCCAGAGGTATGCCCTACTTTCTCCCCTCGTTCGCCGCATGCATGCTTACGATCTATGATGGCAGGACGAGCTCGTTACTCGCGTGCCAGAGTACACCTATCCTGGAGGGCCGAACGGTTACCACTGCAGCAAAGGCGAGTGCATGCCCTGTTATCTTGAGAGAAGTGCTGACATATTTGCGTGCAGTGTCTACGTCTTGGACTCAAGGCTTCTTTCCTGGTCTGCTATGGCTCCTCGTCGAACGCCAGCGTCTCTTGCCGGAGTCTGTCAGCTCCACTTACTCTGAGAACGAGATTACCCGTCTTGCTCGTCGGTATCAAGAGGGGTTTCGAGATATGGCTCGTACTGCCATGAACCATGATCAGGGATTTCGTTTCCAGCTCTCTTTTGGCAAGTGGGTAACGGCAGAAGCGATGATACTTATGGTCACTGACTCAATGTGATCTGTAGAGATTTGGAATTGAATGGTTCCGAGGAGGGCAAGAAGGCTCTGTTGGAAGCAGCTGACTCTTTGGTGGACTTGTACTCCCCTGAGGTAAGTGCTTTGGTGCCATGCATGATAGCACACCTCGCTGACACAGCTTATAGGTTGCCTGCATCCGAAGCTGGAAGCAGATGATCAGAAGTGGAGTGCCGAATGACTGGCGCGCAGACAATCAGCACGAACACTACCTTGTTATCATCGACAACCTAGTCAGTTCCAATTTTGCCCTGATGGTTTTCGATCGCTGACACAAGGTCCAGATGAACCTTGACATGCTGTATGAGGCCACAGAACTGACGGGCAAGCCCATCTACGCCGAGATTGCGACAAGCCAGTGCGAAAAGTCGATGCACTCCCATGTGAGGCCCGACTTCACGACTTATCATGTTGTCGACTTTAACCAAGATGGGACTGTCAAAAAGGCCATGACTTGTCAAGGCACGCAAGAGCTAGCTTGTGGGACTTCGAGACTGACAGTCTTTGTAGGATTTGAAGATGAATCGACATGGAGCCGTGGTCAGGCATGGGGTATACATGGATATGCGCAATCTGGTGAGTATCCTCCAAGATTTGTGAGCCCGACTGACAGTATCCAGCTCTTCGTACGGGGCGAGCAGACTTCCTCGAGACTGCCTGTAGACTTGCCGACAAGTTCATCGAGCTTCTCCCCGAGTCTGGCGTTCCTTGGTGGTGAGCAATGTCAAAGTCATGCGGCGGTTTATCCGCTGACTCTGTTGAAGGGATTTTGATGCCCCGAAGCCCTGTCCCTACGACGCTTCCGCGTCAACCATCGCTGCTGTCGGTCTTCTCTGGATCTTCATAGCCCTTCGCAAGACCGATCCAGGGCGCGCGGAGCAGTATCTCACTCGAGCGTTCAAGCTCGTGGAAGATGTTCTTGAGGTCTGTAAGACTGCAAAGGCCGAGATCGATGAGGAGGGTAAAGTACGCTGGGGAGAGGGTGGGTGGGAGACTATTTTGAAAGTGAGTTGCGACGCTGTACCCGTATTAGTTTGAGGCCCATTCTTCTCCGCCAGCATTCCACGATCAATGGCAATCGCCACGCAACCAGGCAGTTGATGGATCACGGCCTTGTCTGTAAGTGGTGATCGTACACACGTTCCAGCGACGCAGAGCTGAATTCGTGTTTTAAACAGACGCCGATTTCTACCTGGTACAGTTTGGCAATGAAGCTCTCAAACTCCGACCTCTGCCCAACTGAGATTCGAAGACAAATGATTGATTGAAGCCGTTTCTCCGTTGTTCTCGCCCATGAATCATGACTGATTGCCAGAGATTGTCGTACTGTATAGATTTGACGTGATGAAGATGATTATACATGTGCCTTACAGATCGTACTCGTCAGAGTCAGAGTCGTCCCTCTTCCTCTGGATCTACCATCGCTGTCAGCCGAATTCAATCACTTTGACTGGTGTATGGAGAGCTCCCGAGCACGAAGCAGAACGCACAGTGATGCCCTTCCCAAGAGTCTTTGTTCTGGCCGAGGTCGGCACAGCCGGTGTGTTCTTTGCGGGTGGCGGGTTGGAAACCTATACTCTGATCAGCATTCCTTCTAGTCATAGCCTTCTCGATCCCACATACCTGCTCCAGAAGTCCCTTCAGGGCTTCATCAGACACTTGCCCCCTGATTTGCCCTTGCTGGCCCATATTCACGAGGATCGTTTCTACTTGTGAGGCCAGTTGTGGTCGGGTGAGGGAGATTCTCGACACTGTGGATATTATCAGCAGGATCCTGTCAGTGCTACGGAGTCTTGACTCACGCCTCTCCCTCGCAGCGGGCTCAAGCATAGCCAAGATCATAGTCCTCTTCATCTCATCCTGCTGCCTCGCTCTGGCCTCTGCCGCTTCACGCTCTTCGTGCGATGGTCCACCGCCTTGTCCCCCGGGCTGTCCGGACGGCCTGAATCCTGCTGGGAGCTGCATGCCGCTCACGGTGGGTTGTTTGGAGTGGGATGGAAAAAAGTGGAAGCAATAAATGTTTTGTTGCGAGAACGCGCCAGGTGGAGGCTCCGTGTGGTTCGTCTGCGTGAGTCTCGTTTGCGTCGAATGTCATTCACTCTTCCAACCACAAAATCATCAACATTACTCAACATGGCTTCAGTCGAGACACCCCGGCCCAGAGAGAACCGTGGCCCCGTCGAGGAACTCATCTACAAGCGCACAAAAGCTTTGGGCAAAAAGATCGTAAGTCTCCTTCGGTATGTCGCTGCCGGGCTGACATCTTCTCCAGCAACGATTCAAGGCGTATGCATCTCAAAAGCCAGAGTCATTGAATGCAGACCAAAAGTCAGGTCTGGCAAGCTTGCCACAGCTTGAGGGCATCTACAGAGAGCTCGAGGATATCTCCAAGCAGGTCGAGGTGCGCAACGGTCGCTTTCGGATGTCAAGTTCAGTGCGCTTACAGATTGATAAGTATGTCGAGCTGGAGCAGGCTGGGAAAGTGAGGGAGCTGAAGGAGCAGTCCAAGAAGGACGCCGAGGCTCATGGCTTGACAAAGATTGAAGAGTTCCAAGTGAGGATATCTCACACATGCTCGAGTCGTGACTGACCGTTCTCTAGACCTCTCTCTCGACACCCCTTTCTCTCTTTATTCGACTTCACTCTCTTCTCCACCCTGCTAGACCATCGGATCACGAGCACCTTATATTTGGTCGTCTCCGTCTGCCGAGTAACATGAAGGAGGTTGTTCAAGCGACCGATGTCTTGAGGGTTGGGCGGTGGTACGACGATCTGAGGGCCGGTGGTGATAGAGGCAAGGTTGTCATCGGTATCCTTGTCAAGGGTCCTCAAGGGACGGACGAGGAGGACGACAGGGTCCACCATCTGCTTAAACTCCTTGAAGAGTCTGACTCTCTCCCTGAAGAGGCCGAAGAGGAAGAAGGACAGGCCAAAGAAGCAGTTGCTACTACGTCTCAAAATGCTTCTCGAAGCCTTACCTTCAACTTTTTGCAAGACGATGAACTCGTCACTCCCGCCGATACCCAGACGACTGTGATCGAACCTCCCGCTCCCACACCTGCCCCCCAAACGACTCAACCTCCTGCCCCCAAGCCTCCTGCCCCCTCAGCTGTCGCCTCATTCGATTGGGCCGCTGAAGATGACGAGACCAGTCCCGTCACTGCCCCTGCCCCCGTCTTAAGCGCATCCCAAGCTTCCCAGCCTACCCAACCTCAGCAACCAGAGGCCAAGACTTCTAATGATGCGGATGCCGATCAGATCATTGAAGAAAATGTCGCTGCCAACTCCCATGTGTTGTCCGGATTGGCAGGGACGGACGCCCAGCAGGCGCCTCCTACTGTTGGTGGCCAAGCTGCTGCGCCTGGACCTGTAAAGACTGTTCCTTCCGGACCAAAGAAAGGAAGAGGACGAGGCAGGGGTGGCCAGGGACAGCTCAAGAGTCAGCCACAACAAGAGCAATCGCCCGCTCAGTCCTCAGCGCATGGAGGTGAGAATGGGCTCGCTGCCGACGGCAAACAAGAGCAGACGCCGTCGCCAAATGGTCTGGGTGGAAGGGGTGGAAGGGGTAGAGGAAGATGGGGTCGTGGCCGAGGTGGAGGTGAGTCCCTATCGATAAACGCAAGGAGGCAATAGTCTGATGAGTCTTGCAGGTCGTGGCGGTAAAGCTTCTTCCGGATCCACTACCCCTGTCGAGGGTAAGCCTGCTCCTCAAAGGCAGCAGCAACCAAAGGCCCCCAAGCCCTCCAAACCCGCTGCTCAACAGCAACAGCAAGCCAAACCTACCACAGCTTAGACAGTGGCAGTGATGTCGCTTGGACGATAATCCTTGTCACCTCTCGCATAACCTGAAAGTCTAGTGCCAGGTCAACATAATGTGAATACCAAAATGCATAGGTTCAAATGCACACACAAGTCGAACCTTCGTTATGCCAAACCCCTCACCATCGCAGCCTCTAGACTTCCGGCTGGGACATAGCCGAAAACCCGCGACACTCACATGAAGGGAGAGAGTCATCAATGCCCTCTTTTCATTCTACCTCCACAAAGGGAACGCGATAGAGCACTTGGTCCGATGTAGTCGCGCGGGTCGTATAAAGGACAATTCGAGTCACTCATGATTATCACCCACCGCCTCACCAGTTTTCAAACTCCCGATAGCTTCAAAAAGAGCCTCAAGATGTCCTCAGCAGCGAAGACAGCCACCACTAGCACCTTTTCTAGGCGAGCACCCGTCGCTCCATCACTTCCCACTATCCCCACCATCAGTTCCATATCAACCTTGTCGACCTTACCCAGCACTTACCGAACCAAACTACCTCCACCGTCTAGGGGACACACAATCACTCACCCAGTGATGCCTCCAAAACCCACCACAGAGAGATATAAGAGTGTCCAGGCGTCGTACCAGTCCAAGACAAAGACTGAGACGAAGAACGCTGTCCGGACCACTGAAAAGAAGAAGAGGGTGAACGCCACCCAGGCCCCACCTCAGACGCGCCCTCCACCTCCCCCTCCCTCACCCAAAAAGGAGGAGAGGTCAAAGGGTGATCGAGCTAGGGAGCTGAGCTACCGTTATACGTATAGGAGGAAGCAAGTCACGATAAGGCGCTGAATGAGCTGCGATGTGCTTTCTGGATACGTTGAACAATTGCGTTCATGGACATTGGTGACCGAAAGAATCGATGAGCAGATGCATGTACTGTACGAGTACTATATACAAGAAGTACGGATACAACCTAGTCTGAGACGACGTCTCATTTGAAGCCTCCCACCCTGCCCGCTAAAGATAGCCAAGCCACGACTCTCCAGCCTACACAGATAGCAATCATGATCCCCATGTACTTTTCGGTATTGGGATCGTGCCAGTTGAATAGTGCAAGCCTGAACACATGGTCAACCAATTGAAAGACATCAGACAACGAGGGCTTACAATTGATCTCCAGATTGTGCGACGCACGCACCAGAGGACACCTCCTCTTCGGTGCAATGAAAGACCAACCCAGCGGCTTCGTTGATGATCTGGATACGGGTGGCTGCTTTGACGCATGTTCCCCAAGCAATCTAGAATAATGTTGGCTCTTTCATAGCAAGCAGCATACGCGAGATATGGACGTACCGCTGCCAGCCACTTTGGGACGGAGAGAGAGATGACACCGCTGACCTGGCCGACCAATGACAAGATTGTCGACACGACACTGGAGATTGAAGCGTCAGTCATACTATTCAAGCGCAGTATACACATACGTTACTGTCAAACCCTCTGTTTGTATCCAGCTTCCCAGGATCATGGCATAACTCTCTCCCATATTTGTCATTGCCCAGATGGAGATGGAGAACTCAAAGTAGATTCTTGCGGAGGTCTGCATACCTGCTCCAACATTGATCTACGCGATTGTCAGTCGAGATTCGTAATATTCAACATGTACTCACGATCGCCCCGTAGGCTAAAGCAGCCAGTACCTCGAATCCAACCTCTACCAAAGTATACATGATGATGAAAGTCACAGGCGAATAGCGCGCGGATGATTTCGACTCGTGCAGGTATAGATTCCTGTCTCCGGGGAAGATGCTCATGGCATTGAGTAGACCGACGAAGGCAATAGCAGAGGTAGACTCGATGGCTATACCAATACGGTCTTGTGCACCTGCGGTATTGTCAGGGATTTTGGCAGCTTATGAGGATATTAAGCTCACCGGAGGGACCATGAGTCAGTCTCTGAAAAAAGAGAATAAACAGCCCTCCCAGCAAAGGTGTCTGCACAAGGCGGTTAAAAAATACGTCTTTCCTTCTCCAGAGATTCTTCCAGTGTCTCCCAAGGACAACCGGTAAAGCCGTTTTCATCGCTGTCGTCTCGGCTCCGCGCTTGATTGTTGTTTCGTGCTGGTTTCCCTCATGCTCGTGCCCGCTCTCCTGAGTTATCTTACGAGACCGCCATCGGCTGGTGAGTTGTTGTACCCTATCCAGGGAATCCTGGTGGTAGGTTGGACGAGGGTCGACGGAAACAAGATCCAGCAAATGGTCCGCGGGGTTGAAGAACTCTGACGGCATGGGGTGATCAATTGAAGTAAAGTATTCGAGAGCCTCATTTCTCGTGCCGGAAAACTAGATGACACAGATTAGGCTCGGAAAGGCAGCTTGGCATAAGACTTACAGCAACGATGCCGCCTTTTGCCAAGAGAGTGACGTTATCAGTCAACTTCCAAATGTCACTTCGAGGTTGGTGTATCGTTGCTTCAGATATACGTCAGCAAACACTCTCGAGATCTGAGGGATCTTACCAATCACGGTACGGCCGGATGAAGCGATATCCCGGAGGACTTGCATCACTCCCAGCGCGATGCTCGCGTCCAAGCCGGAAGTTCTGGGTGGTCATCAGCATCCATTGGAACGTAGGTTTCTGAGGATCTTACGGTTCGTCCACTACCAAGACAGCGGGGTCATTGATCACTAGCAAGTGTCGGGTCAGTCTATGACCTTTTAGTGAAGCATCTTGCCACTCACTTTGCACGGCCAAACTCAATCTTCTCTTCTCTCCACCACTGATACCCTTCAACAGCGCCCCTCCTACCGGTAGATCTGCACAATCCTTCAGCCCCAGCATCCTGAGTACCGTCTCTGCCCTCGCAATCTTCTGCTTCTTTGGCATCTTCTCCGGCAGCCTCAAGATAGCAGCATACGTCAGAGTCTCCCGTACAGTGAGCGATGGCAGGTGCCAGTCATCGTCTTGTTCCACGAAAGCGACATTGGATTGGGTGGTATGTGTGATGGGTTCATTGGCGAAAAGCAGAGATCCGGTGGATGTGAAACGAGACAAAGGGCCGGCAGAAAGGTGGCGGCCGGCAATAAGCTGGAGAAGTGTTGATTTGCCGGCACCTGAGGGACCCAAGATGGCCGAGATCTCCCCCGCTGGAACACCGTCAGCTGACCATAAACCTGCGATGGGTCGACATACCTGGAAAGTGCATAGACACGTCGTCCAATATGACCTTTTGGTGGTCATTCACAGCCCCCCTTCCTCGTCTATTCAAAGAAAGTGTGAGATTCTTGACCTAGCAATATCACGTTAGTGACATCACAGCACCTGCCAAACTTGACTCACAGTCACATCGATCTTGTCCCTGGTCATATGGCTCTCCACGACATCTGTCCCCTTCCCCCGGTTCTGCGACTCAATCTCTGAAGCGTGTTTCACCCCACCACCAGGTATGGCCCAGAGTACGACACAAGCGAGCGCATACTGGACGATCGCGAGTCCGATAAGACCCCCGAACCAGGCGCCAATGTTGGTTTCGTAGTTGATTTTGAGGCCGTTCAGCACGTTATTGCCGACGCACTATCACTACGTCAGGTAAGGTTTCGAAATGGGAAGACAAACATACCTGGTTCAAGTTGGCATCCGAGTCAGATGGACAGTCGAATATCCGGTCCTTGAACTGGGTGGTGGCCACGATGCCTACGCGTTATTAGCACGCTGGTCCACTGCCCTGGAAGGGTGTCTTACGAAAAGAATAGAAATACGGGCTGATCCAACGAATCCAAGCAACATAAGGAGGCACATGGGTCCTGGCCAGATATCAATTTCGGCTCGCTACTTTTGGCGAACAATGCTTACAATATGAAACCGGATGACATGCTGCAAACCAGCATGAGTCCCATGACGACAGTATAGCTGAGACACAAAGACTCACATCTGAAACAAATTGATGGAATTGCCCAGCATGGATGCAGCCGGGAAAGATCGTAGCGTAGCAGCCTAAAGGTAAGGTCAACACTTTCTCTGTTTATATGGTCTCGAGATCCTTACAGATAGAAGTGCAAGACCCTGAGTGGTCATTTGAACAAGCAGTGTCTATAACATCTTTCAGTTGTTGCTGACTTAAGTTCGAGTCAATCAACATACAGAGGCAATAGTCGTAAAGAGATGCGCGGCAAGTTCGTCCGTCCTCAATTTGGAGATAAAGTACACAAGTACAACATATATCGTTGGTGAAAAGATGCTGGGTATCAAGAACGATAGATAGTCAGAGATTACCCATGGGATTACGTCCTGTAGAAGCATCAGCGGATGTCTCTGTTAGGAAATGTGGCGTACATATAAGCGGTCTTCCCTTTCCCGGTCAAATACGTTAAGATCCGTGCAGAACTTGTAGATCCCTGTTTGTTATCAGTACGGGCTCCATCACACATAGCAACAGAGACACTCACAAAAGACCTGTTGTAGATAGAAGACACCTGGTATCAGCTGGAACGATAAATTCTTCAAACTTTGGACACCTGTTGGCGTCTTGGTCGAGTTAGCGACTGAAGCCGGCTTTCGGAGGATATAGATACTTACCTCTGGTAGTCGGTAGTACGTTAATCCTATGATGACGCCCAACAGTACCGCCTGAAGGCCAAACCCCACTAACTGCGGTACGTTGCGGTACACATTCTTATGCGCCCTCACAGTCAGCACCCTCGTCTGTTTCCAAATCCCCGGCCGTCTTTCATCTTTAGCTTTAGCTTCCTCTGGTCTTCCAAGGGTCCCTTTCTCGGCTGAAGCAATGGGGATTGGAGCGACATTCTTCGACGAGATGGTAGAAATGCCGTCGATAGACCGTTTTGTCAGGTTGTCGGCCCAATGAGTTGGGGAGCGGAGGTTCCAAGCTTGTACAAGAGATCTCACACGGGCGAGCGAGGACTCTTCGTTTTCGGGCGTCCTATTGTCCACAGAGGATATATCGATCAGGAAGTCTAAGCGTCTCGTCAGCGTCTTTTGCTCCTTTGGCCGCAGTCGTCTCACCGAGAGGATTGACACCTCTTTCCACCTCATGCCCCAAGCTATAGAACCATCCCAGACAACTGCTCCTCGGCCCAGAGTAGACAATCTCTCCTTTAGACAGAAGGGCGATACGGTCGAAAAGGTCAAAAGCGTCAGATCTCGGGGCGTGAATGGAGAGGACGATCGTACGTCCCCGGCGAGCGAGTTGGGAGAGAGTGAGAAGCAGGAGGTATGAAGTAAAGGCGTCGAGGCCGGATGTGGGTTCCTACGTACAGACAGAGGTCAGCGGGCACATATTTATTTTTTGGAATTGACCAACGTCTAGTATCAAGACGCTTGGTAGTGTCACCAGCACACAGCCAATAGATAGTCGCCTTGCAGGGACAGATTTCAGCACTGACCATCTAATCAGAGGTGCTCACCGTTTTTCGCCTCCCGATATGCCTTTCCGCAACGGTCCTCCCACGACTGTGTTGGCTGCGTCCTTCAAGCCCAATTCTTCTATCGTTTGCTCGACTATTGAGTGAATGGTGTCATCCGTAAGGTGGGTGGGCAGTCTCAATTTGGCTGCCTGTAAATGGCCATTAGTCTCCATCGATCGTCCTGTATGTCCAAATCCTCACGTAGGTCAACGTTTCTCGGACTGTGCGTGCTGTCAGATGCATATACAAGCAAGTAAATGTAGGAGCTTACCAGTCAGACACTCCACGAGGTAATCTTGCTGCCGGACGAACCCGATTCGCTTCTTGACTTGGCTTCTATCCAGCTTTTCGCCCCTGTCCTCTCCAGGAACTGATGAGGGCGAGAAGTATGCCACCTCACCGTTTATGGTAGGCAATCCTGTCAGGCGATGTGCTATAGAGTTCAGCAGGGTCGTCTTTCCAGACCCAGAACCTCCCAATCTATCT